TTATTTCTTGGTTTGTGTTTCTAATTATAAAAAGTATAAAAGAAAAGCGTGCTTTTGTTATACAAAAATTTTTTCAGAAAATCTTAAAATAGAGCTATTTCGAGGCTAAAAAGTTCCAATGTCAGATTTTTCTGGTACCCTAGAGGCAAAACTCTACCTAATGCCTTTTGTCCCATGTCTCTAGCCCTTCTAGAAGTACCCGTACTTTTTACCACCTGAGAAGTAGCTATATATATATAATGTAAAATAGGATGGTTTTTGAAGAGTTATACGAAATATGAATAAAATATAGAATTATTAAAGCAAATTCAAGGTACTGCGTAGCCTAGTGGTTAGCGTGGTAGTCTCATAGCCAGAAGGTTATTGGATCAATGCTTGCCTGGATGTCGTCGTATTTTTATTTTTTTGCATTATTTTAAAATTTTTTTTTTATTTTATTTAAATTTTGTGTTTTATTTTTTTTTTAATATACATATAACAGATAAATGTTATATAAAAGTTTAAAGAAAATTTCCAAAAAAATATTCTTATAATAGTTTGGAAAAATTCGCAAAAATTTTAAGTACATAAATATGTATGTATGTATGTATATTTTTTTAAAAGCTTCCTGAGTAATGTTTTTAAGCTTTCTATATGAATTTAATAATATTCAAAACTGTAGAATATATAGAAATAAATTTTAAACGCATAATTATTAAATCATGGGAGTAAACATAGAAAAATTAATTTTTCAAATAAAGAATAGGTTTAGTCAAAAACAAAATAATAATTTTATTCATATATATGTATGTATGTATGTATGAATATATGTGTGTATGTATATATGAATGGATTAGAATTGAAGATTTTGAAATTTTTCGTTCCAACATATGAACGTATGTACATATGAATGTATTAGAATCGAAAATTAAAAAAGAAACAAAAACAAAATAATAATTTATGTATGTAAAAATATATGTATGTATGTATATATGAATACATGTGTGTATGTATGTATATATGAATGGATTAGAATTGAAGATTTTAAAATTTTTCGTTCCAACATATGAACGTATGTACATATGAATGTATTAGAATCGAAAATTTTGAAATTTTGCTGTTGGAAAAATTAGAAATAAAATTATTAACACAAACACACGTTATTATGAATGTATACCTAGTTTTTTTAAAACTGCGGGTGAACATATAGAAATAAATTTCTCAAATAAAGAAAAGGTTTAGGTTAAAACAAAATAATAATTTTATTCAAATATATGTGTGTATATATAAATGTATTAAAATTTAGCATTTTACAGTTTTCCGTTTGGAACAATAAAAATAAAATTCTAACTACATACGTACATACATATATTCTGTATGTACATATATTTTTTAAAGCTTGCTGACGAAACGTAATGTTCAAAACAATAACAAATGAAATATTAATATTCAGATGTCACAAAACATCTGATGTCTGATAAAAGCTGACATTTATTTACGTTAAGATTAATTCGTTTATCCGCAACAAAAATATGTGAGATCATTATATTTTCAAATATTATTTATTTCTCGGTTTGTGTTTCTAATAATAAAAATAACGTAAAACGTATCATTTATTTCTTGGTTTGTGTTTCTAATTATAAAAAGTATAAAAGAAAAGCGTGCTTTTGTTATACAAAAATTTTTTCAGAAAATCTTAAAATAGAGCTATTTCGAGGCTAAAAAGTTCCAATGTCAGATTTTTCTGGTACCCTAGAGGCAAAACTCTACCTAATGCCTTTTGTCCCATGTCTCTAGCCCTTCTAGAAGTACCCGTACTTTTTACCACCTGAGAAGTAGCTATATATATATAATGTAAAATAGGATGGTTTTTGAAGAGTTATACGAAATATGAATAAAATATAGAATTATTAAAGCAAATTCAAGGTACTGCGTAGCCTAGTGGTTAGCGTGGTAGTCTCATAGCCAGAAGGTTATTGGATCAATGCTTGCCTGGATGTCGTCGTATTTTTATTTTTTTGCATTATTTTAAAATTTTTTTTTTATTTTATTTAAATTTTGTGTTTTATTTTTTTTTTAATATACATATAACAGATAAATGTTATATAAAAGTTTAAAGAAAATTTCCAAAAAAATATTCTTATAATAGTTTGGAAAAATTCGCAAAAATTTTAAGTACATAAATATGTATGTATGTATGTATATTTTTTTAAAAGCTTCCTGAGTAATGTTTTTAAGCTTTCTATATGAATTTAATAATATTCAAAACTGTAGAATATATAGAAATAAATTTTAAACGCATAATTATTATATCATGGGGGTAAACTTACAAAAATTAATTTCTCAAATAAAGAAAAGGTTTAGTCAAAAACAAAATAATAATTTATGTATGTAAAAATATATGTATGTATGAATATATGAATGTATGTGTGTATGTACATATATATGAATGTTTTAGAATTAAAGATTTTAAAATTTTTCGTTCCATCATATGAACGTATGTACATATGAATGTATTAGAATCGAAAATTTTGAAATTTTGCTGTTGGAAAAATTATAAATAAAATTATAAATGCAAACATACATAATTATGAATGTATACCTAGTTTTTTTAAAACTGCGGGTGAACATATAGAAATAAATTTCTCAAATAAAGAAAAGGTTTAGGTTAAAATAAAATAATAATTGTATTCAAATATATATATGTACATATGAATGTAATTTTTCAAATAAAGAAAAGGTTTAGTCAAAAACAAAATAATAATTTTATTCAAATATATGTATGTACATATAAATGTATTAAAATTTAGCATTTTACAGTTTTCCGTTTGGAACAATAAAAATAAAATTCTAACTACATACGTACATACATATATTATGTATGTACATATATTTTTTTAAAGCTTGCTGGCGAAACGTAATGTTAAAAACAATAACAAATGAAATATTAATATTCAGATGTCACAAAACATCTGATGTCTGATAAAAGCTGACATTTATTTACGTTAAGATTAATTCGTTTATCCGCAACAAAAATATGTGAGATCATTATATTTTCAAATATTATTTATTTCTCGGTTTGTGTTTCTAATAATAAAAATAACGTAAAACGTATCATTTATTTCTTGGTTTGTGTTTCTAATTATAAAAAGTATAAAAGAAAAACGTGCTTTTGTTATACAAAAATTTTTTCAGAAAATCTTAAAATAGAGCTATTTCGGGGCTAAAAAGTTCCAATGTCAGATTTTTCTGGTACCCTAGAGGCAAAACTCTACCTAATGCCTTTTGTCCCATGTCTCTAGCCCTTCTAGAAGTACCCGTACTTTTTACCACCTGAGAAGTAGCTATATATATATAATAAAGTTAAGCATTCTGAAGATTTTTCTATAAAAACAAGTTTGTAGAATACCAAATTTCACTCTGCCGAAACGCAATATTTTTGATTATCTGATTGATATTCTGGGAGAAAATATATTTAAAATAGTAGCAAAGATAATAAAAGTTAAAATTCTGATACAATATGGGTTTCTCAAGAAGTTAAAAGTTGGAACCAAAAATTTAGGTTAACTTTCCCATATAAGAGTCAAAAGAAATTTTGTAAAAGCATATAGAAGTAGACATGAAATTTTGATTAATCTAAACTCTAAAAGTGTTATAAAAATTGAGGCCTGCTTGATTAGTACTGCTTATAAATTTCTTATACTAATAATTTAACAGAACATACATTCGTGCGTAAAACACTAGTGACAATTTTTAACAATTTTACATAACGTAATGCCCAAGAATTATATTCAAAGTCAAATGAAAAATTGATTTCGTAAGTTTTTTTTAGTTGTGCTATCTCTGTGTCAAAGCTTCTGTCAAAATTATTTTTTGTGTTGACCTCAGTATTTGTACTCTAAATTTAAAAAATATTAATAATAATCAGCTTATAATTTACTTGTTTTCAATAATGACGTGAAATATTTGAATAAAAAACAAAAGTTTGATTTGGCTTTTGTTCCACCAATTGAAAATTGTCCCTTTTTTGAAAATAATTTCGTATATTATTATGCTACCAGTTTTTTTTCTCTTAAAGTTAAAATTCAATCTTTTGAAGAAATATTAAATTGATGCCAAGTGAGAAGAAAGTGAGTAACTATCATATACTTGTATAATGTAATTTTCAAATGAGAAGAATTATTCCGTATTGCATATCTCGTTTTTTTCTAAAATGTATACAAAATTTATTCACTTTATTTTTTAAGACTGCCCGTCACAGTCGGTAATTTGAAAAAAATTCAAAAATCCAATTGAAAAAATGGGTAATCTTGTAGGAAAATTAAATATACATTAGAAAAGGGAAAACTAATCGCGATAGCCATCCATGCCAATCCACAATTATTAAACATAAATAGAAAATTTACGGTTATTTTTAAAAATTTTCAAAAACTTTATTCTTTTTGATAAGAAAAATATTAATTTTCAAACAAAACATTACTAATTTCCTTTCTTTCAAGCTACTTGCATATATTAATAACAAGTTTGTGTTTGAAAGACAAGTGAAAAAATAAGAAATCAAGAAAAAATCTTTAAAACACTCTTTTGTAAAATGGCATTTTCGACTTAAAATTAAGAAGAATAGAGTGGGTACGTATATATGTAAATGTATTTATATAGATACATACAAATTTTCAAACAGATTTCAGTTGATTGAAGTTGAACTTTTTTAACACCTTATTCTTACCATAATATTTGTAGCTTTCTCTTAACATTTTTATTTTTCTAACAAAATTCCTAGCTACATTTTATTTGTTAAGAGAATATTATAGTTTCTTCAACACATAGTTTTTTTTCTGTCTTATTCGTCGCTTACTTTAACTAAGAAACTTAAAATGAAAAATCAAAAAATACGTAAAAACTGGTTTAAAATTAAAAGATGCTTTTTAATTATAAAAATAACATCAAAAGCGAATTCTAAATGAAAAGAGTTAGCACACTTAATAATAAAATATATATAAATATAAAACACATATATATATATATGTATATGTATGTCAATGTGTTATACACACACATACACATCTGCATGAATGACTATGAAAGAGGAAAAATAAAAAATAAAAACTTTGTAAATAGATCTAAGACGTCCAGTTTGCTAACAGAATTCAATTAAATGACGGTAAGAACACTTTGTAATGAAACAAGTTTTTTTATTTATTATAATTTTTTATTTGTAGGTGAAAGAGAAAGATGTCAATTAAAATAAGTTTATATTCACTTCTAATTTATTTAAATTCAATTCCATTTGGGATTCAAACCATTGATTCATGTGATAATCTTGCTTGTGCACCTAGTGTTTCAAAATGTTTACTTATGGAAAGTTGTAAATGCTCACCAAATAATGCTACTTGTTGTGATGAATGTAAAAAATGTTTAGGAATGAAATTTGAAGAATGTTGCAACTGTTTAGGTAAGAAATATTATAATTTATGAAAATAAAATAAGAAGTTTTTTCTTTATAAGCTTAATATATACATATGTAAATATATACATGTATACACCTACGATGAAGCTGTTTGTAAAAATTTTGTAGGTTTTATTTATTGCCCTGTGCTTTTAAGATAATTTGTACCTTTGCATATTGGGCTAATACTCGTATATACATATTTAATTATATTTATTACCTAGTTACATACATTTTTGTATATAAATTTGTATAGATTTATACATGTATGTTCGCATTAATAAATATCGCGTAATATGAATTCTAAAAATTTATGTTTACATTTCAATATAGAACAATGAAATTCTTTTCCAAATTGAGATTTATACCTTTTATTTTACAATAATTGACATTTATTTTAATATTATTATAAACGAGTTATTAACATCATAAAACTAATTTATTTATATTTTCAATTTGTTTTTTGAGAATGGTAAATTTGTCATATAATATATGTACATGTAACCATTCTATTTTATAAATTTTACATTGCAAATAAAATGAAATAAAATTCTTGTGCTCCAAAATATAATTGTTACCGTTAATTTTTTATAGATATGTGTCCGAGGGGTGCATTTAAAAAACGTCATTCACAAGTGGAAGAATTTGAAGGAATCCCGGATCTATTCAATGCATTAACAGCTGAGCCTGAACCAGAAAAATGGACAACAATTGTGACACCAATCGACTTAGATAGACGACTTTCGGAATCAAAACCTGAGATTAACAATCATTTAAGTACGTATATTGACAATAGACTAAATATTAAAATTTAAAACTTAAATCAAAAATATTTTACATACATACCTTATAAATCTAATCTATTTAAATTATAAATATGTGTACAAAAGTGTTATAGCTTGGCAAGCTCAAGTATTTTCAGAATTTAAATTTTGTAAATATTCTATAAGTTTCTATCTTAAGTCTTTCATTATATGATTCAATTCATCCTATATAAGTATTTTAACTTTTATAAAAAAAATATCTCATAGCAAAGAAATTAATATTCTATGAAAATTTTGTTTAGATAACAACTTTTTTGTGGAGGATGCTAATGGATTAAATCAGTCACAATTAGGTTTCGTAAATTGTACTGTAGTATATTTTAGGCAGTGTATGTCATTGAATAAGTGTAAAGAAGTTTGCGGAACAATGGGAGCTCGTGGAAGCAGGTAAATATTTTTAATTATCATAACTTATCTGTCTATATTACGTACATACATTTCTCGACAGATAGGGTTGTGTTTATCAACAGAATCTCGTAAACGTTCAGTTCTAACAAAATGTTAAAATTTATAACATTTTATTTCATGTTAAATCAATTGTAGCGTTTACATAAGTAAATTATCAAAATTTGTAATAAAAGAAATTCGATTTAGGAAAAAATTGAAATGAATGCATATTTAATGGATAAAATATAAATAGATGAAAGAGATAATCTCATTAATTGTGAAGTTTCAGGCCGTTTAGCTATAAATATATACGTACCTTAATGCTATATAAAATTATGTTTCTTGGCCAATAAAAATATTTTTCATCATTTTTCTAATATGAAAATATTGAAGTATGATCTGTTGGCCTATATATGTTTGCAAAATATACAAACACATTTATACAGATATTTATTTTTCTTTGATTACATGCATGTGTGCTTAACATAGAATTGAAGTTTTTACGTACAAATTGTCACCTAAGAAGCCTTATATTTTTTTTTTACTAAAATTTCTTTAGTTTTAAATGATACGCATTTGTTATTTTTAGATGGTTTATTGATGGTTGCTGTGAATGTGTTGGGTCAACATGTTTAAATTTTGGAATCAATGAAAATAATTGTGCTGCATGTCCAGATTATAAAAAGGATTCAAATAGTCCAGAATGGTCAGTTGAAGATTATGATGATATAGACTTAATAGATTCCAATATCTAATAAAATTATCTGTATAAGAAAATTTTTAATTCTGCAACGGCAATATATTTTTGTTCCATAAAGCAAGTGCAATAAAATAAAAAATTAAGTTGAACTTTTAAAATAACCTAAAATTTTTTTCAAAATTTACTTACCTTTTAAAAACTATATGATGTATATGAAAAATTTTCATATATGTACATATGTATGTACATACACATTAATATATGTTATAATAAAAATTTATTTATAATAGAAAGTTTAAAAAATAAAATTTTCTTTAAAAGTCTTAAGAAATGAAGATAAATTGCAGAATCTGAAAACTTCACGTCGTCATAACTCACACAAAATGGATCTAAATTGCCTTACTAACGGGTGAATCTAATATCGCGAACTTACTACTAATGAATTTAAATACATTTAGGGCTTAATTTTTAAATTTAAAGAAAAAAGCAGAATAAAAATTTGAGCGTATTCCCATTTACCTAAACATAATTTCATTTTCATTTAACTTAAATGTATGTTCAATTTATTTCTTAATTAGTTCGCTATATATATACAACCTAATTTCAAGCTAATTTTTCTCAGATTTTGGCCAGAGTTGCCATTTTTTTATAATAGTAATTTTCATAAAAACAATACAGCTAAAGAATAACTGCAAAACGTAATACTAGAAAAACATAACAAAAACATAAAAATATATATACATATATATATATATATATATTTTTTTTTAATTATTTATATGTTTTCAAGCTAAAATTCTATTTTCCATGAAGCGCAACAAATATTTTGTTTAGTGTAAAAACAGAAGCGGTGAACTGCCACGGTGCATGGTTTCCTTACACAGAACAACAACGGAAAAACAAAATCAACTGTTCAGTATTTTGCACGTGGAAACACAAAATGTCAAAAAAAACCATTGTAAAGCAGGATTTACTGCTCTCGCCTAATATACAACCGTAATTTTGCTTCATTGACGCCAGTCCCTTTAAATGATTTTTGACATTTCACCTCGGGAAATCTCTCTCGTTCTATTTTCTCCTTTACTTTTCCTTAGTATTACGTGATAAAATCGCTTCTCAATTGTAATTTTTCGCCACATAAATAAAGCTGTCTAACAGCTCAAACTAACATTTTATTTTTTCTTAAACCAGCTGAATTGCGTAATACTGCAATTCCGATATCGGGGTGTATAAATGGTATTAAGGATTGGCAAAGTATATTGGGGTCACCAAGGCTTTCGTCGAAGGGTGCAGTTATTTTACTGTCAGGTTTGTATGGAACACATGCACATATAATATATATGTACCTATTTAAATTAAATGTTACAATCTCGTCGTTTTTTATGCAGCGTAGAAATAGTAAATTTGGTTATTATTTTTGTTGAATTTGAAATTTTAAGGAGAAGTTAAAACTGGTGGCAAATTTTTATCAGTCTACTAGTTGACTTGAATCAAGAAAATTGAAATTATGAGAATTTATTTTAATGCAAAAAAAAAAATTATGTTCTTGCTTTACTAAAATTACATTTTTTAATATACGAAAAAAAAATTGGTATATAATAACATTTTCTATAAGTTCTATTGATAAATATTCAGAAATCTGTAGTATACGTATATTTTTGGAGCAAAAATTTGAAAATTAATTTGATTTTTTTTATTTTTTATTTTTACTATACGACAATTTTCGATAATTTTTTAAAACTTACTTTTTCGAATGATATTAAATATGTATAAGCATGCGCTCATAAATTTTTTAAATAGTTTTGAAATTTAAATTTTTTTAGAATAGGTTTAATTAATTCTTAATCCAATAATTTTCAATAACTTATTTCGACTAACCTAAATACAAGTCTAAACTGTTTATTCACATATTATCATTATATTTCAAAATAAGCGTGTTACTTTTTAGTAATGTTTATTGGTTCCAATTTCAATCGATAGATATCGCTGATTAGACATGCTCATCGTGCAATAAACGTTTTTACAGAGTTGCCAATTGCCAAATTTGACGGCTAGTTGTCATTTTAACAAATCTATATGGTAATAATCATTGACATTTTATGACATAACATGTCGAATGTCGAATGAAACTGCAAACATATTATAAGCAGTTTTATTAGAGCCATCGATTAGTGTTTTTGGTAATTATAAATTTTGTGTTTTGTATCGGTATTTAATTTAATCCGGTAAATATCTAATTTTAACTTGAATTCCATTCTTAAAAACCTGCAGAAAGCTTGAAAAAAACCAAATAAAATGGAACGAAAGGAACAATTGTTAATTATTGACCCACCTTCGGAGCTAAAATTTCGTGGTATGTATGTATTTCCAGCTCAGCAAAGATATAACATAAAATGGGCAAATCAAAATTAATATTTCAAAAGTTTTAACAATTTGGAAAGCTTAATATTATTTCAAAAATGCTTTATAATAATTAGTTTCTACTATTATTGACGACCATTCTGATATAATACTTATAAAAAAATCGATTCTCATAAGAATATTGGAAAATGTTAGAGAAAATGATATTAAATGCGCTTGTAAAGTTTTCGTTATATTAAATTAGTTGCTTATATTGAGTTAAAAAAAATATGGACTCGTTTGATGTTAATCATATTAAATAAATTTCAGTAAGAGTTTGAACAATATATTTGTAATAAAAAACAGCGTGCTATTTGTTCTAAAAAAATATTTTTCACCAAATTAAAAAATAAAATATCCTAAGCCAAAACATTGGTCGAAAGTGTTTGTGTAAATTTCTACTGAGCAAAAATAAAATTATAAGTAAAAATGTGTAAATTGAACTTTGTACTTCAAATGTATGAAAAAAAGATAAACTGCAGGCTTTGCATCGATTTAAATAGGCTTGCAAAATTAGAATGACATACTTCCAAAATTACTCTTAAAATTTAATAAGAAATTTCAGGTTTGAGAGTTCAATGAAATTTAGAGCAGAAATTGCTCAATCATTTCTGTGTTTGTTAGAATTTATTTATAGAAACGCCAAAGCTATCTACATTACGAATCCTTCATAAAAATAGTTCATATTTCATTGAAATTTGTAAATGGTGAACAAAATATCTAGTTTATATAATAATTTGATAAAATCATAAATTCGCGTACATTTTCAATTTTCTTATGTAAATATGTATGAATTTATAAAATTTTTTAGAGAGTTTGCTTATTACTACCACAATGTTTTGACTTCTTTCTAGGTCCATTTATAAGACCGGTGGTAACTGTTATGAAGTTGACGAATCCGACGGATAATACTATCTTATTTAAAATAAAAACAACTGCTCCAAGGAAGTATTGCGTACGCCCAAATTTCGGTGCTGTTAAACCTCAATCTCAAACTGAAGTTGAAAGTAAGTTACTTTTTTGCTAATATTCATTAATCAATCCACATATATTTTATTAACCAATCCACATTTTGAAATTAATATTATACAGTTATTATTGTAGTGATTAGCTATTGTTAATTAATTTTTTTGATTTTTAGTTTGTTTACAAGCCAGTTTTATCTTCGATCCTAGTGAAAAAAATAAACATAAATTCATGGTTCAAAGCTTTGTCGTACCCGATGGAGCCGTGGATCCTTTAAAACTGGTAATTTCAAAGCTCTTAGAAAAGTTTCTATAAAAAAGACGTTAATATATTTTAAAAATTCATTTATTAGTGGAAAGAGGTTAAACCAGAACAATTAATGGATACTAAGCTAAGATGCGTTTTTGAACTCCCACCAGAGTGGCCTGCTGGTGAGACAGTTGGTAATTAAAATCTTTTGTCAATTTTGAATAGAGTATTATATCAATATATATTTTTTTAAGCTCAAAAAGAAGAGGTAAATGCGGAAGCTGAAATAAAAACTATAAGTGACGACAAGGTAACTAAAAGCAGAAAAATTCTTTAATAGATTTTCAATAACTTTGTTTTTTAAGGTCAAAGATTATCGAGATGAATATGTCAAGGCAACTTTAGAAATTCGGCAGCTACGAGAAGATGAAAGTCAGTTGCGACAAGAAAACTTAAAGTTGAAGGTAAATAAGTTATTTTCTTTGGATATACGATATATATTAAATCTGAATTATATTAACTTTAAAATACACATGTAATGAGTCATAATTTCTGTCAATTTCCATCAGTATAAAAGCTCTTAGCGATTTTAACATAAAAAACTCAATTTTTTAAGATTTCGTATGTCGTTTATGATTAAGATTAAAATAGTACTATTTAGAAGCAGTAATATATAATATGTATTCGGTAAACTTCCTTGTTAAGTACAAAGATGAATACGAGCAAGTTATATTAAAAATTAGTCACAATTAAACTATAAAATTAAAAGATTAAACTAAGTATCTAAAACCTATTGCTGATATGGAATTTATTTCTGTTACCGATATCCGTTTTTCGAACTGTTTTAATTCTAAATATTGAAAATAGTTTTACAATTTTTTTGTAAGTTGTATTTTTTAACTGTACAGAAAACTGTATTTTTTAACTACAGAAAATGAAGCTCAAATCGTCAAAAACAGAAAAGAAACCCTGGATCAACTAAAACCTTTAACAAAAATCTGCGTGTTAAAGTACAGTCGCTCGTTGGAAAAATTCATGGAAAATCCGCAATTTTATACTCCAGTTCCAAAAAAGTTCCAAGACGATGTATAAAAAGATAAATTTTTTTAAATGCTTGTTAGCTAATACACCAAATTTATTTATTTTTTGCTTAAGATTTAAGCTTTATATTTCTTGCTTGCGATTGAGTGTTTCAAAGATTCACAATCTCTTTCGACACATCTTACCGATATCCTGAAAAGCCCATCTTTTTTTTCTCTCCGATACGTATAAACGCATAGTACAAATCATTTGTCTTTCGCTTTTGTTTAAAATAATCCATTTTTATTAAAAAAAACTTAAATTATATCCATTTTATAATTTAAAATGTTACGCAAAAAAGATAACACTTTACAAATTAAATATAATAAATACACTTGTAAAATTAATGTTCTAACTATATATTGAAATTTAAAACTAAATACATATATTTTTTATTTTGCTAATAAAGGAGCAGTTATTGAAGAATGCCACTGCTGATGTGATGCAAAAAAAACAACAAACATCGCCTTCATCAGTACCATACCAAAATGCTTATTCGCCGCCACAATTAGGACAACAACCAGTTCCAGTTATGTATATAGCTATTGCAGTTATTATGGCAATATTTGGTTTGTTGCTTGGAAAGTACATGCTTTGAATCATTTAGATTTATCCTGCAAAATATACTTAATAAGATAACATAAAAAGAGACATTGTGTTTATATAATATGTGTGTATGTGTATGTATAATTATGTTTAATATGAATATTATTGTATGCACATAAATTAACATTAATTTTACATTTTTGCGTATATATGTATATATAAGTATAAATATTCCATATTTATATATCTATACCTATTATACATATATACGCAAATGTGTACATGAATGTACATACATGATATGCAAAACATATGCAAAAAATAATATTAAAACATAAATGCATATTTATATAAAGTACATTTAGAAATCAGTTTTATTTATTTTATTTGAGTATCATATACTTTTAAATATTTTGTGAACATTAATTTGTCAACCAAATAATCTGTAGCAGTTTATCACACGTCGTCAACTCAAAATTTTAATTATCGCAGTTAATTTTTTTTTTTTATTTGTCAAATACAGCGAAAAAATATTTCTATACAATTATATGAAATATATGTATAACTAAAATATAATTTACAAGAAAAAAAACTTACAAAACCTAAAATAATAAGCTATCATTATAACAATTATTAATGATAATATTTATTGTCGCGAATAGTAATAAAAATGGCATTTACAAAAGGGTATTTTTAATTCGAATTAGTTTTCTTTTGCTTCATTTTGGTCTATTTAGTTTAATTTAAAAATTAATTTTTAATATCAAATCAATTTTGTTTACTTGCCATAAAATATTTTTCGGTTTAAAACAAGCTTAAAACTTCTCCGTTTCTAAACAATATTAATTTCAAAAGTAAATTTCTATCGTAATATTAATTTATAATAAAATCAGAACAGTTTTGTTTAATGGTATATTTAAAAAAAAAAAATACCTCGACTTTTCTATTATTTTGCAAAATGTACTTACTTAGACATAAACAGAAGAAATTCGCACTGTTAATTTCGTTTCCACAAAGTCAAGATTATTTCAAGAATAAAGAAACATTTTTAGTTCTTCTTTTGGTTCATCTATCAAAAAAGTTTTGAAATAAACTTATAAATTAAATTATTTAAAAAAATTTATTTCTATTTAAATTATATTTTAAATTTAAAAGTTTGATTTAATAAAAAAAAAAAACCAAATTAAATATCAAATATGTAAATTAATTCAAATTTGAAATATAGTAGTTAAAATAGTATTGCTGAATAGGTCAAGTTGATATTAGACCTGCATTTTTTTAGACGAACATAGAAAGTTTAATGGAGTAAAAAAAGAAAAATTTAAAATAAAGAATAATAACGAAAATAAAATGAAAGCACATAATCAAGATAGAAAGTGTACATTATTACTGGCTGGTAAACAAAAAAAAAATTTGTTCAATAAATTATTACTATTATTACTTTTTAAATTAACTACTATGCATAAATTTTGGAAAATATTGTAGTTAATTTTTATAATTATTTACTTTTAAATTAAATTAATTGGTAATGGAAAATTTAATTTACTGTTAATAATATAATATAATTATGTATTTTACTTTTAGGCGGAATTCAATTCCATATTTAAGTGGATTTAACAATGCATACGTATAAAAATATTCTTAGCAAAAAAAAATTAATAATAGAAAAATTGAAGTTTTCTATTTACCTGATTCAATTAATCATAAATTTGATTATCCTGAAATGGAATTTACTTCTTATTTACATATTTAAATAATTTAAAGCTGAAGCTATTGTTTCATTTTTTATTTTTTCTTATTACGTTATGGAATGACTTTTGGTAAAATCTTAAAAATTAGTTCTATTTTTTCTTCTGTATTACTTACTGTATTACTACGTATAAATTTAAATTCAAAATTATAATAAATCTAATTTTAAAAATAAAATATAATAATCCTCGAGGTGAGAAATTATATTAACATGACATTATTGTGCTCTATTTATAAGTTCTTTAAAAACAGGTGAATGGAAATCAAATAATGCATATGAAGATGGCATATACCTATAAGTTAATTTGCATACATACATATTGTGAACTCATTTGATATAAATGTATTTATATATATATACATATATATATATATATTATAAATTGTAACCAAATATATATATATATATAAATATAATATATGATTATAAATATTATATGATTTATATTAAAATAAAAATTATGTATAGGGACACCTTAACACCTTGAAAATAGCAGAATAATTTTTGGTGTTCCTTCTTTAAACATTTATGTATTGTACCAACAATATTAAATTTTAAGTAATACCCCATAATTGCTTTAATTTAATTATTGGTTTTGTTATGAAATTGCAATATTAATTTTAATACACAAAAAACAAAAAAAAAACAAAAAGAGAAAAACATAAAAATTCGAAAATATTTTAGTTTATGTTATTCATTTCTGACACCACTGCTTTGAACAAAATTTTCAGTATATTATAAATTCTTAAATATTTTATTAATGAAATTAAATAAAATATTTTTCAAAAAAAAATTAAATTTTAATATTAAAAAGTCAAAAACTTGAGTAAATAATTGCGATAATTTAACGAATTTTGTTTAATACGATTCTTAACTATTTTCAGAACATTTTTATTCTAAGCTTTACATAAATGTTATTCAAATTATTATAAACAGAATGTTAAACCGCATTTCTATATATAAATAAAAAGTTGAAAATATAAAGTATACTTAGTTTTAATTTAAATTAATTATTAGATAAATTGCAATAAATTTAGAATGAAAGCTGAAAATCAATTAAAAGTCTTAGGGAAAGAAACAAATTTTCCTTTGGCGTGTTCTGTTGAAGCTTGTTTTGTTAAAAATAATCACATGTAAGTATGAGGGGTATTCGTTAATTCGGTTCTACAATAGTTCTAACTTTTTGAATGTTCGGAAATTGCACACGGCACATTCGCTTGCTGTTATAAAGTTCATTCGGGAGTTCGTTCTATATTAAAGAAATGCCCGAAAGGTAGCGCAGACATCTATTATTAAAATATTAATTTTCATAATTAATTTAAATTTTCAGTAACTGCAGACTGCTAAAAAGCTAAAGCTGAAGTTTTTACATACTGTTTAACACTGTGGCTTAGAAAACAATTCTAATGTAGCAACGTACATAAATCCCCTATTTCGAGCGACAATAACCTTTAATATTCACCACAATTTTCTTTTTGAAGAATGAAAAAAAAAGGATTGATGATAGTAGAAACTTGAAAAAAGAAGATGAATTTGTAATCTTAAGAAGTATGTACCAAATATTTAATGGTAATTTAAAAAAAATTCTAGTATATAAATGAAAATTTAATGTATGTACGTTTTTATATATTTACGTATTTATAATAAAATAATATGCTTCACTACGAGTATAATAAAATAACTATGCATAGACATGTATGTACTTCTATTCTTGTAAGATATTTTAGAAATTCAATTTGCAAAAATATTTTTTTTTTTGTATTCATTTAACATTTTGTTCATCAAAATAAAAATATGTACATAATCATTCTATACCTACCTCTTTCAAAAGATAGTTAATTTGCACAATATGTATTAAAATAACTTAGTATTTTATCATGACAATGACGACCGCATAGTTACCGTACCTTACCTATGAAATGAAACACAAAATAAATTAATATTTCTAATTTCTGTCAGAAGTTTTTTTTTGTCTTTGCTAAACATGAAGTAAACACAAAAATTGAAGAAATACACATTCGGGCCCATTGCATTGAGAAGAGAAAAAATAAGATATTGACTTTTATTGCAAAAAAAATTTTATTATAATTTGCAAATATTTTACTTCTTATATTGAAAATGTTCCGAATACCGTAATGTATTCGGTAAGTTTAGAGTTTCCACTCTAGTTAGTTAGGTAACTTAAAAGTAAGGAAGATAGAGAATACGATATTTGAACAGATGTGAGGTATTACATATCATCAATTGCAGCTCATAGACTAAAATATGTAAGTACTAATTTCTTTTAATTAAACTTCGGTGTTCTTTGTTAAAATCATTTTCAATTAGGATCAATTTTTGTGCCATTCTTCTAATTTATCGAAGAACAATATAATCTCAAACTTTTTGAATGCTTTAATCACATTCAATAAATTACGATAAATTTGAGGGGTGAAAATAAAATAATTAATGTAACTAAATTAAAATTAATTTGTGTAAAATCACAATTATATCTCAATCTAGTTTAAGTGCATTGTCCCGCAGATGAATTGTTTCAATTGAAATTGTTTCAATTGCTGAATAAATCAAATTGACGTTAGATTTTCGTTTTGGTACATGTTCTTGTCCTTGGCTATTGCTGAATTGCGTAGTAACACAACATTCTTGTTTTAGATGTATTAATACTTTTTAGATAAACTGTATATTCATGAAAACATTAATATTAAACTTAAAAGTATATGTATGTATTCTGCTAGTTGGAAAAAGCTAAAAATTTTTTCTTTTGTTGTTTTCCTTTTTTTTTCTTTCTTTTGTTCCTATTCAAATAAATTATTTAAAAAGCTACTTCAATATTTTACTGTTAACGTCTGCGCTTAATTTTTTTCTTCTTAAAAAAATGAAAAGCTTGTTTTTAATCTTACGAACTTTACGTCTTTCTAAATTAAAATATTAGATTCGTTGGAATAATAAACCTTATAATATTACAATAACTTATTAATAATTTTATAATTAAAAAAAAAAAAATAGTTTTAAAAGTTCAAGTGTTAAAATTTAAAAATAGTTTTGGAATAGAATAGAAAAACATTTACGTTAAAAATCCGTAAAATGTGTGCGATTAATTATTCTCATATCTCATATACTTTATCAAAAGATGTTATGTGCTAGATTTTCATACATATACATACATACATATATAATGCTCCTTGTAAAATAAAATTTAATGTCTGCATAAAAATATTTTATAAAATTTTTTTTTTATTTTTACAATAATTTAAATAATATTAAAAATATATAATTATAATTAAATAAAATTTAATATTACTAACGAACAACTTATATTTATAAAATTAACAAATATTTGTGCATTTATTATATATTTAACAGTTTTAGGCGTATATTTATGTAGTAAATAATAATATATTGCAGAAAAAAAAACAAAAAAAAAAACAAAAAGTTAAAAGAAAATGTTAGGTTATGAAATTTATCTTATATTGAATGAAATCCTTAAATCTTATAGCACGCATTGCAGCATTTCTTTGCAGTTAATAAAGTTTTAAGCACTATATATATATATATATATATAGTTTTGTAAAACAAAAAAAAAAATTAGAAAACTTTACATTAATTCAACATATAAATAAAAAATATAAACACATACATACATACATAAACACACATAAAAATTATAAAAAATAAAAAAAAAAAATTTTAATTTTTAAAAAATTATATTAAAATTATGCAAATTAAAAGAAATTATCAAATAAACTAAAAATTAGACTTTATAATAAAAAAAAAAGCATAGAAGTCAATGTCTTAAGTTCATCAAATTGTTTCGAAATTATCACACTATATACCTATATATGTACATGTAGTGCACATATATGTATGTACATATGTACTATATGTAACTATATTATTTTATTTCATTGATGAAATGTGTAAAATTATAACTAATTGGGTTAAATTATCTTTGAATATTTCACGTTTTATTTAATAAATTATTTTTATTATACCTACACTCCGATATAAAATTTGCAACAAAGAATAAAAATGAATGCCGCACAAAGTGGAGGCCATACAACTGGTATGAATAAAAAAGGTTCTCAATTGGAGGTGAGGAGATTAATCAAATATATATATATATAAATATATATATATTATTACAATAATAAATAATTTTGTTTTGTTTTTTTTTTTTTGTTATACGTTTTTAATTTATGTAAATAAAATAATGACAAAATAAAAAGCGACCTTTTGAATAATTTTTTCGTGCAACATAAAATTGCGTGCAATTAATTTTCTTATATTTCAAAGTATACCAATCTTTATATATATACATACATACATATATAAAAGAAAACAAGGAATAATTGATTTTATTTCATATTATAATACAAAAGCGCTTAACATGCAAATTATTAATTCATATACTATGGGTATTTCTCAAGTAATATTTTATAAAAATTGTATATACGCGCTAGATAGCTATACGTACAACATCCTTTTGATGCTTATTATTCAGATTTTTAAGAAAACATTTCATTTACAAATTTAAAATACCTACGTACAATATATATATATAATGTTTAAACATGCAAGTTTCAAACAACAAATTTCTCTAGAGTCTAGAACAATTTTTCTTCTTTAAATTAATAGCCAATAATTCCTAAAAATTTTTAGTTTAATTTACGTAGAAAAGAAGGAACTTTCTTTTTCAACCGCGAAATTGCATAAAAATATCTCTTTCTTATACAAAATTGTCAATGAAATTGAGCGTATTCTAAATAAATTTTTTTGTTACTTTGTTTTTCAAATTTTTAACATCATTTTGCATCAAAAAAATTCTGTCCCTCTCTCTTCCATGTTATCGCCAACTAAATAAGAAAATTTTTAATTTTCACGAAATAATGTCATTGAAATTATAAGTTTCTTCCAAATTTTTATAGTAGATGATCTAATTAGCCCTGAAATTCAACCATTATTCTAATGGTTCTCTTAAATGATAGTTTCAATGTGGTTTCATCATAAAACTATGTAATTAGAATACACAATATTAAGGAAAAAGTGTAATTATTGCTATATACATTTTTATGCACATATTAATTATGCATACACATACATATTATATAGTACACAATCGTAAATTTATGATTTGTCTTGGATTTTGTAAAAAAAAACTTTTATTCGAGCACATTTTCTAGCAATTTTAATTATTTACATTATATAAAAGAAAATACTTAAAGATTAATTAAGAAAATACTTAAGTTATGGAAAAGATTTTCGAATGGTACTACTTATGATGATTGTCGAATTTACCTAATTTCTGTTGCACGATTTTTGAAATATGTATAATGATTTGAAAATATTAATGAAATCTCAGATTGCAATATTGTACTTGTGAACCTATATCCAAATCTCAATTAACTCGATTAAGTAAAAAAAAAATTATTTAATAGGTATTAATAAAATCTATAGATTATTGCATAAGCTAAATAAAAAATTATCAAAACTTTTGAATTCTAAAAAAATTGTAAATTTATTTTTTATTTTTATGTATTTATACTAGGAACTAGTAGCAATTTCTCCAGAGAGAAGAAATTGGCGAGGAATATTTATTGCGCTTTTAGTAATTGCAGCAGTTTTTAGTTTAATAATTTTTTCCATATTTTTACTCTCTCCAGGTAATTTTTTCTTAATTTTTCTATTAACATTATATGATAAGGTTATAAGTTGAATTCATTTAAATAAGTTTGCAGTTTAAAAAATCAAAATAAATCTCATAGTTAACCTTCAACTCAAATAAACACCATAGTACACATGCATATTATATTAAGTGTTTTGTAAATTTGACATTTCCATATACATGTAGCTTTTAATGAAATTCATTTTCATCAAAAAAAAAAATCAAATAATTAACATAAATAATAACACAATTTTCTTAAAAAATATTAATTAAAAATTCATAAATTATAGTGTTAAATAAGAAATAATATTATTTTAAATCATTTGATAGAATTTATTTGATATGTACATACATGCCTATATAAATAGTGAACAAATAATTTTAGTTTTATCAACCTATTCGTTTTATTACAAAAAACAAACATACATACATCACAACTACCTATAACAAATTTATTTCCTTCAAATACACATAATGAAAAAACAAAATCGTTACCTTTAAAGTTTTTTAAAATGAATTCAGCCTGTAATTATGCAAATTGATTTTAATTAAATTCAAATATTCAACAATGTATAGAGGACGAAGCTACTCGGGTAAAAGGTAGACGTTTTGTTTTATCAGATATAACTAGTCAAGGTCTTAAATGGAAATCATTTAATACATCTTGGATTAGTGGTAAGAGCAATTTTTCAAAAAAAATTCTTTAATTACTTTTACTTTTATGTCGATTTGCATTTTTAGGTTCTGAATTGGTTTATAGAGATGCAGACGGAGGTCTATCTTTATTGGATCTTAAGACATCAGAGACCAGGATTCTTATGACAAATACGACTTTTGTAAGCTTTTTGTTTAAAATAAAATCTATTCATATTTATTCAATTTTATCGATATTTAGTTTATTTTCATAAAGATTAGTAATTAAAGTTGTTCTTGTCATGAAAGTAATCATGTATTTGATATAATTATATTAAAAGTTTTTAATTTTTCTTTTTTAATTTCAGAGACAACTTAATATAGAATTATTCCTCTTATCACCTGATTTAAATTATGTTTTACTTTTTGGTGATACAATAAATTCAAAGTAAGTATTTTATTAAAGATTGACTATACCTAAATTGTATGTAAGTGCTTAAATGTTTTTGAATACTCTTAAAATTTGATAAATAAATGAGATTTCCTTAGTTGATTTACTTCAAAACGTAAATAAAATTTCCGGTTTGTAATTTATTATTACAAATGACGGCTATTGAGTTCATATGATTTTTTTTTTTTATTTCAATTTCCTATTTGTTTTCTCTCAATTTTAATTTTCTTATCCTGTATGAGAAAAATTAATTACAATAATAGTATAATATTTGAAAATTACGATACGCAGTCAATCGTAAAATTACAAAATATTTCTTTATTAATATGTTTGTATAATTAATTTATGCAAAATTATATTTTATTAATTCCAGGTTTTACATATATGAGTTCGCGACAAGGAATATATTTCCATTAACTCCAATAGAGAATACTGCTGAAGCACCAATATTACAACTTGTAATATGGGCTCCATATAACGTACAAGTAAATTCTAACGGCAAATCAAATATTAATAATCCAACAGGTGCCAAAGTCGGCTCACAAGCAATAGCTTTCGTCTATGAGAATGACATATTTTATAAACCTAAAGTGCAAGGTGATTTAGTATGTAAAGTAACAAAAACCGGTAAGTATATCTAATAATAATATTAAAAAAATATGTTATGTACACTTTACAAAACTATTTCTGCTACAGTTTCATCGATATTAGATTTTAGAGGGTATTTGACAAGTCCAATATGCCGAAAACCCAATAATATTCGTGTTAACCACAAAAAAACCACAAAAAAGAGGTTATCGTATACCTAACATCACATGTTAACGGAACTCTCTGCGTTAGAGAAGCATTTATGACATATTTTTAATGAGGGGTCAGTCAGTCAAACTCTCTTTGAATTACAATTATTATTTTTTAAATTTACATCTGATTTATGGACACAAAGACTTGTTCAATTTTTGAAAACTATTAGACGATATATTATATATTAATCTATTTTACTATTAGATAGAGTTAAAAATATACCAATGTTATATTTTTAATTATATCCACTTTTGTTTAATGTTGTACTGCCTTTTAAAAGGCCCATTTAAAATATAATGAATTAATTCTCCTAAAAAGAATACAAGTAGAGGGTCATTAAATGTAATTAAACACTACATAGCAATAGTTGCTGTAAAAAAATTAGACAATGGCAATCACACATGGCAATATCATCGTCTTTATTATAAATCGCAACTATATTAACATTTGAATTTTTGATATTTAAATATAAATTTTATATGTGTATGTATGTACGTTCATTTTGTTTTATACTGCAATTTTAATTATAAGGTCAAGCCGGTTTAATATATAATGGCGTACCAGATTGGACATATTCAAACATTCCAGAACTTAAAAGTGCCACCATAGCATTTTCCACAGATGGCCAGTATTTATCTTTTTTATCATACAATGATAGTGAAGTGAACGAATATAGGTAAATAAAATGGTGTTTTATGTTCAAACATATTAACTAATTTTTTATATATTGAAATCTTATTGTTAAAGGTACATGTTAGCTAGTGAAGATGTAAAATATCCAAAAGTCAAATCTATAAGATACCCAAAAACAGGGACCAAAAACCCAAATGTTACAGTTTATGTAGTTAACTTATCAGTTTTAAAATTTATATTCCCACAAAAACTTAACTTACCCATAGACGAAACAAATGGAACTTACGTTAGTGCTATGACATGGCTTAATCCGACTGATTTATCAGTAACTGTAACAACAAGAAAACAAACAAAAGCAGTTACAATCATTTGTCAAGCTCCCTTATTTAAATGCTATAAAATTCATACAGAAGTAACAGTAAGTGATGGATGGGTACTTCCATCTGACTTACCAATTTATACAAAACATGCATTTTCAAATGATTTACAAAATGGGTTTCAAAATAACAACAGTAATGGTAATATAAACAGTAATGGAAACTCTAGTTCTCCAAACAAAATTTTGACCGGATTTTTATTAAAAAGACTTCCAGTACGTGATGGCGAAAATGGACATTTTCGGCAAGTGGTATTATATTCTTTAGAAGAGGCGCGAACAATACCTTTAACTATAGGTCGATCTGAAGTTACAAAGATTATTGGATGGGACTTAGCTAACAATTTAATATATTACATAGCAGCGCCAGAACGAAAACCAGGCGAAAGACATTTATATAAAATCAGTATAAATATTAAAATGTCCGATGTAACTAATAGAACCTACGTTAATCAAAGCTCACCAATTTGCTTAACATGTAAGGCTGTTAATTATCAACCCTTCCTTACAAAAGACGAAAACTCAACTGACAAAGACTGTGCTATTCAGAGTTCAAAGGAATGTTTATATAACGAGATCTACTTTAGTAAAGATTATTCATATTACATACAAGAATGTTTGGGTCCTGATGTGCCATCTGTACATGTTGTTGAAAGTGAAAGTAATCAAATTGTCAAAATTCTTACTATAAGTGAAGATTTGCGTAGTAAATTAGGTCAACTAGCTCTTCCCCAAATTAGAACATTTAGTGTTGAAATAAGACATGGGTTTCAAGCTCAAGTGCGATTATATCTTCCACCAGGAATGAAAGAAGATGAAGAAATTGCTTTTCCATTAATTTTACAAATGTAATTGTTCAAAAACAAGTTAGTGTCCAAAAATTAATTAAAATATTTTCCTTTTTCAGTGATGCTTCGCCAGGTTCGCAATTAGTTTCAGAAAAATTTGAAATAGATTGGAATTGGTATCTATGTAGCCAAAGATCATTTGTAGTTGCACAAATAGATGTCAGAGGAAGTGGTTTTCAAGGGGAATTACTGCGCACACAACTGCATGGGAGACTAGGAACTGTCGAAATTGAGGATCAGTTAGGAGTTTTAACGTAAATAAAAGAAAGCTATAAATTTATGAAAAAAAATGTACGATTATTTTTCTTCTTTTTACATACTTTACAACTTTTTAGTTACTTGCGAGACAATATAAAATTTATTGATCCATCTAGAATTTGTGTTTATGGTGTTGGATATGGAGGATATGCCGCAACGTTGTCTTTACTTGAGGATTCTCAACAAATATTGCAATGTGCAATTGCTATAAATCCCATAACAGCATTCGGTCATCATTGTAAGAATTAAAACAAAAATATTGTATAAATCAAATGAAACATACTTACATACATATTTAAATTTATTTGTTCGATAAAGTTTTTTAAACTGTTAATAATTAAAGTCTTTTTCTTTAATTAGATTCTTTTTTCACTGAGAGATACATTCCTCAAAATGGCAACTTTAATCATGCTCTTGAGCAAGCAGATTTAAGGAAAAAAATCAGTAAAATGAAAAGTAGGAAATACATGTTGATATATGGAACTGCCGATTTAGTGGTTCACCAGGAGCATTCCCTAATGCTTACTAGAGCTTTAATTAATGAAGACGTACAATTTAGGCAACAAGTATGTATATATATATGTTTTGAAATTGATTTTTTTTAAAGCAAGTATAACTCATAAGTAAATCTTTTTCAACTTAATAAGTCATTAAATTCATTTCAAATTAATACAATGAAACTTTCAGATATACCCAGGCGGCGACCATCAACTATCGCAGGTTGAGTATCATTTGTACAGAACTATGGAATGGTATATAGATGAATGTTTTGGACCTTTAGAAACGGATGATTGGGATCCAACAGGATTTTTATTTAAACCGTAGAATTGTAGTTTATTTTTAGATCAAATTTAAACCTAAAGTTATTGTACATTGAAAGGTGCGCAAAATTTAAAAATATATTTGAATAGACTGAACACGTGTAATATTAAGAATTTACTATAGTTTTTTTCAAGGTATTTACTAAAATTTAGAAAACGACTCCGTTTTGTAAATACTTTATGGTAACTATTCCCTAAAATTAGATTGTTAAAAATATAAAATTATGTTTGCCATCCATATAAATTTCTGAAAGGTTTAGAAAATCACGGAACGAAAAACTTAAACATTAAAAACTGACATTTCACATACCAGTGTTGAGCGTCAATGTTTATGGTTAATACTTACCATAGGGGATAATTTGAACCAGTGATTTGAAAATAAAGAACTTTTGTTATATTAGAGCACACCTCCATAAATCAATTAATATTTCATGACGACTTCGTGTATAAACGAGCAAAAAACATTTTTGAACTTTAAAAAAAAAATTTTTGCATATTTAAAATTTAAAAAGTTATTTGAAAGTTTTAAAATTTAATTTATTACGCTACATTTTTTTCTCAAAAAGTAACATTTTCGTTAAAAAAAAGTTTATAAAATAAAATTTTTTTGATTAAAAAATTTTGTAATAAATTTAACAGCAAAAGTAAAATTATTTTAAACATTATACATACATAATTATAAAATCATAATCTTTATGTACTTAAAATTAATCTAAAAATTATACATATGTATATAAAATTTTCTTATATCCCAATGGACGGAATCGATAATAAGATTTGTTGTAAATTATATTTGATTTCTTATTTACAATATTGTTTTTGATAAAAATAAAATAACAAGTAAATATAAAATTTGCTGGTAACTGAAAGATTTGTTTCCTGCACTCTAAAATTCACAACAATTAATACGTATACAAGTATTTAATCAATTTCACGTGAATAACTTACTATGACATAATAATTACATCTATCTCCCTGGCAGCATTCAAAGCAGTTCCAATCTTCGTACCAAATATGTGTGCAATAACGCATATAATGCGATCTAGTTTTTTGGCATATATGTTTTGTCGAACACTTTTTAGAAACATAATACTGCTTTTGTGCGCCTTCTGAAAAATAAGGCATACTTCCCCACCTGATTTCCGTTTGACAAGCATCTTGTCCTGTAGTTTAAATTATGTAATATAAAATTTTTTCTTTTGTTCTGTCTGATATATCAAAAATTTATACCTGGATCACAAGTTTTAATCGTGTTTAAACATTTTTCAGTATTTCCAGTCTGATTTGAGCATACATAGCATTCGAGAGAAACAACGTTACTTGCTGAAATTATATTTTATAGAATTATAATTTAAATACAAAATTTTATGAAAGCAAAATTAAAAAAGGAGCTGCGAAGAAATTTTTTCCCAATAGATTCAAATAAAATCAATATTCAAATGGCATATGATCACGTAATTATGCATTAGGTATGAAATGAAAAACGTAAATCTTACTTGCGTTTATTTCACTATGATTCTGTTTGCGTACATGGTACCTACAATTTTTTTTGACAATACCTTTTTATACAAATCGTTTGGGAGAACATTTATCTGGTATTTTAATACTTCACTACTGCAGTTAAGAATTCTTATGAGATTGTGTGGAAAACAATGCATATTTTGAGTACTGAATGTATGTAAGCTTTTTATCTGTTTTTGACTTTCGTTACATGCCTACTTGTGTACGTTAAATGTGTTAATATAGTTTTAATATTCTTTAGCATGAAATCTTTTGCTTTCGACAAAATATTTTTAATTGTATTCCGGCAATTCAATTCTACTTAATAAAAATACTCCACCCTTACTATACCTATATGTATGAAACGTGCCAATTGGCAAATATGAACGTTCCTGTATATATGTACATAATTTAAGTCTCAGTCTTGACTTATTGTTTGTCTGTGCACAAATTTTAAAAATTTCTAGTGTATATTACAAATTTGAAGGTTTTGATTCTTTAATCCTTAAATCACATACCTTTAAAAACAATCGTAGCAAAAAATATGAGGAATAACACCTCAGCCACTAACAATTTATTCATTTTAAAAACAAAAAACAATATTAATTAGAAAACACATTAGTGATTAATAAAAATAACAAAACCAAATTAATCCATCAATTACAAATAGGGTTGAACAAAATTAAAACAGAAACATTGATGAATCGATATAATGGCACATTCATGAAAATGTTGAAAACATAGATACTACTACATAACTTAATTTTATATTTTCCAGTTTTTCCGATATTTTACATTTAATGTTTTCAAGCTGAATTCATTTGCTGGCTTTACGACGAGTTAATTTATTTTGTATGAAATTCATACTTTCTCCATTTTCATAGTAACTTTCTCTCTTTCAAAAGCTTTATAAATTTTTTGCATGCAAGGCGCGCCTGGAAAGTTTCACACATTTTTAATCCAAAAACAAAATTTTCGGTTTTAGGCATAAACAAAATATATTTGTTTATGTTTAACTTTGAAATTTGGCGATTATCACATTTATAACGTTTTTAAAAGATATTCCGAGTTTTCCGTCTAGTTTATTTTTTTTAAAAGAGATTTTTTTTCTTTTTGCGAGAAATTACATAATTTTTTCTCTTTTTAAAGTTTTTTCAAATTTTATCCCAAACAGACCTCTTATGCGTCTCGTATAATATTTTTTGAGCAAAAATGAAAGTGGTGATCTCATATTTTTCTTAATGTTTAAAGTTTTTCCAAGTATTGTGAAACAAAATTTAGTGTTTTAAAAACTTTTACCTGTCAAAACATATTTTCTTCTTATGCATGCACTATTTTTGTTTGATAAATATTTTGAAATTTGACGAATTTTGAATACGTTTTTAAAGTTTTCTCAACTTATTATTTTCTGTTAAATCAGAATTTTTTTCTTTACAAGTAGTGACGTCACTGTTTCCTCCTTTTTAAATTTTTTTCAAGTTTTTTGCTAGACAGACAGGCCCTAAAACTGTTTTAAAAAAAATCGCTCAGTAGTCTAAATAAACACGTACGCGATAATCAAAATTGCCGTATTGCCGGTGCGGCATAACGAAATTGTACCTCCCAACATTATTATATTAGATCTAAAACATCTAAAAAGTATCATCAGAAATGTAATATGTTAAATTTAATACATTAGAGGTAATCAGAACGGTAACCTGTAACTGCTTATCAAGAACTGACTATGCAAATAACCAATAGCACTGTGGAAAAAACTCACATGTGTTAGTTGTACATGTGTATGTTCATGTATAAGTTGAATATTAGCTGAATTAGTAAGTTAATAGCTGAAATATTTTTTTTTGCAATTTAAGAGAACAAAAATGTAAGGGTCTGAAGAAGCAATATTATTGAAAGTTTTGGAAAACTATTTTATAAATGTATTTATTTGTGTACATATACATTTGTACACATATGGTGTCATGTTCTGATGTTTATTGAAAAAGCCAAAGTTGAATTAAAGACGATTTTGATTTGAATTTTTAAAAATTCGAAATTATATTTACGTAATATATTTTTTTAATTAAAACGAAAACTAAATGCTATAAGTATAAGTGTTCCGAATTTGTAAATGTATATAGATTTTCTTAAATATAAAAAGTAAGCTAAAAAGCATCCAGTGATTTCCGATATTATTTGAATGTTATTCGTTTTCTTCCTCATGTTGCTGAAGTAACGGGCTTTGATCTAAATTATCAATGAGTTCTTGCGGCAAGCTTGTGCCCGGTGTTGTTGGGGCGGACTTTGAAATCCAATGTCTACGTCCTCGGAAAAAATTATTTCCATTAACTGGACTCTTAATTGATCTCATATTTGGATTCCATATCGGAATATAAACAGATTTATTTTGTCTTGAAATTTTTGTTCTGCTAGATAATGCCGAAGGCCGTTTTTTAATTGAATTTTTAGGTTCAATTTTTAAATCGTTAATGCTTATGTCATCTATTTCTAGTTGTCGAATACTTTCTAAAACATCTCGCACTTCATCACCTGTGGGCGATATTGCTTGGGGTGGTGAAGATGGTGTGTCTATATTTGCTAAACTACTAACAACAGAACAAGTAGTGGAACTTAAATAATTTGAGGGTAAACCGTTTTTTCTCCCATCATCATTTAATAATGATAAATTGGCATCGTTTGTAAAATTCTGCGGTGGAAAATGTTGTTGTTGTAGAATTTGACAGCATGTTTCTAAACTTCTTCTAAATACGTCCGAATTTCGATAATCGTTACTATTTTCCCTAGTAACAGGAACTGTAATTGATATCCCACCGACAGAACCACATGAGTTATAAATAGGATTATTACTATTTAAAAATTGACTTGTGCTATTATTTTTTCTACCTGAAAAATTCATATTGTTTGATGGATGTTCGTTAGTGAAATTATTTTTCATAACGGCGCCCTTTGTTTGTTTAAAGTTATTGGCTGCAAAAATATCACTGTAACATGGATTGCTCATGAGAATATTACAAAACTGTTGTGAATTAATTTCCTCTAACGAGTTCTCTCTTAATACTAAACTTTGATCTTCGTTATTAATCCCTGTTTGCGTAATATTGTTAGTTATTTTAGTTTCGCATTTCGTATTATTACCGTTATTTATATTATTAACAGTGTTTTCCGTATTTATTAAATTAGATATTATTTTATTTAAGTGAGAATTATCAGAAGATAAAGCCGTTTGAGAAGCAGATCTTGGTATCATGAAATGTTGCTGGAAATGTGAATTAATCGCAGTCTCGGGGCTTGTAGCTCGCGAATATGGAGGAGGAACTAGTGTATTTGCTTCGTTTGCATTACAAATAAAACTCGAGCTCAGTGAATCAATTGTACTAGTCGCGGAAATTGATCCAACGGGTCGAACTATATAATTTCGAAAATATTGAACCATTAAGTAACTGGTTCCGTTTTTACCATTTTCACTGTTGCAAGTAAATACCAAAGGATATAAATCTGGCTTCGATGTAACCTAAAAATAAAAATTATTAGAAAATATAAGAATATTTATAGCTTCATCAAGAATTAATTTAGATTTTTGTATTTATTTTTAGTATGATTAAATGCAAATATTTCTTAACCTCGGTATATGGTGGCGGAGGATGATGAAATGAGCTACATCTACTGTACTGAGGTGGAGCGTAACATGAACCAGCTGAATCTCCTTCAGATTGTGTGTGATGGTCTGAAGATCGCCAACCACAGAACTGTCTCCGTTTTTTCCACAATGAATACGCACATAAAATAGATAACAGAATAGCAACTACAACACACCTGGAAATTATTAATAGTTTTTTTCAGTATTATTTAATATTATTTTTAATAATTTTGAATTTTCAATTTTTTACTGTTACTTTTTTATATGTGTATATATAGGAGTATGTAGCAATAACTTTTAAATACATGAAATTAATTGAAGGTTTTTTACAAATAGCCAATATGATCGCATGATTATCGGTATGAATATGTACATAATTCCAAGATTGCTAATCTATTTCTTGACCATAATTATTTCAAAGAATATAACTATTTTCATAATTTAAAATATAACTATTGTTTCAAGTTTCCTTAAAAATAATAGCAAATATGATTTTTAATTTATATCTTCCTAAAAGTGAATCTTATACAATTTTGATAAAAAAAATATAGATTTTTTTTCACAAAGCTAAGCCAAATCATTAATTTTGAAGGAGTTTTTATTCTTCATTTTATTGTTCCTTTCCTTGTTTTATTAAAGAAACTATAGAGTAGAGGCCGAAAAAAAATGAGGTCTTTAATATTGAACTCCTATTAAAATTTTACAAGAGATCTTCGCAAGAGGTTTCTTATTATATTGAATATCGATTATAAACAATATTTAAAGATTTACACATATGACATATATAAATAGTATGCTTATACATATGTACATATATATTTTGCTATGATATAATAAATATTAAACGAAAAAAAAAATTGTTAATCTGTAAACAAAAAGTTGAATTTAATATGCATGAATGTATGTAACACATGTATTATTAAGAGAACAGTTATGTGCCTGATAGTTCTTACATATGTACATATAATTATATTATGTAAATATTGTAAAAAATTTCGTTTTGTACCTACATATATAAATAGTTATTTTGATTCCAAGAACATTAATCTTCTGTGGTTACATTTTTATAATTCTTATAGCTAAAAAATAGAAAAATATTATGTACTTACCAAAAATACCAATGATTAATAAAAAATAAATTCAAAACGTGATCCGTCGCAACTCGAGGTTGTGTTGGACAACAACCTTGAGAACAACATTCACGATTAGAAGAGCATAAATGTCCTTCATCACAATTTGTAATTTTTGCCACCTGAAAATTGTAAAAAAGAAATGTTTTACCTTATAATTACTGAATATATTATGAAATATTAAAGTTATATATGAATGTAACATATGTAAATATTACAAATTGAATATATACATATATACATATACATATATATGTATATGTATGTAAAACTTACTAAAACTGGCACGCAAGAATATGTAAAAATAGAAGAAATCACATATTTGTACGAATAGTGCAACATGTTATTTTGCTATTAAAACATAAACACGTTATTTTCATTATAAAATCGAAAAACAGTTTTAAAAATTTAATTTTCAATATTTTTTTAAAATTATAACTTATGTAAAGATTTTTTAAATAAAAGATGTTAAATTTTTTTTTTTTTTTTTTTTTGGAAAAATCGAACTTGCAATATGACGTTTGTCAATTTCCTAATAGTAAAATTTTCGTTAACATATTTCGTTAATTTCCACTCTTCGTAAACTCTTTATTTCAAATTCGGAAAATTCAATTGCGAGAAAATGTTGAATTTTTGAAATGTGAGAAACGTCTTTTTATCTTTTTTCGATAGAATATGTATGTAGGTATTTTATACGATAATGAAAAAAATTTAATAAATTTTAAATAATTAGGTGCTTAATTTTTAATTGCTTAATATTTAATTAAAAGATTTAATAAATTTTAATTAAATTTTAAATAAGTTAAATTAAACCTATTCATTTATGCCTTAGGTTCTGGCAAGAAATGGGTCTCCAACACATTCAATTTGATATCACCTATTTGTTAAGTCGAGTTAACATTAAATGTTTCATTAAAAACCATTCTCGTTTATTCATAATAACAAGTCAAGATATTTTTTTCGAGAACTTCGCCTTTTTAATTTTATATTAAGGAAAAACTTTGTACCTAGCTACCTTATTTCTGTTTTATTGAATGAATATTGCAATAAGTATAGAATACAAATTATTATGCAGGAAATAGATAAACATATATACAGTTCTCCCCGGTTAATTGAACCGAGAAAAGTTGCACACTTTTTGTATCAATTAAGCGGGTAAATCAATTAAAAAAATCCCGTTTAATTGAACAATTGGTGCAATAAAACGAATTTTTTTAACTGAATCGTTTACGCATGAAAACGAATACTCGCTATTGAAGATCAGGCGCAAAAACGAATTTGATCCTGCTACTGCATAAAATTAATAAAAACAATAGGAAGCATATCCTATTACATATACTTATCAAAATATCCTAGGTAAAAAGCTATATTTAAAATAGGGGATACACTAATGAAATACTAAAACTCAAATTTTTTTTTATTTCAAAATTTAAAAACTTAAATTTTTCTTTATTTCAAAATTTTAAAACTTAAATTTTTCATCATTTTAAATCCATCTAAGTAATGTAACTGTGAATTCAAATTCAATATATGTAAACCATAATATTTTTATATCACATAACATAACAAAAATTAAAAATAAATATTTCATATTACAAAGAAAACAAAATATTTCATACGTTATATCTAATTTTTCAATAAATTTACTATTGCTAGTTTAACAACAACAAATAGAATAAACAGGTCAATAAACAGGGGAATTTTTCACAGTTTTTATAAGGTAATACCAAAAAAAGAGATTCATTTAAGCGAGTTGTTCAATTAAACGGGACTCAATTAAACGATGTTATTCATGTATATTTTAATAGGGATTTAAAGTTGCCTTAGTTTTTCGTTCAATAAAAGGGGAAAATCAATTAAGCGTGGTGCATTTAACCGGGGAGAACTGTACTTACTATGTACATTCAAAAATTATTCGAAGTAGTAACGTTGCATAATCGCAATTTCAACCACCACCTTTTTGTGATAGCAAAAAGGAAATTCAAGATCAATAAAGTCTAACAAATTTTCAAACCTTTTCTCCAAAAATCACTTTTTATCTTTTTTTCACTTATTGCACTATACCTAACATAAATTGAACCTTAAAAAGCCCTTATAAAATGTACTTATGTAAATACAAAATGTCAAACACAAAAGTTTGACCATATAAACCAGAGGTGGGGAACCTTTTTACCCATGGAGGCCAAATTTCAAATAATAACTAAGGAGGCCTCGCACAAGTTTTAATACCAATAAATGTAATTTTTGCTATGATATAATAACTGTATACTGTGCAAATTCCGTTTTTTTTATTTTAAATTCAGTTTTGGTTTATTCCAAAATAAATGTTTTCTTATTTTAAAGTCAATATTTTTTTTATGCATACTCGTATGTACATAAATACATATAAAAATTAATTAAATTGTATTACTAAAACAAACAAATTAATTCAATGAAAAGTAAATAAGTAAACATAAATAACAAAAAAACCACTTCAAATTCATTATTAAATAAATTTAATTCAAGTTAGATTATAGGTATTTAGTGAGACATTTGCATTTGATTTTTACTTGAAAAGAATTAAATATTTAAAGGGCATACAAATACTAAAGGCGGCGGGGCGTGACCGCACAAAAACACTTAAAGGCCACAGATTTCCAATCTCGGATATAAGCCTCAGGTGCATTGCAAAATATTCAATAAATTGTTCACTTTTCAAAAAGCAAATTTTTTTTTGCAACTAGAAAATTAAACTTGAAAGATGATTTTGTCAAAATTTATTCTTTGGTATGTAATAAAAATCGAATTTGCATAGACTCTATTCTTTTTAAATTCCTAAGAGAAAATTAATAGTAGAAAAGCGTGCAAATAAGTGATTTTTTTTTCTGAACTTTAATTTCTTCTTTAATTTCATCTGTTATATTTTAGTCCATATTACTTTCGATGAGTATGCGCCGTTTGCCAAGAAAGAAATGAGCAATGTTACAGCAATAAATAGAGTAATAAAATTTAAAACTTGATTTTGACATTTTATAAATAATAAATGGACATAAAAAACTTATTTTTGGTTCACATTATATACATAAGCGCATTATGGATAAGTATTTAAGTATGTATATATATATATATATATATATATACGTATGTATGTTTGTACATGCAAGTAAGGCTTTACATTTATGTGTAAGTTTTAATTAAAAATAAAACAATTCTATTCCAGTTTAAGGTAAATGCGGCCTTTAATTAAAGAAATGAGTTTAAAAATTACATAATCTATATACGATTGCATGTACATAGATACCTAACATATCCATATGTACAATTAACACACACACATACATGGCATATATAGTAAGTATGTACATAGCTGAACAACACCGTATAATTCTCTTTTTTGTGAAGCAAGCGAATTATTTTCATGCCTTCCTGCAGATTTGTGATCAGTTTTAGTTTTAAAATTCTGTTTTAATTACTACTTTAATTAAAGATTTTCATAGGATTGATATTTAAAGTCAAATAAACTTTTAAAAGCTTCCTATTAAGCTTAAAATCTTATTTTGCCACTGTTGTTTTTCTTTCATCATTTGTTTTCATGTTTGTGTGACATTATATGGAAAATACTGGAAACAGTTGACTCTGCCTTTCGACTGGTGTTCTGTGTTAATAACGGAAATCTTGCGGTAAATCGCTTTGATTTTGTGTCTACACTAAGCTGAGAATGTTAAAATGCTTGGAATATACATTCCTGTTCACCCACGCTTATTTTCATATATAAAAATTCTGTTATTTCTTTTACTGAATGAATTGATCTATTGAAAGTTTAATAGTGAATTAGGTTTAAAAGCGTCTTCACTTCGAGGCTTGTTTTAAAACAACTTGATTAGAAATTAATTGAGTTACTTTGTCACAAAACCAATATATATGCTAAAATTAATAACTTGTCAAAAAATTGAACAATTTGTTTTTTCTTATTGTTAAAACTTTTAAACTCTATTAACTCAGTTCTCAGATTACCTAGCAAGTTGGAAGATGGTTTGTTGGAAATGTTTTGGTGGCAGCTTGACTTCTTTACCATTCCTTCCCCCTTGAAAACTTTTCTGCCTTTAAAAGTGATCGTCTACACGCCTATCGAAATCTTAAGTAATTTAAGAAAATAAGTATTAATTTTCAGCTACAAAATCTAACCACAATCATTTCTCTCCCAGGGTATTTGCTAAAAACCGAATTTTTATATAACTCTATAGTTTCTAAGTTAATTGAGTTAAAATGTAATTCGGTCTCGTGAAGGAACCTTGAGGTGATTTCTGCTATAGTTCGACTAGTTTTTAACATTGTTCAAATATTATATGCGAGACCTTTTGTAGCAATAGTTTGTTTTTTCATGGTTGGTAATGATAAATTGTTTAAAAAATTATTTATATTTTTCGTGCAAAATAACATATCTTACTTAAAAATTTCAAAAAGTCATAAAAAATAATTCAGCAGTTTTTGAAATTCAGATATTTTCTGCTAATTTCTTTTATTCGATAGCTTTGCCGTTGTTTTCGATTTATTCGATAGTTACCATCCCTATTCCGTCTGTCAAACATTTAGGATTTTTAAAATAAAATGTATTATGTAGTTGAGTTTAATAATATTCCGAATATAAATAAAAGAAATTAAAAGTGTTAATTTAAAACTAGTGTGATGGAACTCGATCAAAGTTTAAGTTGTAATTAAATATCAATATGGCCTTAAAAGAAAATATGTTTAAATGGTTTTTAATATGTTTTAGTGCGTACGAAGGATATTGAATTAGCAGTACAAAGGGAAAAAGAAAATTTATTAAAATGTATTCTGAATAATAGAGATGATAAGCGTGAGTTTCTCAATCAGTTGTTTTCATTTTTTGAAGATGCAGAAGTTTTCAATGTTGGATATATTTTAAACCTGTTGGAAAAATATTTTAGCATAGGAGATAAAGAAAATTGCACGGTTTTAGTAACTTTGCCAGAAAAGTTTAATAAGAAACCTTCAAATCTGGTCCCACTTTTAGAATTTGTAATAACATTGAAAACTCTGGTTAATGCAGTCATTAATCAAAATACATGTATTAAATTAGAGAAATTTTTCATGAATAGAAGTATTATATATCATTTGATAAGCGATCTTCCGGCCTCAAATTTATTTGAAATATTAAAAATCGAAACAAAACTTGCATCAGAAGAAAATTCTGCTAATTATGTTATTCAAAAGCAACAACTGATTTATTATTTAGTTTTGGAAAAAGTTCATGATGTAGTGATTCTTAAAAATCCTAGAAACTTTAAAGTTAATGATCTCATGGAAGAAATTGATGATTTGGTGATTTATAATGAGTTGCTAAATGATATATTTAAGTTATTTTTTGTTAAACATACACAGTTTTCTAAGTTTAAAATTGATATTAGTGGATCTATTAATTATGATGAAAACAAAGGTAAAGAATATGAACATAAAATTTGTGCTTCTTCGAGTTTTATTTGTTTGGGCCCTCAACTAAAAGAAATATTAAAATATTTACAACAGAACATTTCGAAGAAGAATACATTTTTCAAACAAAATTTCAGCAAAATCGAATATGAAAAATTAGAAAAATATGAAATTCACATCAATGAAGCACTACACAAATTGAATTTTTTGACATCATTAAATTCCAGCAAAAATTTTTTTTCTAGTGTTGAAGATTTATCTGTGATATTGCGGCATCATTATACAATTGCTGATAAAATTAGCAGTGATGACGAAACTTCTAATACAAATGACACATCTAGTATTAGACGAAAGTCAAAACTAAAAAAAAAGTCAAGTTTAACAAAATCCGAAAAAACAAATTTAAATGAAAAAAAATTTCGTAAACGAGTTTCGGAAAAAAACTGTGTGATATCTATATTGCTTAGTGATTTTACAACTATAGCAGAATACGGCTTTGCTTTTATAAATTTTGATGATATAAGGAATATGAAATATGTAAGTAGCTAGTATACACTTAATCTTATTTCTTATTCCATAGAGATATAGTGCACACAATATGTATTAGCTTTTTGCTCTTATTCATTTTTTATTGTTCCAAACATTTATAATAAAATATTTTGTATTGTTAAATTTATTATAATATGTTTTGTTATTCTCTTAAAATTCACCTACAGTTTTATTTTTTTATTTTTTTAATTTTCAAATATAATTTGACAAGTAGGAAGCACTAATGAATATTTTTAAAAAATAATTTTGATTTATTTTAGCTCAGTAAAGTTGACAATGTAGAATTGGTACACACCATAGCTCTAATAAATAAAATAAAATTTTTTACAAAAAAAATTCAGTCTATCTTGAAAACATCAGAACACATCGAAACAGAAAATTTAAAAATTAATTCTGTGGTTGAACGCATATGGAACGTAGCGGTTATAGGATTTGAAGTTTCTTCAGTAATCAATATAATCGAACAATTTTTAGATGCAGTAAACATACAAGAACTACAATGTAATAATAAAGATTTATTTAAAAAGAGCATAGAAAACTCTAATTTATATTTAGAGCAATATGCTCCCTTAAATCAAAAATTGTCTGTAATAGTTGATCTTATTACCAATTTGGACTTAGAATGTGAAATATGCGAAAATATATTGGATTTGATAGAAAGAAGATCGTCTTTTTTGAACGTTAATTCCTTTGAAAGAATTGGCTATTTTGCATTTTTACATTCAATAACAGAATCCATGCGTGCCTATAAAGCAATATTTCCAAATGATAAAGCGAACACGTTACAAAATTTTTTAAAAAATTCTTTTTCATATGACGCATATGTAATCCAAGCTGAACTAAAAGAAATTTTAATGTTTAATGAAATTTATCAAATCAATAATATCTCAACATTGAAACTCAACGAAATTGATATCAAATACTTAGAAAGTTATTTTGAAAACCTGCCTTCATGCATTAATTATTTTGCTCGAATGAATAATTTTTTGAATACTTTTATTAGTCTTAAAAAGCTTTCGGGGTCAAATTTGGAGGATCATATCAATGAATTATTAAAAATGACACCGCGAGCATTAATAGCTAACATGATTTTTAAATCCGATGTATCATTTTTAGAGCTTGAACAAAAGTCAATTTCATTAAACTTAAATTTAGTTTACACTATGGTAGAGTTAATACTTCCCGATTTTATTAAAAAAGGGGATACTGGCGAAATTGAAAAATTTCAACTTTCTGGAAGTGTATACTCATGTATTATGGAATATATTATGCTCAGAAGTGCATTTTTGGGAAAACTGGTTGTAGAAATTTTTAATGAAATTAATTTTGAAAATTTGTCTAATGATAGTTTGCACATTAATTTAAAGTTTTTAAGAAAAATGCAGAAAATGGACATTGTTTGCAGTCTATCAATTTTACAAAAAAAGAGTCAGTTAGCATCAGCTTTACTCTTAGATTACATAAATGATGAAGATATTTCTTCAGTAAATGATTTATTTTTAAAATATATGGTATACAAAGGATTAAGAGAAAAGAACAATTCAAATTTTAATTTTTGTCTGAATGCAATTTTAAAACAACTTGTTTTTACCGATGTGAAATATATGTCTCTTCTTAAAATGATGAATTCTTCGGAACAACGATTTAATTTACTGATGGAAAATTATGAGAAAATAAATGATTATATTTTGCTAGAAGAAATAATCAACAGTATAGTGTTTGATAGGAATGTCAAGATTTTAAGTGATGATAAAATAGTAAAAATCAAAGAAATCAGTTTTGAAGTAGAAGTTTACTTAAAAATTTCAAAAATTCTAGAACTAAATTGTTGGAGAGACGCTTATAACTTTGGAAAATCACATCCTGCTAAGCTGTTTGAAATATTAATTTGTCATTACGAGTTTGACCTATTGAAAAGGTGGGCTAAAATGAATGGACTATATAGTGTAGTTAAAAATAAAAAATTTGAACAAATAGATTTAAAAAATTTAATAACTCCAGGTGATGAAATATTAAAAAATCTCTTGCACATTATTGAAAGGCTTCCAATAGATCGAGTTACTATGCTCCTTGAAATTAATTGTGATAAAGTTGATAATATTGGGTATTTCTTTAATATAATTAAATGTTTAGTTGAAAGCTCTGAAGCAAATTTTGAGAATTACAAGATTTCCTTGAAAATTGCTGGAATATTTCAAAACTATAATCTGCAAATGAATAAGAATTTATTAAGTAAACCCTTATTGTTACTTGAAGTACTAATAATGAACTCTAAGTTTCAACTGCTACATGAAGTATTGAATGAGATAGATAACGTTGTTTCAAGACATCCTTGTAAATATTGTGATGGAAAGGTTAGAAATAAGAAATATTCAATGCCACAAAATTCGAGTAAATATGAAAAGGCAGATATTGATTCAAAACCAAATTCAGAATTCATATTATTCTACTTCAATTTATATAAAGATGACCATATTCTTTCAGTTTCATGTATTGATCTTCTTTTACGTATGTATGCTTCTAAAGCATTAGATTTTCAAATAAGTAATAAATTCAAAATTTTTTATAAAAATATATCTATATCAACTGATGGTATAAGCATTGACTCTTTGGCATCTGCTTTTAAAATGCCTAAAGCTCCACCACAGAAACACGAGTGGATAAAAGATGAAGATGCCAATGTATGTCAAAGCTGCCGCTATACAGTTTTCACAATGTTGATCAGACGGCATCATTGTCGTCGCTGCGGACGTGTAGTCTGTTACTCTTGCTCTAAACATAGAATAAAAATTCCGGAAATATACCAAGATGTTCTCGTTCGCATATGTATTGATTGCGCTAAGGAAATTCAAGTTATGGAAGACAAAATAAAAAATAAGCAGAATATGGTAGAGAATAGAGAAAAATACGAAAATTGCGAAAATTTATTGGAATGGGAGTTAAATGGAAGCATAGCGCATGATGACATGTTGAGGCAGCAGTTCTGTTACGAACACGCTTGTGATGTTGCACTGTGCTTAACAATTCTATCATTTCATAAAAATCAAAAAAAATGTATAGATTTATTGTTATATCATTGCAAAAAATTGGAAATGTTATTAACGTTTCGAAATCCAGAAGCAAATTTTAATTCGATTGCGAAAATATTGAGCTGTTTGTCTTTGGCTGCTAAGGTAAATTGTTATTTATAACGTATAAAATTAATGATATAAATGAAATTTAACGTTTTATACTCGTAGAAATACTAACTACGCGCGGGTATTCTATGTCAATAATTATATGTACTGATTTTGTTTCGATATATGAACTAATTCAGTGCACTTTTCAAAATTAAAAAAATTCTGATTCTAGACATAATTTTACGAATAAAGTTAATTGAATCGTACACTTAATCCAAACTTTACATGAGAAATAAACAAATAAATAAATATGATATAATTAGTATTCAAATGGTAACGTTAGGAATATAAATTTCATGCCTCATAAGTCGGCATTATGTTTTGAAAATTTTATGTGATGTGCATTTGGAAATTTGATTTTTTGTTTTTTTTTTTCTTTAGATTCGTGGTGGACCTTCTGAATGTGACGCCATTCGTGAGCATGCCGATATTATCAAATCTTTTGCTAAGAATGGTTGTGAAAACTTGATGATTCCTGACTCATTTAATAAAAACAACATAAAAAAATTAACGTATAATTTGGTTGACGCCGAAAAATATTATTTAGCACTAGATATTTCACTTAAGCGTGGAGTTTCCATGTCAAAAGTTCTTGCTGCACATGGTTTGTCATATTTAAAATCTGGATGCTTTAATTTAGGTAAATTTTGCGAAAACTTTAACAATTAGTTTATTCCTTTTTTTTTCATAAACGAGTATATAATGAATTTGTAATTTCGTGTTTTAAATTTATGCTCATATTTTAAATTCGATTAAAATACCGGATTCTTTCATTCCATGTTCATTTTCGCGATTCTTTTAAATGAATGGCATGGTTTTGAGGTAAATTTTTGCCCACAACTATGGAACTAATTGGACATATGAACTAAATTTAGCCATTTCGAATGTAATTAGGTGTCAAACGAGTTAGTTAATTAGCCTGTTGTCACGGAATTGGATTTTTTAAAAATGGGTTTGACATAACTATAACGTTTGCTTTCTTATAATAAAAATTCGTTAATTCATTTTTTGATAATACTTAATCCTTATTAAATTTAGATTATATTATATATTTCTTTTATTATATTCCTTTCCAGCTCGCGAAAAATTTTTGCATTGCATGACAAATATTTGTTCTTTTGCTGAAGGAGCGCTTATTTTTGAAATCGTCATGTCATCCTCCACATTAAGTAACTTGAATATAAAAATGTATCGTAGACCGAAAAAAAGTCCACCTTTGCTTGGTGAAATAATAAGAGTTATTGAATCAATTTCAAACAACATGTTATTATCAGAGAATGACAAAAAAACAAGTTCATTGTACGGTTCTGCAACATCAATTTCGACTCAACAGTCGTCATTATCAAAACAAAATTCAAATACTAATGTTAATGAAAACGCTTTTATTATTTTAAATACCTTGTCGTCACTAAAAGCACTATCAAATGGTGGAAATATTGAAGATTGTGATAAAGGCATTTTAAATGTGAAATCCAAAATATTTAATGAATGTTTCTACTACCTCATCACATATGGGTCACACAGTAATATTATTAATTTTTTAATCCGATACAATGAAATTAAAGCAGCACTTCGTTACTTCATTTTGCAAAATTTTAAATATGAATACTTTATTTCACACATATTCTTACACTTCTTAAAAATAGGTGAAGTGGCAAATCTAATAGATCATATGCTTAGTCTGGAGGAACATTTATTAATTTGGAAAAATATCTTTGTCTGTATTTGCAGATACTTGGAATCAAAAGGATTACTAAATTCTCTATATCAATTACAGGTATTTCGATAAACTAAAATTTGCACTCTTTGTATATAAGTATACATATTTATATATATATTAAGATAGTCGATGTACACATACATATATACATATATACACGAATAGTTAAAAATTTACATATATATGCCTACATATAGCTGTATTTTGCTTAAATTTAAATTAAATTATAGAAACTTGTCTGTTAAAGATCTTAGAATGGCCTCTGGGTTTGAAGTTTCCGAGCGATTCTCTTTAGGTGCAGCGGGTGGTATTGATACACAATTTCAAAGAACGTTTTTCGATTTATATTAAACTATAAAAATCTTGATTAAAATAATTACTTTTTAGTCAAACTAAAAAAAAAATCCCACAAATTTAATTTCTCCCTAGCCAATAAAAAATTTCAGTTCGCGAAAAAACTAAATATACAGATTTGCAATTGATTTTCTTATGAGATTGGTAAATTCAGGATTATTTTTTCAGGCAAATTTCCCCTGACATTCTGAAATATTCTTTAAAACAAGAATCTTATCAATAAACAACGTATACGAATTGGTAAATTTTAAGCTTCGAAAAAATTGCACTTTAACAGGAGTTTCTAGGAATTGGATATTATCGAACTTTAAAGTTATAATGCGGAAAAGGATAGAAAACTACCTATTTTGGATAGTATTTCTTTTTCTCATCTTCCTTTCTTTCTCAAGCCTAAATTTTTTTTTGTTTTACTTTAACATATTTTAACTAATTTATTTCTACATTTTTCTCTTTTACCTCAAAGGTCTTGCTAAAAGATTCAGTCAGAGCAAGTATGACATGTGTTATGTTTTTTTTAAAAAATAGCTTTACTTTCAAGCAACTGAACGAGAAGCTGTTTTATTTAGATAAAGCACAAAAACATTTGGAAGATGAAATAGAACTATGTCAAAATTGGGAAAACGTTAATTTTGATAAAGTAGTTAACAAAACTATCGACAATTCGTTCTCAATCCAGCTGGATTATAAATCTTTAAATACGCATTTAAATACAGTTTTACTGCAAAAAGAAGTGACGAAATTCTTGGCGAAGTTTGAAGAGGAACATTTGAATACTTTAAATCGTTTGCTGCGACCGCAGAATACATCTCGTACGCTACCTACATTATTCGGTTCAGTAGACGAAAAAATAGAAATTGCAGCTTGGATTCTATTATGTGGTCAAAATTTAGAAGGATTTGGCTTGAGTTTCAGGTATTGAATGATTTTTCAACATATTTTTTGAAAAAATTTTACGGGCTATTTCTAAATACATACATACATATATACATACATATATTAATAAGCATAGCATATTTTTGAAAGAAATGAAATGGATAATTAAACAACGCGGATACACTAGGCCCTTGATTTACGTTCCAGATGCGTTTTGAAATTTGGGGTTGTAAAACGTAAAAGCGTAAAACAAAATCGAAAAATTAAAAAAAAATTCAATTACAAAATTCAATTATAGAATATTGTGTAAACCAAGTATTATAATTACATTAAAATTTTCAGCAGCATTTTATTTTTTCAAAAAATTACTTTTGCCCTTTCCGTATCGCAAATAAAATTATAAAAAGATAGTTTTATAATAATTCATCGAAACTTCATAATTTATCGAAATAATAAAGAAAAATTAATGGGCGTAAATCAGAAAAAAGACGTTAAACACAACATTTTAGAGGTAAACAAAAAAAGCTGTAAAACGAAAAATCGATAAAAAATTTCCCAACAGAGATTGGGTTCGATTGTGTATGTAATTTTTTTTAACCAATATCAAAAATCAAAATCAATTTTAAAAACTTTTTCTGACATAGTTTCTGGACATTAAAATTCTATTTAACTTCCCCTGGGTACAGCTAGCATAAGGTTAAATTACTTATTTTATAACGTAAACAGTTTTCTGACATATTTTTGGTAACTACTTTATTAATTTACAAATATATTAAGAAATTCTAATCCAAAAAAATGCATTAACTCTTATTTTATGTTTCTATAAATTTACAAAAAAGAATATGTACAAAAAATATGTACATTTTTAGTAGATCATAATTTTTACTGAAAAACGTATTATTTAACGTAAATTTTTATATTTTACTACCATCATATTTAGCTTTATAATTTGTAAATAATATTGTATAATATTATTCCATTTGCGAGTTATTCTAGTACAAAAAATAGTAATTTATTTTATTTTATACTTTTCTATTTATGCAGAATTATTCAAGAATTCAAATTGATCCCTACAAAAATATATAAAATTGTAACACAATTTCTAGCTAAAAATGATCGTTTAGATGAAATATTGAAACTATATGATTGTATCATAGGAAGTAATGATGAAACAGCATCCGTTAGGGAAGCAGATGAAATGATTTTCGAAGCAATTAAATCTTATACCAATGTGCCCGATATTACAAATAAATATAAGCTATTGTCAAAACGAATAAAAAATATTGAAACGCAAGTAGCTTGTTATATATTTTTAGGCCAATTAGAAACTGCGTATTTAATAGCAGAACAACATAACCAATTGGATCAAGTTCATAAAGTATTAGTTAAAGCAAAGGAAATGAAGAGACAAGACATAAAAAATTTATGTGAAAAAAAATTGAAAATGAAATTACGAATGTAGCCAAATTCCATGCGAAACATAAAATTTTTAAATGGTGTTATATTACGTATTTATATTTTGTACGCGTTTAATATATAAGTATTTAAAGTTTATTGTATTTTATATTGAATCTTTTGAAAAAATGTTAAAATAAACTTTCAACAATATATTTTTATTAAATTATAGTTTTATTTAACAAAGTTCTTACTCTCATTTTGAGAAGTTTACTTATTTTGATTAAATTTCTTACTTTTCAGTACTATCAGTCAATGGATCTAATAAGATTTTTGTGCACCAATTAAAGTTTTCACTCAAGTTTAGTGTAAATAAGTAATCTATAAAAATATATATATTTATGACCTACCAAAACTAACTTTCTTTCCATTTCTTTAAGACATTAGAATTTGGCTCAAGTGAACGCCATTCCCGGTTGATAATTTTATAACGAAAATAATCCTTTTGATAATTTTAAATCTATTTTAAATTTTTACATATTTACATATACATATGTATATTAAATTATATTTAATTTTGGTTTTGCAATTGTATTAGTAGATGGCTCTTGGTGAACGTTATCAAATTTTGTACTTTTCAAAAGAAATTTCCCTATTTCCCTAACTTAGAAAATACCTTAAATTTTTTCGGGCCAAATAGTAATTCTCTTTTCTTTTGAAAATTTGAGAAAATCCGATATGCATGTATGTATGTTTACCAAGGAATGGAAGATAAACGCTGCAATATAAATGTACATAATATGTAATTTGTACACCTTGTATGTACCTACTTTCCAGCATTGTATGATATTGTCAGTCATTACGCTTGACTGATAAAGTCGAATCACATAGGGTGACATAAAATACCTTGGTTCCAAAAAATATCTGCATGCTTTCAATAAAGTTTTCTTATATAAAAGAAAATTAAAGAAATTATCTAATTTGAGTAAACTAAAATATCTATTCTTAATATCGATACCGACTTTGTTATAATGTACATACTTAATTTTAACGTAAAATGTGTACATATATTATTGCAGCGTATTTCTTTCATTCTTGTAATGACATAATCACTAAGATTACTGTATACTACAACAAAAAATTGGTTACATAAATTGTTAAATAAAATTTTTAATCAAAAAATATATTAAACATTAAAATTAGATTTATAAAGCTTCAACAAATAACATGTTTTAGAAAATATAACATACAAATTAACATACATTAGATACTTGGTTTCCTTAATTTTGTTTTAGAAAATTATAGAATACATAAAGAAAATTTATTCCCCAACGCCCCATGTAATAACCAAAAATAGCAATATTAAAATTAAATTATTTTCCCTTAAAAATTCTAGAAAAATTAATTAAGAACCGAATTCCTCTATGGTTCCATCAATTTTATCAAATTTGTAACTTCCCCTTCCATCGAATTGTAGATAATATTCGTGGTGTTTCCATAATGATTTCCGATGAGATACTGTGAACAGTGATATACCAGTTTCTTTACAATACTGATACATAGAACCTTCTACATCGACTGATACTGCACTAGTACACTCATCCAATATGGCAAATTGAGGATTATGATAAAAAAGTCTGGCCATAGCTATTCTTTGCTTTTCTCCTCCAGATAAAACGTCAATCCAATCCTCTATCGCGTTCAGTCCATTTTCTCGTGATTGTACATAAGTAAGCTGAACGATTTCCAAATACAACAGCAAATCTTTATCAGTTTTACCACGACGAATCATCTCTTCATGCGAATGGGGATAAATAATCTAAAAATATCTATAAAAGTATTTCTTTTTAAAAATTTCTTGAATGTTTACTTGATCTCTTAAGGTTCCTAATGTCATATATGGCCTTTGCGGAATATAAAATAATTTTCCTTTTGGAGGTTTTATCATTTTTCCACCCCAACTTGGCCAGAGTTCTCCTAAAATTCTAAATAAACTTGATTTTCCACAGCCATTTGGACCACACACTAAAACATTCATTCCAGACCTATGAAATGATTGGTTATTTCTTTTCTCTTTTTTTTTTTGCATATTTTAATATTTTACCTAACTTCAAACGAAAGCTCCTTAACTAAAACATCACCATTAGGCGTTACCAAAGGTACTTTGTCAAATTTTATAATATTGTCTTGAAATGATATGAATCCTTTATTCGGCCCTAAGCATGTTTGATCATTAACATTTCCTAACATTGTTCTTTGGTAACTACCGGAGTTCAAATCATTTAAAACACTTGCAAGTTCTGTCATTCGAGCAGTGAATCCTGAAACAAAAAAATTTATTTTAATTTTAAGTTTTTAAATTTTCAAAACTTTTTGTTTTATACAGTACTGTTAGTACAAAGTTTTACCTGCTAATCTAGACATTTCTCGGCCGGCTAATACTAATCTTCCAATTGCTTCTGCTAGCTTTATTAACATCCTGCCAAAAGTGTAATATGCCTAAATAGAAATCATGTGTTGAATTTGATAATAAGATTTAAAAATATAAGTTAAAAACAGTTTCTTTTTCACATATACATGCAAATCGCTTTGATTTAATATTTATGTATAATGAAAAATTCGTAAAATTTTGATTCTTAATAATATACTCTTTGTGCTACAAACCTTTAATCTCTCTCCTTTTTCATCTGCCAAAAGAGGATGGTCTTTGGTAAAAAAAGGTAAAGAAACAGCATAAAATCCTACGACTGTTGCGGCATCTAAAAAAGAAAAAAAACAATATCGAGCATAATTACGACAAATTATTCTTATTTACATTTCCCTATTATGTTGTCTAATATTCCCATTCCTACACGAAACTCTAAAAATTTTCTTAGGTGCCTTTGTAGTTTTGAATAACTTGTTAAAACAGTTAATCTTTCTCTACTATTTCCACTATAAAAAGCGATTTCTTCAGAATTTGTTATTAATCTGGAATTTATGTAACGGAATTCTCCTTCAAGTTTTTGTTCTTCAATAGTCAATTTCCCTGTAGGTCTACGTAGCCTAGTTAGAAGAACACCAGCAAACAAGAGATAAGCCATTAATATAGATGGAGTCTAAATATTTCAAAATAAATATCATATATTTACTAATTGAGCAATTGTTTTTAATTTAAAAAAAAAATTATTACCTTGCCTCCTAGATTCATAGTCAATCGATATACATAAATAAATATATCTAAAATAGGTTTGCTAAAAAAGAAGTTAACATAGTTAAATTAATTACTTTCTTGATATTTATTCTTCCAAAGTTTACCTTATATTTGAATACAATTCAGTAACACTTTCACAGAATTTGTCAATATCTGTTGTTAACAACTGATCCACGTTAGCTATTCTATTATCCAAATTACTCATTTTATAATATGTAAATCCTCTGTTAGAAAAAAAAATTGTAATTTTATATTTGTCACTACATTTAAAACTTTAATATACTTGCTTTAAATACTGTTGATAAAAATGATTTGTTAAATTTGTTCTGAATCTTATCTTCAATTCTCCTAAACTCCACTTTAATATATTTGTTACTACTGAAATCTAAAATATAGTGAATTGATTAATTTTGTACATGTATTACAATGCAAAACCATAATTGTTATTTAAATTAAAATAAAATATATAACATAGTAGTTTTACGAATAGGTATTAATTTTTTTCTCACATTTTAAATTTCTTTTTTTTTTGGTATAGCACTTGCAAAAAATTGCAAGACTTAAAAATTATATAACATTTTCTTTAAAATTGAAAAGTTTTATTATCTTATTTATTATTTATTATCTGTTAGTTTAACTATTGAAATACCCTTACCATTGGAAGTGCTGCCATATATTTAAACAGACCATGTTTAAACTCCTCTCTATCCATAGTTATGATCGTGCTTTCTATTAAAGTTGCAATTTGTATTAGCCATATATCGCTTACAGATCTAGCTATCAAAGTACCAGCAATGAGTAACAGAAGTGCTGTTTCTTTTGACCATACTCTTGGGACTAATATCTCTTAAATAAAAAATGAATGAAATACATTAATTATTGCTTTTACTGATAATATACTATGTGAATTGAATAAATATATTAAAGCCATAAAAAAAATACTTAATTATTATATCTATGAAAAAAATGTTTAAGACAGAGAAAGTCTTTAGTATATACATAAATGTAGTTAATATTAAATAAAAGCTGCGTATAAATTTATAATAACTTAAAGTTTGTAATGATATGTGCGAAACGCTTGTACTTAAGTACTTCTTGTATTATAAACGAAATTGAAAAAACAAACAGCCTGTCATACATAATATAATATCTGTCCCAGCTAGTAATATCAAGGCGACTCTGATTACGCGTTAATTGATAATGAAAACCGAAACTTCTAAAATTAGTTTAATATTTTTTACGCGAAACAAGAAGTACACAGAAAATATAAAGTTGGAACTTAATAAAAAATTAATGTATTTATTAAGTTCCAACTAGTAGTCACTATACTAGTCAGTCTGTCTTAATAGAAACTTTCGTATTCTTAAGAAAAAATTGAAAATAAAATTTATTATTACTTACTAAGCAAAGATTTTAGTTGTCTAAAAAATTCTGCATTAACTTGTGCTTTTTGTAAGCGTTTTTCCTTTTCTTTAATGGTATATTGAATTTTGTCTTCGTATAGCAGCCTCCTAAAATTCAATCAAGAATAAATAAAAATCAAATTATAGTATGATAAGAAGATAAGCTATAACTTTATAATATTAGATTGTAAGGTAGTATTAAATTAATAAATTTTAAAATTAAATTGATACGACACTTGTCCAAAAATCTTTTCCAGACAGTTTCTAGGGGCTATGCGATTATAGAAATTCTTTCTAATGGTTCTAATAAAGCTTGATTTACAGCGGAAAATTTCGTAAATTTTAGGTTTTCAAATTTATGAAACTACCTACAATATGTCAAATAATAACTCTTAAAATATGAGAAAATAATGAACATAGATATATTTTGATAGAAAATAATGATTAAATAAATCTACCGTTATTAGAGAATTTGGTATCCAATTGATTTAATTTTATTCTTGAGTATGTAGTTGTGAGTTTGAAAACATAAGTGGGACATAATTATCGAGAAATTTTACTGTAGTGTATTTTGCTAATTTACTTAATTTATGTAGTTTTTTATTTTTTTCTTTATATTTTTAAACAAAATAAAATGCAGTTTTAACAATTAATACGTAACAGAGTACAATAAAAAAATAAAAGAAATAAATTAAAAAAAGCTTTTTTTTTCTATATTATAATATTGTAGAGCAGTTCCAATTTTTTATTTAAAAAAAAAACTAAGAATAGGAAAATAGCAAAGCAGGACCGGAATAATAAATAAATATATTAAAGACCTGCCTATCTAAAGGATTGTTTAAAGGATGTATTATTGGAACTAACTTCTTTAACGTTACTTATTTCATCTTGTATGCTTATTAAATTTACTTCATTCATCTTGTAAATTTACCTAAGTAGCTAGGTATACATACGAGTATCTACCTATTGGATACTCAGTTTTTTTTGCCTTTATATAATATAACAAATTTTCTAACTGCTAGTAGACACATAACCTACGTTTCAACTAAGAAAAAATGATTTTTAAAATAATTTCTCGATATTTTTTACATATGTATACATAAACTTTTATTTTATTATTGACAAAAAAAAATGTTTAATGGAAATTAGAGAAGTGAATTTATTTTAAAGGAATAAAAGCAAAAGACTTGTTGAATCCTTATTTTACTTGAAGTCCTTTTAAACTATGCAATGGGTATAATTTTTAAGTAATAGGTAATACCTATTGTAATGAGAACTTGAATCCGATAACATATTCATTATGAGTGCATATGAGTGTATGGTGTATTTAGAAAAAGAAAATCATGATGCCTAGTAAAACTCCTAGTAAGAATTCTAATAAGGTAATTAACAGTACAAAAAGAAATGGAGCCTTAGGTTGAAAAGACGACTGGTTAAAACAAAAATTAAAAAAATATTCATGCAACATATTTAATTAGTTTTTCTATTACGCGAGTATTTAAACAATCAAGTAAATTGCACTCGTTTGAACAAAATACCTAATCAGCAATATGCATTAATTTCATTTATTGTTAAAGTTGAAAGTTCGTTTTTTTTTTTTTTAAATTCGATATTAAATGCTAATTTACTAAAAGTCCAAGCATATTGGTACTTAATATGTACATACATAAGTACATATTTGTCAGTTAAGGTATCTAGAAGTAAATTAATTACTCAGCTATAATGTACCTACTATTCATTATTTTATGAATTTTGTTAATTGAATGTAAAAAGCTTGAGTCATTATGTTCTAAATTTTTTATCACTTAACACTTTAGTGTTTTCAATATTATTAAATTCCATAAAACAGGAAATTGTTAAATAATCAGCTTTGGTTCTTAATATTGAATCATTGAAATTGGTTAAGTATCTTCTAACTGGTTTATTATATCACTTACTTTCTATTGCGAGAAATTTTTCCATAAGTTATGATCCATACAGCAGCACTTAATCCTGCGATACCAACTAAAGAACTTGGATTTTTCAGTAACTTGCTTAAAGAATGTGCCATTTTCCTCTATTTTATGTTTTTAAAGCTATGATAAAGATAAAGACACAATGGAAAATATTGACTTCTAATATGTACTTTTACTAGCTTATTTCTGTTAAGCAAACCATCTGCCTTGAGTTGTCTTGATTAATTAAATTTACTTCCCTTGAAACATTTTTATTTTTCTATTGTCATTTGTCAATGCAATTTTTTTAAAGAGTCATTCATTCTGAGTCTGAGTCGAAACATATTTTATATATTTCAAGGAAAGCGATTACAAAAAAATATTTTACATTAAAAGCTAAATCCATTTGGCGTGTCTTTTGAGAGATTTCAAATATAAAAAAAATTTTGGAAAAGTTTCTAAAATATGCTTCGAATCATTTCCGCATTATATAAGAGCTTATGTAAAAACTTTGTATATGCGATATGTTTTGCGCTAAATCAAAACTAAAATTTTGCAATATGTGCAAATAGGTATAAGTGCAAATGAATAAAAGAAATTATAAACATTTTTCTGTAATACTAAATAAAACATCATTATCTAGTATTTAGCACGGATTTATTGATGAGACGGAGTAATCTTAGTCAAAAATAATAAGCTTAATTGGCATGTAAATGTGTTTTTCTTTTGAAACCAAAAATTGTTTATTCCTTCGAAAAGTCGTATTAAATATTATATATACTGTGACTTATTTTTTGACAACTACTTTGACGTTGTTAACATTAGTACGATTTGTCACAAAAATTAAACAATACAAATATTCAAAAAAAGCTCGAGAGACAAAGTTTATTATTTTTTTTTACTAAAACGGCTGAGTGAAACTTAAGTTGAAAACGGAACAAAAAAAATGGAACTGATCGTAATCAAGCGAAATTATCATCACGAATTCAACGGCCGACGGTGAAATAGCCTTAATTCCTATTTTATGGCTGATGGCTTTTTGTGACAACCCTTGTTTCTGTGTATGCAAAATACTGAACAGTTATATTTGCCGTTCCAAATATTTAATAAAAGGTCAGAGAAGAGGTATTAAATGAATCGGTTTAATAATTTACAAAAACGGGAACACTTAAAAATAGGCAAAACATAAAATATGAACTTGGCAATGATGGTAAAATTAGCAGTAGTCAAAATAATTTGCTAGAAGGTGAACGCTAGAACTAAAAACTAAAAATTTCACACCAGTATTGTCAACATTTAAAAAATTAATGTAAACTAAAAGTTAAAATATTTAGATAATTTCAAAAAAATATTGAAAGTTATACATATAGCAAAATGTTTATTATCAATTATCCAAAGAAATGGTTTTTTCTAATTTTTAGTGTAAGTGGAAAGTTTGTAAAAAGTAGAACTAAATTCAACTATAATTAAAATGCCACGAATCAAACGATTTTTAAGCTTAAATAGAGAATTAAATGAATCATAATTTTTAAATTAATGTTATAATATTTTTAGATTTTTCATGTCTGTTACAATCCCACTGATAGTGGAGCTGTGCAACTAACAAGTGATAACATCGATATGACATTAGGTGAGTAGCCCAGCTATAATATGTGTTTGTAAAAATCCTTGAGCAAAAATTCTATAAATTTAAAGTAAGATAACATGTTCGGTGAAAATAATTATTAGAAAAATAATGCGATTAAAATAGTTGCCTTAACTTTAAATTATAATAATTAATAACCTACAAACAAAATTTATTCAAAAATACATTCATAAATATATATGTATGGATGTAGGTATACCAAACCCATTACCGAAAATACTATTGAAAAATATAAGTGAAATTTTAAACGCCGCAATAATTGTTACTTATTGTATTTATTCGAGTTGTGTTTAAGTTCAATATCTGCTTCTTAATATAATATTTAAAGAGTTGTTCTTGTTGTTTGATCAATTTATTAAAGCGTTGCTTTGCTAAAATAAACACTTAATTGGTTTAAAAAAGGAATACCATTCCTTCACCTTTTACATATAGCGTTGAAAATAATGAAAAGAAAGAAATAATAAAATAAAAACAATTACAAATATTGATCTTTTTAAGCGAATTCAATATTCAAGCTTGTAAAATAATTGTTCATATTTGTAAGATGAAATGCCCAAAATATGCCAAATATCTAATGTAAAAATTTCCAATCCAATACAATAATTGATAAAAATATTTCGTTTCAGCTTCTAATGATTTAGTTTTAATTAATTTCTATGCTGAATGGTGTAGATTCAGTAACCTACTTCAGCCCATTTTTGACGAAGCTGCTGATAAAGTGAAAGAAGCCTTTCCAGAAGCAGGAAGTGTTGTTATGGGAAAGGTAGATTGCGATCAGCAAACTAGTGTCGCTTCCAGGTTCCATATAACAAAATATCCAACACTCAAAGTTATACGTAATGGGCAACCAACAAAAAGAGAGTATCGAGGTCAAAGATCAACTGAAGCGTTTTTGGATTTCGTGAAAAAACAATTGGAAGATCCTATAAAAGAATTTAAATCTCTAAAAGATTTAGAGTCTTTGGATGCAAAAAAAAGATGTATTGTTGGATATTTTGACAGAATCGATCAAGAAGAATACAAAAATTTCCGTAAGGTTGCTATTAATTTAAAAGAGGATTGTCAATTTCATGTTGGTTTCGGTGATGTTGTGGCAGCTATGCACCCTCCAGGTAGGTTATTTTTATTTTGTTCAGGAAGATAATATTAAAATTTAAATATCATTTAAGGTACACCTATAATTGTTTTTAGACCTGATGTTGCATTGTCTCACGAAAATGATGAAACTTTTAACGGTAACATCAAGAGTTACGATGAGCTGAACGTGTGGGTCCAGGAGAAGTGTGTTCCTCTAGTAAGGGAAATAACATTTGAAAATGCTGAAGAATTAACTGAAGAAGGTTTACCATTTCTCATTTTATTTTACAACCCGAATGACGCTGAATCAATTAAGGACTACAAAGCTATTATTGAAGCTGAATTGTTATCTGAGAAGCGTAAGTTATATTTTGTTTTATATAATTTTATAATCTTAAAAGTATAGCTACATATATAAATTATTTTGCTCCATAAAATTACGCTGTATATTTTGAAAAAAAATTTTAGTAAGAAATATTATTAAAACAAAAGAGAACGGAAAGACGAAACTAAAAATTGTTTAAAATCATAGCGATAATTGGATTGAAACTAAATAATGTGTATCAAATTTGGTGTAGTTCACAAAGTATATTACAATCTTAAACTTCAATTGCAATTTTATACATATATTTTTTTTTTTAATTCTTTTGTGTAAGTTTTAAGAATAATTTTCATAAAAAGATATTAAAATTTTTTATTCGTGAGATCAAATATAGAACAGATAGAATTGTTTTTAATTCTATAAGATGGTTCATTTTTAAAGAACCTCAACACCTATAAACAAAATGCTGTGCATATTATAAATGTGTTATGTTAGTACAATTTGTATAATTTTGATTTTAAGAGTCTACCGCTTTTTATCATAGATTCATACAAAGTTGAATCATAGCCGTAACAAGAGGTGTTTTTAAAATTGGTTTACTATATATTACTTGGAATTGTAATAGGATAGGAACTATGCTAATATTTTTTCTAAAAAATTGATGTAGTTATACAAAAAAATAAGATAATGTAAGATTTTTTTAATACATGCAAACACACTAATATATTCTTCATAGAAAATGTAAACTTTTTGACGGCTGATGGAAAACGTTTTGCTCATCCTTTACATCACTTAGGTAAATCCGAAGAAGATTTACCAATAATAGCAATAGATTCTTTTAGACATATGTACTTGTTTCCAAAATTTAAGGAAATGTATGAGCCTGGAAGATTAAAAAAATTTTTGGAAGATTTATATAGCGGGAAACTTCATAGGTAAGCAATTATATGTTGCTGCAAATTTGAATTCAATTATTTATATCTTTCAGAGAATTTCATTATGGACCAGATCCTGATTCTGAAGAACATGTTCCTTCTAATGACATACAAACGCAGCCTCCGAAATCAACGTTTAAAAAATTAGCTCCGTCAAAAAATCGTTACACTTTATTGAAAGACGAATTATAAGATAAGACCAGTTACTTTTAATGTATTTGTTTTGTGATTTTTTTTTTTGAACTTTAATAATGGTGAAAGTTATTTTATCTTTTGCTTTAAGTCAGAAGAAAAATTCTTTTCAGTACTTCAAAATATTAAGCATTTCAGACTCGGTGTTTATTTCAAATAAGTTTTTATAAAAAAAGTTGACTGACGTTTTACTGTCTGGTGTTGACTTTCATTGTAAAAATACTACGCTTGTGTACTAATATTATTCTTTAAATAATAATTCAATCAAATTAAATTAACACGTACTGTAAAAAAATAGAGCTACTTGAAAATTAAACTATAACCACGGTCGCAAAAATTTGAGTATATTTTTAACAACTATTTTAAAAGTATAAATAAGATACATTTCAATTCAGCATAGTTTTTTAGCTACAAAATCAGTCTCAAACTCTGTCTTAAAAGAGTTTTTAAAAATGTTATAAGTAGTATGTGAAAAAAGTCATTAATTCTAATAAATTTATTTATAATGAAAATAAATTAATTGTTTATTTGAAATTTTGTATAAAGTAAATGCGAATTTAGCTTTAAACTACAAACGAGGGAAATAAAATTGAGGTGGTCGAAAACAACTTTAAAAGATTTATAACGCTACAATAGATGTAGGAATCACTAAAACACGGATTGTTATGAAGACAACGGCTTCCATCAAGATTTTAAGCTTTATCAAATCTTTAGTGAAAAAATCCTTTTTAATTTTTAGTGAAAAATTAAATGATTACATATGTATATATGTACATATTATATAGAACTCTTTTTCATAAGGAATGAATTGTTTCTTTATTTTATTTTACAACTGGTAAAATAAAATAAAGGAGTTCTGGTAAACAAACTTTTAAAACAATGTACTAAGAAACTTAATTTTAAATTTAATTGTTAGTTCAAAAACATCTAGCTTGTTGTTTCAGTAGCATAGGTTCTCATATTTGCTTTAATTTTTTCGTATGTACTCTTTGTTTTTATTTAAAATCAGCCTAATTATAGAGGTTAGTATAAAAATTTTTATAAAGTTGTAAGCTTATTCGGAAAGAAAACTGTGTTCAGTTTGTCTTCTTAGACTTGTCAAAATAAATGGCCAGTTTAATACATTTTTTTACAGTTAAATATTTCGCGTAGGATATCACAATTTTATTAAAAAATTATAATTACTAGTAATACCACACTGTTTGGGTTCTAATAATCAGAATAGTTATTCTTCTGTGTTTCGAATCGCAAACAATAACCTAGTTTTTGGTATATTCTTATTCTAACGTCTTACGCCAGAAATATAAGCTATTAAAATTCTGGTTGCAAGTAAGATAAGATTGGAACAATGTACAAATTATATGCGATTTAATTTTTTAAGCTTTTATAAATGTTTGTTTTGTATTTATATATGTATATTTCTTTATATAGAATTTTAAGTGTCAAAAATGCGTTTGTTAAGGGGTTTCTGTATACAAAAATAAATTATTAATAACGAATCGTTCAAAATATTTTTTTGACATAATTATACGCAAGCTTTTTCAGTTGTTGGGCTATCATTTAGCAAAAAAAAAATTTTTTTTTAATTTTACAAATTTTTGTGTTTTTAAACAAAACAAAAATATAAAAAATAAAAAGACATTTTTAAATATATATTGATTTTATCAAAAAGAAAAATTAAATAAGCAAGTTATTAAAAAAGATTTAAATTAAAAGATGTGCATAGATATTTAAAAAAATTTAGTTCTAGAAATGCTTAAAGTTCGTGTTTTATCTTAAGTTGCAAGCATTATTTAACAGTTTGGTATTTAAATAAATTAATAATAAAGTGAATATTAAAAAAATCATATCTATAAAATGAGATAATTTTTAATTTAAAATCTGGTGTTTTTGTTGGAAGTTCTTAGTGGAAAAATTACAAAGAAAAAATTTATATAGGTACCATATTTGATTAATTTTGACCCAAATTTTAACGTTAATTTTACTCATTATGTAAAAATGTAAAATGATGTAAAAATTTTTATTAGTGTCTCCAATTTTTTTTTGTGTTTGTTAAGTTTTGTGTAAATTTTATGAGAAACAAGATGAAAAAAAAATTATTAAGAACATAACAAAATTTGATTATAAATACGAGCTTAGCTTAAATTGTGCAGTTTTGTGAATAATAAAATGTTTTAAAACATAACATAACTTGATAAATTATGTATGTGAAGAATGTACACGCTAAATTTTAGTTTTAATGATATTAACTTTGCATGTTTAATGTGCCTTAAATTTCTGAAAGCAAGTTTTTAAACTATGTATAATTCTTTTGTAAAAAAAAATTTTCTGTGATTAATTAAAACTTTTTTAATAAGAATCGATTTTTCCAAGACTATATGGTTTTTTTTTATTTCATACTTTCTAATTAATGTACAAGAAATGCCTTTTAAAAAATTATCTGTTTTTGGTGCAAATTTTCAAAAAGTATGATTTAATTATTAAAAATTATGTTTTTTAATATATTTATAAACACAAAAACTAACAAGGTATATTTAATACTTCGAAAATATACAAATATTTAGACATTACATTTTTAATTTTCTATTCCTAAAAACTTTTTTGGCTAACATAAAAGGAAAAAGCTTTTTCTCCAACAATGTAAAATATGAATATCAAAGGATAACATTTAAAAAGTATGTACATGCATATACATCTATATCTATATATTTTACAAAAACATTTAAATACAATTTTTGCGTAGGTACTCGTGACCCTTATGATTTATGTACCTATATTTATATACATACATACATATGCATACATAAACACATAAAATTCTTAATATTCTATTCCAAACGCACGACATACATACATATACTCTATAAATCCAGGTCATGCATAGTATTTATTATAAAGAACACAGTCCATGACATTGTTTTTTTTACACTACTTATAGTTTAAGTTGTTCGGTAAGTATATTTGTGTAATTTTTGCAAGTGTATTTTAAGTAAAATGACATTTCTAAAATATTTTTAAAATTAAAAATAATAATAAATGGTTTTCTGTGACACTCGGGATCTTGTTTTTAAAATCACAATAAGAATCGTAATATCTTTTGCTAAAACTAACATATCCAAATCTGATTATATTTTTTCATAAAAATTTTGAATGTATTTATTTGCAATTCATAATGTTTTTTCAAAGCAAGAAAATGTCAAATGTTTTCTAAAAAAAGGAGTTACATTTGTATAACGAAATCGTTTGTTAGTTATTCTGCCTCAATTTTTACCAATACATAAATGTTTATAATTTATTACATTAGTTTTTATTAGTATTAAGTTTTTTTGAAATGCTCTCTATAGGTATAACGACATGCTGCCACCAATGTATTGCATTATTTTTGGATATTTTTTGTGCCTTTAATCCTTTGAACCGCAGTGTATGCTATGAATTTATTTCATTTGATTTAAATTAAATATGGTGTTTTGCAACAAATTAAATTTTAAAGTTTTTTTATTTTGTTTAAAAAAATGGTAAATTTATGTTGCATTTTGAATTTTTAAAAATACCTAACCTTTAAAAATGTTTAAGCAAATATTTCAACTTGTTATTTTTAGATGCCATAATGCATACAAAAATGATAATAAACATATGTATATACATATGTATATATAATCATACCATTTGATAATAAGGTGTACCTAGTTATATTTTGCATGTAGAAGAAAATTCTTAAATAGAAAATTATAGCTTGTTCTTTATGAGTGCAGCTAATCGCAATAATACTAATTTTTCATAATTAGAAAATAAATGCGCTTTACTGCAGAGCACTGATTTGGCTGGAATTTTTAAAATTTCGACAATACTAGTATAACATAGATATTTCGGATTTCTCACAAAAAATAATTACATATAAAAACATTTTCTACATTCATAGAAATACGTAATTAACAGAAATATAATTTGTAAACTTCTTTAACGACTTCTGCAAACAAGTTTTGTAAAGTTTTCTTCAGCTATCTTAACTCTAAGTTTTAAGAAGTAAGACAAAGAAGGTATACATTTTTCAAGATTTCAAATAGAAAAATAAATAATCTAAGATCATAATATTACCTATTATGACGTAAAATAACACAAGTAGTAGAGTTAAATAGATTTTTTATAATTTATTATGAAACTACTCATAATGTTGTTAAATAAAAATTTATACGTATGGGCATATGTGGGTGTACACTGGTTCATACTACATATATCCAAATATGCATTCATAATATTGTAACATATAAGGTAGTGCGAGTAAATTACTTAAATTATTTCAGTTTCTCAATAGTCAGAGATAAAAAAAAATTAAAAATTTTTAGAGAACCTTTCGACTGTCATTTTAGTTGTTTCAATGGTGATCACCAACCAACCATTGAAATTATGTGCATACATATTGCATACATACTCTAAATTTTAATGAATATCTTATTGCATATATTTAGGAAAAATATCTAAAATATCTAAAAAATTTAAAAACAAGTAAAAACATTTCATTCGCCATAAAACAACGGAATTATACGCAACTTGACAATCTAGTTTTCATTGTTGCATTATTACAAACTCCATACCAAAGGTACAGGGTATAAGAAAATGCATAAAGGTTGAATCAAGGTAAATTAAATTGTCAAACAAATCAGCTAACGAGTTGTTTGAGAATGCAATGTTAGCGTTTTCGCAATTTAAAAAATGTACATTCATAGTTTCGACATGAAAATATAAATATTAAAAATTGTATTTTTATGACTTATCGTACATATTTATATATACATACATATGGCTTCTAATATTCTTTTGTTATTTTGTTAAACGTCTGCTTATTAAAATATGCAAAAAAGTAAAGAAACTTCAGTTTTACATTCATATTTGTAAATATATGCTATTATCAAATGGGTTTTAAAGTCATGTAATGTTATCATATGTATGTGAGTTATCTCAGTTTAATTTTATTTTAAATAAATTTGCCTTATAAGCTTGGTAGAGGATACCAGGTTTTTGAAATAGTTAAAAATAATTGCCATAATTGTTTTAACCATTAAAAACTCGATGACGCAAGGAACTGGTTCATGGTTCAGCGATATCATATACAAGCTCGCAGAACCGAATAGGAAAAAAATATATGTATACATATGTAACATATTATTCATTTATTTGAAAATATTTATGTAATGTTAATTTTAACATATGTACATAGTAAGTTTAGAATTTTATTTTAATATAAATTTAGCATAATATATACATACATAAACTCAACAACAAAATGTAAAAATATTGACATACATCAGGTATAAAGTTCGAAATATTTAAAATTTATTTTGAAAAATTTTGGAAGAAATTAAGTATTTAAATTCAAAGATATAATCATATTAAAAATAAGGGGAGTTTCGATAATTCAGTTGTAACGTAGGTCTTAGCTTATATAAAGCATGTCAGATAAGTCCAAACTGCTAATTCTGCAAAAGTTCTAACAATTTTGATAGTCATATTGAAAGTTCTAAAGATTTTAGATTTTTATAAAAGTATAACAACTCTCTTCTTACCTTGAAAAATGTAATTTGCTCTATTCACTTTCTACAGATGGATTTTCTTGAAAAGATTGTCAGTTAAGGTCATTGACAAATAAAACTCAAATTTCAAGAAGAAGCGCAAAAAAAGAAAAAAATTAATGGTTTTTTTTAAATTTTTTAGTATTTTTTTCAAATATAGTGGTATAATATGAGATTCTTTTTAATGATTGATAAATGTAGTAAGCATAATATTTACTTCATCATGTGTTCAATTACTTCATTTTAAATTTAAAGATACTAAAATTCTGTTTCATAAATCTTTATATTTTGGCAGTTTTAATATATCTATCGAATTTATCCTCATTTGTAAAACTTGGATTTGTTCTATATCTCTTGAAATTTTCTCTCGTAAAACTGTTAAAACACATTCAATAACCTCACTTAATCTATTTCTTGTGTATAATTTTGTTAAGCTGTAACAGTTTTTAATAATAGCTTTAGAGCTCCATCCGAAAAAACTTATGTTTTCTCATATACTTTTATTTTAATTAATATACGATTTGTTTGATAATAAAGATTGGTGATTTTGTTTTAATTAACACGGTTTGCTAAATTTCCATCTTTCACCTTCATGTAAGTTTACAGAAAACTCCATAAAATCAGTCTCATTCCAACCCTAATTGCATGTATAAACCTTTTCTTTTAATGTTTATTCAATAATATTGTAAGATTCAACTCGTTTCTCCTATTTCATTAGTTTAACTATAAATAGGAATTATGTTCATAACATATGAATTTTTTCTTTTCAGTTTTAGTGGTAACAATATGGCAACGATGGCATGCTCATAATTAAAAAATGGCGAAAATATTTTTTTTATTTGTGCTGTACCTTGGAAGCTTTTCTACAAAAACTGGTGGCTCAATAAATAGTGATCCAGCTCCCGGTAGGTCACCTGGTCCACCCTTTTTAAATATATCAACAAGCGGTGAAATAGAAGAAACAGTTAAATTATTACTTATAGAGCAAAATAGATTTAGTGGTACTTCAGAGGAAGGAAGCAAAAGTTTAAATCTAAAAAATAATACAACTGAAACTTCTGCAGATGGGACGATGAAGAATTCTAGTGAATATTTATGTGAAGGAAGTTTGGAAAATTATTTTCAAAATTTCGGTCCAATTAATTTAATAAAAAAGCATATTTTTAATTCTAAAACTAGAAATGGAACTGATTTCGATAATATTATCAGCATCACGCACAGCATATTCAGTAGCGAAAGTCCAATCGTTTGTGGTCTTTTATATAAAGGTACTTTTCTATATTCACAATTACTATATTTGTTGTATAAATTTTATAAAAGTTTATAAAGATATGTCCTTGGACTTTGTATGAGGGAAAAATAGAACGTCCAATGTTCATGAAACAATATCTATGAAAAATATTTGGTGTCTAAACCCTATTTAAAATATTTTCGGACTATGGGATGTGGTATCCTATTCATTTTTAATATTATATTATTAGGTGATTTTTTTGAAATAATTGTTCCTATAACCTTCTAGTTCCTAAACAAAGGCTTGAAACGGATTAAAAAATCAAATCTAATATTTAGGCTTTTGCAGAATGTAATTGAAAAGTTCTTGAAATACTCTACAGCTTTTTTCCCGTAACATCAATGTTTTCAAAATAGGTCAGTCTTTGGTGAGATCGACCAAAATTTGTTTTTCACTTTTAAATATTAAAACAGAGTCGAGTTTATGATCGATTCAATTTTAACTTTGGTATTTCGACTTTAGAGAAATCAAGAAATTATTGACGAGACACCCTGTCCTTATAATATTTTGATTTTTGGTAAAACTTTAATTTTTGATATTTCGTAAATATATACATAAATAATAATGTGTAGTCTTTAAATCTTTTTATTTTGTGTTTTTAATACAGTTATTCTCGATTCCAATTCGTTCCGCAACATTAAAGATTTTTATTTAGAAACCGTTACTTCTAAAGCAGAGCCAACAGGCACTTTTATCCAAAAAAGTGCACAAAATTTCTTTCCAATTTCTTGGTTCCATTTAAACGATGGGAAAATGTTTTGGACTGAAGATGTTAATCGTAATGAGGAAGAAGATTTAACGAATTCTGGTTTAAAAATGGATAATATTAAGAGTAAAACCAATTGCTTGAATAATAAATGGACGGGGGAATTTCAAAATAATACACAAATGAGAGCGTTTTGGATTTTGGATGAATACTGTGATGATTTGACAGCTGTAGAATTTAGGTATGAGATTAAACAAAGGCTTTAGAGAATTTTTCTGAGCGAAAAATTACATAAAATTGCAAAGCAAAAGGTTTTCTATTACGATAAACTGCTATGGTTGCTCCGAAAAAAATTTTTACTAAAATTTTATATTTAATTATTTTTAATCGAATTTTACAGGTTATATTTTTCTTTGAGAAAGGAGGAAGAAGCAAAATTGCCAATGATTTTAAGTAAAAACGTGCATTACAATGTTATTAAAGGTAAGTTTAATGAGAAAAATTAAAGTTTGAAGTTATCTAAGTTATATTATTATCTATATTTTAGAGTGTCAATTGTGGCTGAAAAATACATCAGGGAATTTTGATCATACGCAATTACCATTATATACGAATAATTGTACTGTTTATTTTCCAAAGATAAAACCGATATCATACGGAGATACAAAATTTTTGGTGAAAATAAAAAAGTTAAATGTTGCATGCGATAGTGGGGGTTATTTGCAGATCAAAAATAAAACAAAATTATGTGGAAAATATGAGGAAATAAGAAAAACTGATTTATTGCATCATTTTGAAATAGATGAAAATTCATTTATCATAATTCATAAGAATGTCATGTTTAGTATAGAATATCAACTAGTTGATTATTGTTATAATATGCTTCTTACTGATAGAAATAATTCATTTAAAGTGGAAGTAAATAGAGAATATTTGGATTGTAATTTTAAAATACATTTACCATACGGAAATCAAGTCAATCTAACATTAGTTGTAAATCCAGATTCCAAGCAAATTCAGCACGAACGTTTATTAATCGATAAGGTAGAAAGTTTAGATTTTTTAGATTACAAATCGCACACAAATTTATTTGCTAAAAATTATTTTAATAGCTTCAATAATAATAATAACACTAATAATAGTAATACTAATAATAATAATGATAGTAATAATAACAATAATAGTAGCAATAATAGTAATAATGATTTCAATAATAATAATAATAATAAAAGTAATAATAAAACCACTTTTATTAGTGATAATAATAATAGTAACACAAGTAATATTAATAGTTTCGAATACACAGAAAAAAATAACAATAATAATTATGAGAATATTGATAGTCTAGATAGTTTTAAAAGTGAAAGTACTAATACGAGTTGCGATGGAATTTTATTAGAAATAATTGATAAAAAAAAAAATTTTCAATGGACAAAATGTATCAAAAAAGATAATATAAAAGAAACATTTCACTTTATATCTTCAAGCAATATTTTAATTGTACGAATACGTTATAACTATAATCATCAAAATAAATTTAGTTTTAACAATAATTCTAAAAAGGTGAAGCAACTGCCAATAGTTTTTTTGTCATACATTGCAATACCAATAATAGAACTAGTACAAGATTGTCAATTTGGTTGGATTGCGTGGCGAAGGTTTTGCATATCTGCAATAGAAAAAGAACTAACTTGGTATGAAGGTGAACAACATTGTATTAATAATGGTGGGCATTTGGCGTCAGTTAGATCTGAGGCTGAAGAAAATATCATAGACACTATTATAATGAACAGGTAATTTTATATAAATTTAAGCTATACAAATCTAATTTATTTAAAACAAAGTTATTTTCTTTGATTGTTGTGATCTAAAAATTATTATTTCAAGCTACTCGTAGATAACTGCGATTTATGTTTCATTCTTCTTATTTACGATCTCTATATGTTTTATAAAGATTAAGGTACAATATATTTTTTTAACGCGATCTCAATTTCGGGCTCCTTTGTAAGAATCTGAAATCAAATATTTAAATTTACGGTCTGAATTGTATTAATTAAATAATGGAATCAATGTACAATATAAGTGTAGGAATATTTATAGTTCAAGTGAAGAATAGTGGCAAGTGTAGTTTTTACTAAATGGTCCAACACATTTGTATTATGTTACTATAGACCAAAATCAAATAAATTTGTTCTTAAATAAATGTTTATGAAATTAATTTCAATATAATTTTATATTATTGAGAGTTATACACATGTAATACTGAGAAAAATCGATCGAAAAATCCTTATAAGAATCCCATTTTTATTAGAATTCTCTAAAATTAAAAAACAATGTATTGAATGTTTTTTTTGAATAACCGAAAATAAACATCTTTTAGCCCGGGGTACCAGCAGCAAATGGCTTATTGGATTGGAGGTTCAGATAAAAATTTTGAAGGTGATTTTCGTTGGACAGATGGAAATAATTTTCAATATTCAAGTACGATAGTATTTCAAATTATCCGAGATATAATTATTACACTAGCAATATATTTTATATATTGTGAATATACAAAAATTTTATATGTAATTAATACAGGATGGTTTCCTGGGTGGAGTCATCATAATAATTACAACAAACAACCAAATGATGATGGTTTGAGTAATCAGGATTGTATTGAAATAAGAAAATATTTTAAAATGCCACCGATTGTGCTATCAGTTGAAGAGCCATTCACGAAAACGTTTATGTGGAATGATAGGAATTGCAATGAAAAAAATTTTCTAATTTGTAAGACACACATGTCTCAAGGTAACTAACATCTTAATATTTATCAATTTAAATTTTTTTTTTGTGACAAAAGTTTATATTATAAGTGCAGGTTGATTTTTCTTTAACATCATAGTTAAAAATGTTTAAAAAAGTTTAATTTTTATCATGCTGAATATTTTTTAAATTGAAAAAATTTAATATTTTACTTTTAATTAAAATTTATTTGTAGAAGACTCAAATCTAAGTTGGACAAATGATTGCAATAAAACAGTGTCCCTTACAAAGGAACATCCCAGAGCATCTGTTTGGAGTCCGGAATTTCCAAAACCATATCCAGATAACGCTAATTGTTACACAACAATAATAGCACCAGCAAGTTACAAAATTATTGTAGAGTTTGAAGAGCTTGTAATTGAAAATGAGCCTAGGTAATAACCCAAACTGAAAAAAATCATTACAGTAGACGAGTCTTAGAAATGGCATCATTTTATAAAATAGTTAGCATACCAAATGTAGTAAATAGTGATAATTTTTTTTTTTTAATTTGTAATATTTTACTTGCCTTTTATCCCAAGAAAATTATTAAATTCATACTTTCTTAAAATAATATTTTATACAGAAGTTTAACACGAGTGTTTACATAATGTATAGTTTGTATAATTTTATATAAGCTTTCAATATGTAGGAAGCTCTATTGATAAAATTGAAATTTTAGAAATTGCATTTGTGTTCCCAGATTCCTAGAAAGAGTTATAATTAGATAAAACTTTTTTTTGAATGCTTTTTTAATATTTTTTTTTTAATTAAAATTTAACAATAAATGATAATATTTTTAATCATAAAAGCTTCTAATTTTAATGTGCATACTGTAAAGTAATGAACTTAAGAATTACCAAAAACCAAATATGTATTTCATTTTAACAAACTATAATTGTTATTATTAATAATTAAAAATATTTTAGTTGCCAATACGATTATTTGGAAATAATAGAACCATCGCATAATTACTTAAATATGCAAAATATATCAAAACCTAATACTACTCAGCGACCTTCTTATGACGATTTCAATTTAAAAATAGACTTTGAAATAACGAAAAATGTAAATCATCAAAATATTTTGAATATTTTTTCTGATCTCTATGAGAGTCCTTCGAATTATTTAATTAAAACGCCAGAGTATCCGAAAGGATATACGATATTTCCAACAAAATCAAGTAATTATGAATATTTTACGAAAAGAATATGTGGCGATTGGAGTCCAAAACTGAAGTTATTACGTTATATATCAAATAATTCGATTTTAGGGCTTCATTTCGTTTCGGATTATTCACATCATTTTGGTGGTTTCAAAGCGAAAATTTTCATGCAAAATAGTACGTAAAAAATATTTGTCTTATTAAGAAAGTTTCTTAAAACAAAAATTTATCTTACACAAATTTTAATTAGAAAATATGGAATGTCCAGATGAAAGATTAGTTTTTCACAATGGCTCTTGCTATTTATTTGGCTCATATCCTGAAGTTGATTGGTGGACTGCTCAGCAAATTTGTAGGGGTATTGGGGCGAAATTATCGTCAATTTCTTCATCCTCTGAGAACAAGTAAAAATTTTGAATTTAAATAATATAAACAAACAATATAAATTCAATATAATTTTAAAGATTTCTCATCACTAGTATTAGAAACCAAATTGATTATAATCCGCAAATCATTTATTGGTTAGGGGGGAAGTTAAATGAGTATGGAAAATTTGAATGGACCAGCAACGATAAAATGATTTTTGAGGTAAATAATATTTTAGATATCGATTTAAAAAATAGAAGTTTTGTTTTTCTCTGAAGGGATGGTTACCTGATCAATCACATGATACAAGTAATAGTAAGATACCCATGTGCTTGGGATTACAATGGAAAGTTCAACCTTCCACAAAATTACCATCTGGACTCTACTGGGAAAGTGAAATTTGTCAGAAAACTGGTGGATACATTTGTAAACAAAAGACAAATAATGAAATCAACAACTCAAATTTACAGAATGAAACGATTTCTGGGACAGAAGGGCGATTAACTTCTCCAGGTAAAATTTACCATACTTTTATAAAAGTAACAAATACTTTTGGTTTGAAAATGCTAGTTTGGGGGGAAATTTGCATTTTAAAAACTGTAAAGATTTACGATATTATTTCGTAAAATTTTCGACTATTGGCAATTTTCCTACCTTTAATGCTGTAGAACTTTTGTAGTCGAGCGGACAGGCAGGGTGAACCCTCAGGTTTACAAACCCTTTTTAGAAATGTGCCAAAATTTTTATCATCAGTTATCATTTTTGTTATCAGTTTCCCATTATTATTATCAACTAATTTTTGTAATTATTAAATAAAGAACAAATGATAATACATTGATTAATTTTAAAAACTTAATTTTTCCCTACATTTTAGCATATCCTAATCAATATCCTAGTAATACCGATTATTGGGTTCATCTTGTTGCTCCAGATAAACATAGGATTGTGATTCAGTTCCAAAAAATTGATTTAGAAGCTCAAAGCGAATGTCTTTACGATTTTATAACAATACAAAATTTAGAGACTGTCTCAAAAATATCATTGGAACCAGGCTCAAATTTAGTACCTATAGCAATGTTAACCTCCGAACGAAATTTAGAAGAAAGTAATTATGATAACTGGTTGTATTATCTTAAAAGAATAAGAAGGTCCACAGTTAGTAAGTTATCGAGATTCGATTCTCTATTTCATGGACAATACATTATTGAAAGAAAGGATAAAAAGCATAGATTTCGAAATAAAAAAAGTAGAAGGAAAAAGAGAACATTAAAAATGGCATTTACAGAAGAAACTGTTTTAAATCAACGCAATTTTGATAATGATATTAAATACAACGCACAAACATTTCTACCATATGTTAGATGGTGTGGCCGCCACGATACTAATATGTCAAAATTTGACTTTGTTTCATTATCAAATGAGGCTATAATCAATTTTCATAGCGACTATTCTAATTCTGGTGCAGGCTTTGCTGCAATTTGGAAAGCAATCGATTTATCTGGCTGTCCTTTACAAATACTAACATCAAAGGAAGGTGTAATACAAAGTCCAAATTATCCGCATTTTTTATTAAATAATTTAGATTGCACTTATGTTATTCAAGCTCCCAATAATAAGCGGATTTGGTTAGAATTTTTAGATTATAATTTAATAAATGATGCAACTCTGTATCTTGATATTGGAAATGGATGGTTTGAGCCTTTTAAAAAGTATAATCATGTAAATGATGGAATATATTTTGGTGAAAAAGAACAAATTAAAGTGAAAATTGAAACAGGTTCAAAACCTCGTGGTAAAGGATTTAAAATAAGCTTCAAGACAGGTAAAAATATTAAACAGTTTCATACATTTTTTTTAATTTGTATACATACTACTAGAAAAAATTTATTTTACATGAAATTATATACATACATACATAGTTTACTATAGAAATTATTACAAACTAAAATCGTTCAATTTGAAGATACTTGAATTTCAAAATTAATCAAATTTCTTAACAAACCAAAACATATCGCAAGAGACAGGGTTTTATTTATTTGCAGTATAAATATGATTGAAAAAGGGAATCCGTATTACACACCTTCAAGCATTTGAAAACTGTGTGTAATGATGGGCTTTTACTTTGTTCTAATTTTGTTTAAACTGCAAAATATTTTCGATCACTATTAAATTTTTAATGGCAAAAAGGACAATTCTATAAAAATCCATTTTTTTTTGTTGTAAAGTAAAGTTAAAGTTATGTATTTAATTGTTAATTTTTGTTTGTTTTTTAGATTCCATTGGAAAGTCCATTGAAGAACGTCTCATAAATCTAGCGAATAACACTAATGGGAATTTATATCATTTGAATTATCCAAATAATTTGCCATCAGATATAAATTTTTCACAACATTTCATAGCACCTTTAGGTAATGTGATATTGCTTGAAGTGTTCGGGTATACATTGAATGAAAATGAGTGTCTTCATCGTAATTTTCTTGAGGTAAAATACAATTTTTTGCATTATGCTTTTCCAAATGAATTTCTCCAAAACTATTCGTGAATTCTTCCAAAATGATGTATTTACATATATAATTTGGAAAAGTTTTTACATAATTTTTGTAATCAATATATTAAAATAAAAATATTTTCTATTAGGTTGTAGATAATTATGCAGATAACAATGGAACTAAATGGTATCTTTGTGACAATGCAAATGAAAGCAAAGATTTTGATAACTTAAGAGAAAGAGCTCCTGTTCATATTACGTCATATCTGAATACATTACACATAAGACAGAAATCTTTTTACAGTTCCGATTTTGGTTTGAATGCATCCGTACGTTTGCAACAAGGTCAATAGGAAATAAAAAAAAATTTAGTTTATTTTGTAAATAATTTGTATGTTTTGTTTCTCTTTCTGTTAGATCTTAATTTGAAGCTGAAATTAGCAACTGGAGATGATTTTGTTGAAACTTGTCATCCTAATCCATGTAAAGAAAAAGGAAAATGTATATCAAAGAAATCTGTAAATAAATGTCAATGTACGGGATATTTTACTGGAAAGTAAGTATATATTTATATTTCAGTTATTATTTAAATTCTTAAAACTTATAAATTAAAGATTTTATGATATTTAAGATATTTCGGCCAAAAAAAAAAATAATTTTTGAATTGTTAAAGAGCACATATATTTTCTTTTTCTTTAGCACGTTATCAATTCTTAGCAATTTCTAGCTTTTTTCAAATTTCTCTAAACGCAGAGAAGATTTGCAACATATTTATTTACCAGAATAAATAATTCTTTAACTTACTTTATTAAAATTGCGAATTAGGTAAATTAAAATTTTTATAATTTTGTTCTTTTTCAAGATTTATGCAATAGGGGAACTCCTAAACATTCACCAGAGCGAATGTATGCAATACAGTTTATCAAAAATATTAAGAAGATGATGTCAATAAAGCTTTTTTTTTTACTTAATTCTGGAAATTTTTCTCTTGACGAAATTTGATCTTTAGCAAGAAATAAATTTTCCATTATGATTAATAATTTAATCCACTATTTATGTTCTAACAACTTAATCATAGTAATAACTTAAGTAAATAACTTCCTATGATTTTTGAAGAAAATTTGGTTATTGAAATTTCTTATGTATTGTTATAGTCCTTATTTTATTTTTTTAGTTTTAAAAAATTATACTACTACAAAGTATTGTAATGCTTTAAAAATTTTTACAGATTTTGTGCACTTAATGTTTGTGATTTAGAACCGTGTGTTTTTGGTAAATGTGAGTTAACGGCAACAAATTTCAAGGTAAAATAAGAATATTTAACTCATATTTAAGCTCTTTTTAAATTAGCACTTAAAAAAGTTTTCTGAGGTTTAAAACAAAAAAGGTAAATTGGAAACGAGAATCTTGCAAAACCTTTAGTTGCTATAACATCTTCGAGATAAATATCAGGTTTCATTTCAACTCTAATGGCATTTTTTTAAAAGTTGTTACCTCAAGTTTAAGACTTAAAGTTCAAAATCTAAGTTTAGAAAGCTTTGTTTGTAACATTAAATAAATTTAAAATTATAAATTATAATTTAATTTACTTTTCCAGATTATTTTATTGAATTTTTCTAATAAAACGAAATGTGTAAACAGTTGTAATTAAATTTATGGTTTTTTTTTTATGTATTTAGTGTATATGTCAATCAGGTTATATTGGAGTAACATGTGAGCAGAGACTAAAACCTTGTTCGGATAATCCCTGTGAAGGAAGAGGCGAATGTTTTGAAAAAAATGATGATTTCTTCTGCCGGTAAAGATTTTCTAAATTATTTTTATTTTTATTGCAAAAATTTTTGTATTCGCCATATAGATGCCATGCATGGTGGGAAGGTAAACGATGTGAAAGAAGGATGTTACATATACCTTATAAACCGTTGTCGGAGAGAATGCTTCAAGAACCATTTTGGTTGGGATTAATTACAGTTTTCGTAGTTTTAGCTTTTATTGGATTAGTTTGGTGTGCGAAACGTCATTTTCCAGAGAAAATTGAAAAATTATTAGCTGAAGAGGCGACTAGAAACAGACGTAAGTCTGAAAGGAAATTTTGTGATTTTTTATTTTTTGATATTTATATATTGCGGTACATTTTTTCTGTTAAAAAAAGTTCAGTTCCATCAACTTGAGTCAGCTGTGTCATTTCGAGGGAACCTGTATAACTTTATATATTTATAAATATGTACCTGTGAAGATATCTTCATCTTAACAAAAGTAAATTTTTGGAGACAGTTTTTTTTAATATAATTTGAAATTCATCACTAGAAATTTCACTGAAATTTTGCTTTGAAATTCGGAATCGAACTAAAAAGAAAGCATTTTAAAATATTTAGATCCTTTATTTTCTTTTTGATAAGATTTTAAAAATATTTTAGGATAAATTTGTTCAACTATTAAAAAATATGAAAAATATTGAAAAATTGATAAATGTCACATTTCCTAACAAAACACGATTTATTGTGGTGAGCAAAAATTAAAGAAAAATTTTGTTTTAGAAATTGGAACACTTCACGGTCATCATCATCATACTTCATTGCGAGAGCAACTTCAATTCAACTCTGGAACATCACAAACAACTTCTGCTAATGCGCAAGGAGCACCACGTTCAATATTTAATAAATTGGGTATAAGAAAACCTTCAATACTTAGTCTCAGCAGCCCTAATCCATCTGGAGGGGCCGCAGCACGAACATTTTCGCTAGATGATTTGTTACGCCCACCTCCTCGACGTAAGACAGACATATGAAATATAAATAAAAATCCTTTTTAAATTTCTCCTTACACATCTTGCATTAAATTCAAAATCAATTTTTTTTTGTCTTATAGCTGTTTAACCTGTGGAATTAATTTTTTATATCGTTCTTAGTTCCCTTAACTTTCTTTTTTAATTTGAACTTTTATTGAATTTTTACGTGTGATAATTTTTCTCTATATGTTCTAAAACTTTTATAGTGAATTTTTCATTTTATTAAAAAAATATTTCTTTTTTTTTGTAATATTTAAATATTTATAGCACATATAAAATTACTTTCCTTTCCCATACACAATATTATGTAATTTTAGTTTCTTAATCATAATTTATATTTGGTGCTTATATCTCGGTTTACTTACACAATTATATTAAATCTCGTGTAGTAAATATAAATTAAATTAAGTTAATAATAGGATTTACCCTAAAACTTATATGCTTGTAAAGTATAATTAAACTCAAAACTAAATTTTAATGAAATTCGGTTTGGTTATAATTAAACCGTTTACTTATTTTATCACAACCAAAAGATAAAATAAGTAAACGGTAGAAAATGTAGAAATTGTAAACATTGTTGATGTACATTGATTACTACATAATGTTTCTTCGATAACAGGGGATAGTAGACCATCAGAGAAGTCCAAAACTCCAACTAGCATATAAATTTTAATGATAATTAACGAAATTAATAGTGTATCCGTCACCTTACGTAAAAAACATACACTCCTATACTGAAATTTATTTATTTCCAAATGATCTTTTATTGTGTCAAGTTTTACCATGAATTCCAAGTAGAGTATTTTGCTAAATCGTGTTCCGTACGGATTTCAAATTTCGTTGATCAACCATTCTCCAATTGGACCTACAGATGCTTCGTCATACATTTTGCGTACTCATTATGTTAGAGCATCACAGAAAATTTTATGAAAGAAATAAAATTACAATTCAATGAAGGAGATTTTAAATTTTCAATGACATATTTATTATTAAATAAAAATATAAAGAGTTCTCCTAAGTTTGATAATTATTATTGCATCTTATTTTTTCACATATCCTTTTTATATTCTTTAATTTCTTCTCTAATAATTATTGCGTATTTATATAAGCACCATATTATATTTTATTTAACTTACCTATGTATATACGCACCATATTAAATAAAATATTGTAAATTATATATTATAATGTATATATGTATATATGCATAAATATTTAAATATATGACCATATAATAGTCTTCTACAGTTGTTTTGCAAGCTTTTTAATTATATGTAAAAAATAGGTAACATAATTTAGAAGACTCCGCACAAAGTTCCAACCAAATAACTGTAAAATAAAATAGTATATTGAATAAAATTGTTTTGTATGTTTTGGAATATGTAGTAAATTTTAGTATAATCAGTTTTTGTTATAGTTAATATTGAAATATTAGAATATTGGGAACGCTTACATTTAGTGTTTAACGATATAAATTATAATAAAAATTCAATGAAGTAAAAAAAGTATAAAAAAAAATAATGGCGTACTGTTTTGTCTTGTATACACGAGGAGGTTTTCATGCACTCCATTTAAGTATTTAAGAGCATTATTCATGGAAATCCATTTAAAAATCATTTAAATTGTAAAAATCAAAATTTCACATTATAAAAGATTAGAAATCGTAGTAACTAAATGCATTTGTGAGAAGTAAACGTTTTAAAAATAAGTTAAAATCAGCCTTTTCAATCATTAAATGTTTTGATTCAAAAAGCTGTAACATACACAAGTGTATGTATGTATTCATATGTATATACATACACTACAAATATTGGCAGATAAAATGTTGCACAGTCGAGTGACTGTGTACTTACTCTTTGAAAATTCGAAATTTTGTCTTTTGTAAATATTCTTGTATAATAAATCAGAACTTTTCTTTATGGACTAAAGATTTCTCCAAATATGTACCAATGCAACACTATATATGAAAATTTTTATTCACTTTTTTATTTGCTTCTCATTTTACTTTGCGACTGATTTTTCTTAACCAAAAATTTGTTTTAATTTTTTATACGACAGCATTCTCTGTTAGATGGAATTTTTAATGTATAAATAAATTTGAAAACAGGTTCTTCTTCTCCAAGGAAAAAACGTAATAATTCTACACCAGTTAAGAAAAGTGCAGTTGAAAAAAAGCAAATTTTACAACATCTTGTGTCACCAGCAAATCGAGTATCCAAACCAAATATAAATAACTCCGATGTAATATTGTTATCTGATAAAGAGCAACAATTAGCAACAGAAAGTACAGATGAAAATATAAAAGAAACAACATTTACAAGTAATGCGAATAGTTTCATAGCAAGGAGACCTCTAAGTGACTCAAAATTAGAAAAAAAAGTAACATTTGCAAGACTTTTAGATAAGGTATCGGCCGAAATGAGTTCAGGTTCAGAAATGGATGGAGATAATGTGAGTTCAAATGGGCGTTGTGCATTTATGACAAAAAAGTTGTTAATTTCAAAATAATTAATTTTTTTTTATGTAAATAATTTTATAATTTTATTTTAATTTACTATATAAAAGGGCACAAGACATTCAAGTGCTTTAAGTCTTCACTCTGAACTTCAATTCCGAACGAATTCAGTTCCACAATCACCTTGCACTAATGACATGAAATCACCTCATAGCACTTCATCAATTCAAGGAAGTGAATCAGCATCATCTATTTCTGAAATAGGCATAACAAATGCTAAAACCAGTTTTAATTTTAGTAAAAATAATAATAGTATTAATAATAGACGCATTAAACCAAAAGTATCCAGTGCAGATTCGATATTGGCGATGTTTAGAAATTTAGCTTCTTCTTCTACTATTTCTGGAGCAACGTCGTTGCCATCAACGTCAATTTATATGTCTCCATCAACAACACCAACTCCTTCTAGTCCGCAAGATGATGCACTTGGAGATGATGAATCATCAACATCGTCATTACGAGCACCTGTTAGTTTTTCTATTGGCCCTCCAGATTCACCAGTATTTTATAGGCAAACAACAATTGAAGTACCCGTTTTAGATGTCATTAGTGCTCATAAAACAACAAGTAATACAAGTATGCTACACCCACCGGCTGTTCTACTAGAGATTCCGAGCACTGGCATAAGCAAATGTCTTTCACCAATAAGAGAACTACCAACACCAGTTCCATCACCTGCATTAACACCGGTTATGCCACGGGTTAATAGAAACGAGAAAATGTTAACAAAAAAGGATTTTTTAATAACAAATGATAGCGAACTAGATGAAAACATTGAGAAACAAACTATTGTAAGTAGAAAGACTTATTGTAATTGTCCATTTAATGTTTTGAATTTAAAATCATTTTTAGAATACAATTCTGCCTCAAAATATTGTAGACAACACTCATAAGGCTTCATCCAACAATTTTGCAAACAATCAAAATTCCGCTACAACAAAGTCATTCGCCGAAACAAAAGGTGTAGACAATTTGAAATCAAATTTTGTTTCAGTACCAGATATAAAATTTGAAAAGGAACCGAACTCACCGTCTGATGAAAAAGCCCAAAGGCCAAGAAACTTAATAATCCCAACGTTAGTCGTAGAGCAACCCAGTCCTACAAAAAACCGATTACCAGTAATAATTTTTCCAGGTTCTCCACCACCTGGTCGAGCTAGTGCAGGAGAGAAAAATCTTATGTTTTCTGAAAAGCCTCAACAGAAAAGGTAACTAAGTTTATATGAGCGAATATTATAAAAATTTGAGTTCAACATAACTTTGAGGCTATCAATTTGAAGAAAAAATTTTGCTGAGTGGCAATAATATTAAAATGTATTTCTTGAATGACTTAATGTTCGTACATCAGGATAAACGATATACTTTTATTTTATTCTGTTCTAAGTGAGGGAACACAAACATTAGGATCGAGCTTATGTTTAGAGGAATTGGCTGAAATATTAACATGTATGTACAGTATAAATACACTCACGTAATTCTTATAAGACGCTTCTCATTTCTTACGTTTCTTAATAATGCAGATGTTTTTTATTTTTGTTTTTAATATTAAGCTAGATATTTGGGGTAAAAATTTTTACGGGTGCCTAAGTTTTCAAAAGAATTCGTTTGAACTAGAATCAGTTTTAAGTTCTTAGTGAAAGTCCACTTTTTTCAAAAAAAACACATAATTGTGAGGGATTATTCCTTCTAGAGTTAGCGTATCTGTTAGCATTCTTTATTTAATTACTAAGAATTAGAACTTTGGAACATTCAGTTGGGAAATGTCCCAACATTCAGTACTTCTGAGTCAAGGGAGAGAATAATTATCAATTACATTTAATTTTTTACTTTTTTAAAAATTGAATGGAAATGCACCCACATTGTTAGAGAAAAAATATATAAAAAAAAAATTCTTGCCGAAATGTTAGCATGTCAGTTTGTGCACTTTTTTAAGCTTTTTTGGCGGTTCAATAGGATCCAGGTCAGTGGCAAATTTTTGAATAGTTCTATACTATACAATTCAAATAATTAAATATGAATGAAATAAAAATTTCTGTTCCAAAAACAAAAATCTTTACACATTGTCCTTGTTCACCTTTTTTATACGAGAAGACTAAATTTATTAGTATCATTTTGATCATTATTTGGAATGTATATAACGTGATCGGTCATTACCTGTTCACATAAATATTTTGAATTCTTATAATATGAAAAAAAAGAAGAAAACCGGTTTCACACTCTTTTTTTATTCCCAAATTCATTTCCATTATTTGATTTTGCAATTTCAATTATATCGGCAAGAACTTTAATGTTAAAGGATATATTGATAATTTAGTGGAAATATCACTCTTTTATTTGTACCTGTAGCACTTCTTACTTCCTTTACACTATTTGGACCTTTGTTAATTCCAATAACTTCTTCCTACTGGTGATGTTGTAAAAAACTTATTTTTCAAATAATTCGCGATTATCAACTTCCCTCTAATTTTTCATCCTTGTCTTAGTAAATGATCTCATATTCCATTCATTAACAGCTATTGAATTCACAGTATTCAAAAACTATAATTGATGAATTTATAAATACCTTGTTCGTTTTGAAATAATTGTCAACCAATTAATTTCTGTTTTATTTGGTGTTAGGACACTATTTCAAATTTCAATAGCGTTAAGAAAAATGCTAAAAGGGAAGCAACCTCTGCGAAGTAAATTTTATTTTGAATAAAGGAAATAATTTCAGAGAAGACGAATGTTGGAAGGATAAAATGTACATTTTCGAATTGAGTTATCATCTAATGTCATTTTAAAGGAGCTTGGAGGATGACCGTTTACAGTAAATCTATTTATTAGATTTTTGAAAAATTATATTATGATATAATTTAAAAGATTTAGTTACCTTACATAAACAAGATTATGTGGTATTAATGTATCACAAGGATAACGAGTCAAAATGTTCTCTTTCTCTTATATGTGACTGAGGTCAATCGCGTTCTTTCTCATTTGATATTTTTGGTTCTCCAGATGCAAATTTTTTAATAAAATCTATAAAATTTGTTTGTTGCTTCAGAAATATGCTTCGTCATTAAGAATAATGAAATTTTAGATCCCTTTGAAATGTCTTGATTCTCTTTCATCATGATTCTCTTTCATCATATGGCCAGAAAATAAGGATGGAAGATGAAATTTAGTAACAATATTATTGCAATAAAAAAAGCCAACAGCAAACTTTGTAAATAATTTGGAGCATATTTACATTTTTATTTTTACATTTTATTGACAAAATTTGGAATTTGAAGAATAAAAAAAAATTATGGAAAAATAAAATAACGGCTGGAAAATTCTACTTATCTGTATCTATAGACTATAATAATTGCGGTGTATAATTTCAATTTAAAATAAAACAGAAAGTCAAATCCAATGAAAAGTCCATCAATTAATACTTTTTACTATCAATTAATTACTTTTGAAAATAGTTATGATAAATTCATTTAATTCGGAGTCTAATCGAAGCCATCCAACATAGAAAATAAGATTTTTTTTCATAAAGTAACTTGATTAAATGCTATAGATTTTATCACTACATACCAGATTTTCAGGTTTACCTGTTCTTTTTAAAGGTATTTAAATTCCATTCGACTAAATAATCTTATCAATCAATCATAGATTTTAAAAGAAATGACATTGGTTTCTCATTACATAATATCTTTACTTATTTTATACTAAATATACATATATTTGAGCATTTTTCATTCATTAAAAAAAATGCAATTTAGACCTACATAAATAACTTTCTTATATTTGCACATTAAAAATTCAAATATGTTATACATTGCTTTGATTAAACAATTTTAAAAATTAAAATTTTTCATTTCAGATTTGTATAAAATAAAAAGTAAAAAATATGTTTTTAAAACATATTTTGAAAAAATCATTGCTTATTTTATACGCCTGTTATATAAATACATTAAAATAAAAGTTCGATCCCTTATATCACTTATATGAAAAATAATACTTCACAAACGCAACATTATTAAGTAGTTGCAATTTCACTAAAAAAACATCGGCACAATCAAAAATTCTCTGCTCGTTATTTAATAGTGCCAGAATTTATTCAATATGATTTTTTTTTATAATATGCTTTTTTATAATTTTGTGAAAATATAAAAAAAAATAAAATTTTATAATTTCCAATTACAGATTATTTAAGCAACTTGATAAACCAAGTTCTTTAGATTTCCCACCTAATACACCCACTATTACTGTAACATCAAATTCTAGTGATTTAGAATCTGACGCTGACGTTTTGTCACCATCTCAAAAAGATGCAAATACTTCATTATTAATACCTGGTGTTACAGTTGGTATGTGTTATTTAAGTCCATTCGCAATTTGCACAAGAGCTGACCGTACAATTTCCGAGTCAAATTTAAGTTCTTCAGGTTATTCAAGTATGGCCAGTCCGGGTCCTAGTCGATGTGGGTCAAGTAATCCTCTGTATTCAAATGAAAATGATGATAATAATAGTGGGCACCCAAATTTAAACAATACATTTTATAATAATTTATTAGTTAGACGACAAGCAAATAATTTAGCTACAAATAAAGATAAGCATATTGGTAATAAAAAATCTGGTGATGTGGCAGACCGCTTAAAATTACATTCAGATTCAGAAACAATATCTGATGAAGCATTTATAGAATCAAATGACGAAGGAATTGGAACAGACAATATTGAAGAGAAAAACGATTGTTTAGAAATTAAAAAAGCAAAAGAGTTTGAAATATATTTGCAAAATGACTTGCTACAATCTGGCAAGAAGTTATTAACGTCAGATGAAACTACAACTATGGCACAATTGCGATTACCCACCATGACTGTTAACCAATCAAATGAAAGTATTGATAGAGGATTATCACCAGTTTCTTCAAGATCAGAAAGTCCGCTTAGTGAAAAAATGACAGGTTTTGGTAAATTTTCATATCATTTTTATGGTCGAAAAGATCAGCAATTACCGTTCACTGATTCTGATGGATTATATGATTTTCCATCATCGGATGGAAGAAGCGCGCCTAGTACCCACCATAGAAAATCAAATAATAAAAAACGTGAAAGAAAAACAAATAAGCCTATACAAAATGCACCTGCTAATATAAGTGAAAGCACCTTAAAAGAAGCACATTCGAATTTTAGTACATTGAAGCATTCACATCATGTTCATCAGAATATTTCTGCAACCCGTAAGAGTCCAAAAAGAAGAACTTTGCAAAGAACCACGTTAGTTAATAGTTCATCATCAACTGAAAGTTTAACATCGCCTCAGGAATTGAAAATATCAACACGTAAACACTTTGCTTTTAAACATTTATAATATAAAAGTTTCATAGCTCTCATTTTTTAATATTTTTCTATAGGTTTATCACTTCAAAAAAGTAAAACTATAAAAATTCCATCAGAAGAAAAGTTGCCTGAGGTAGTATAGCATGCTATAGGATATCTATATATTGCGCTAAATAATCTATTGCAGGAGTTTTGTAACCGAAGATTTTGTAAATATTTAAATAAATCCGAAAACAAAACCAATTATCTAAAGGCCATAGGAAATCAGATAAGGTAATTGTTGAAACTACTTTTTATATTATTTCTTCCCAAAATTAATAAAATATCCTGATGGGAAAAATAAATTGGTATTTTTTTCCGTCCAAGTTTTATTTAAAAACCTTCTCTAACATTTTTATTATTTGAGAATTTAATTAAATTCGCAGTTTTCGCTATTATAAAATACATGTTATAAAATTCATTATATACATATTATAAAATTTAAATAATAATTAAATGAATAATATTAAATATTATCTTAAATATTTCAGATTTCTTCGCAGAATCGAGAAATCTATCAAGAGAAGAAAAATTTTAGACTCGGCAGATGACGAGGAAATGTTTGATGACGATGATGATGAAAAATCTAGCAAAAATGGTTTATTATCCGAATTACCGGTAACGGTTGAAAATACATCACATAAAAGCTTAGCTATGGCTCGAAAAAACCCAGACACGAAAAATGTAAAATATTTAGGCTATAATAGTTTTTGAACAAACTGAGTACTATAAAATTCAGTTTTGTTTTTTTTTAATTTCAAAAAACATAACATGTAATTATTATCAATAGCATAATTTATACTGTAAATTCAAATTTTACATTAAATATTTAAAAGAATTCATAGAATACATAAATAAAAGTTAAGTCGGCGTATGTACATGTAATTACATTAAACAACCAGATTTAGATAGTTACACATTATTTAAATAACATGCACATTATTATAGTTACTTTTAACACAAAGTAATAATATGATTTTCATAAATTATAGCTCATAAGTCTCAACATTTTACAAACTCAAAATCATATTTCATAAAAAAAAACTTTCTACAGACGTACGTACCTGTTAAGTATGTCCATATGTAATAAAAACGCAATTTTACATAACCATTCAAATAGTTCATTTTCCAATACAACAGTACAATAAAAAAATTTTTACCCACTTGTTATGGAAACTTTATTTTATCAAAGCTTTTTTTTTAATTTTCTTTTTGTGCAATCTGTTATTTATTTTCTATAAATGTACAAGTGTTTAACTGTGCAAAAAATTATTAAAAGTGTCATTATTTTAACTTATACACTATGTAATACAAGCCGCGTTTTTCATAAAAATTCATTATGTTTTTGTTCAATTTACATAATATTTTAATTTTAACCTATATTCTTTAATTATTTTTGGCTTTTATTAACCCAGAAGATGTAAGAATTGAAACTAACGTAAAAAAAATCAATTTGTCATTTTATTGTCATAAAATAAATGTGATTAGACAAACTGAATTAAACGAATTTTAGTTTATCGAAGTTAAGAATAGAAGAATATCGATTCATTTAAGCTGATAAAGTGGTGAGTTGAATAATTTTTTTTTTAAAAATTGTTGACACAAATATAAATTGTCTGGAAAATGGGGTTATAAAAATTACACATTATTTAATTTAAATTTCATTTTATATAAAAATCGTATATTTATTTAACAAAAATGCAAACGGAAAATAAATTAAACATTTTTATTCGAAATGTAATTTTTTTTTTGGAAATTATTCTTCTTACGAGTAATATAAATCAATTAAGAGTCTTATGATTGATCAAGAATTTTAGGTTAGTTTACTTTAACAACAATGCAGCAAACATGTCAAAACAAAAATCGATATATTAGTTAGTATCAAAATTTTTCCGGAAAATGTACATACATATTATGTCAAATTTAAAAAATTTCACAAGATTTTGACCGTTTATCATTTAAAAGATAAAGCAAAAATAAACATTACCCAAACAAGTTGCTCAGATAATTGTCAACGTTCACTTTTTTATAAACTAAATCAAACAATTTGCTTCTAATTACAAATTGTATAATGTGTATTCATAATCTGTGTTTAACTTTATCAGTAAAGAAATTAAATTAAAAATATAATGAATTTTTACTTTGTAATGTCCCTTAAAAAAGAAATTAATAAGGTTATTATGGTTGTTATGGTTGCGAAGCGAATAACTTACTCGCGAATATTCGCCAAAATTAATTGGAATTACCAGAAGGTCGTTTAGACATACACACAAAAGTTCGCCCACATTTCCTTCGTTGCTGTTTTTTTTAACTAAAAATTTGCTACATAAATATAATTTATTAAAAAAAAGGTCATTTTAATTAATTATATTTACTTTATTATAGATATTTAAAAATTACTGTAAATGTTTTACCTCTTTTACACAACGGTCCCCGTAACGCCTTATAATAATATAAACTATCAACTCAAAATAAAAGCAAAGTTTTAAAAACTGCTTCTAGTCACATACAATTCCCATTCGTCTAGTATTGACATTTTTCTCGAAATAATCTATTTCGCTTCCCGATTCATAATATCATTAAGCGAATACGAAAACAATGACATTCGCTTCGCAAATCATGATAACGCTATAAGTTATTAAATATTCTGATTGAATATAAAAGACGCTTCTAACAATACCAGTTAAATTGCGTTGATGATTAAGCTATGTTGATAGAAAGTTTGCTGTTTAGTAATTAGACTCTCGGTGTGCTTAAATTGTACATAAGTTGTTTCATAAGTTAGGATTGGCCATATTAATTAATAATTACTATATTAAGGAGAAACTTACCCAATCAAGAATGCTCCCATTTAGATAAAAGTCATACTTTCACTTGTTAACGGTTTAATATTTTAAAATTATCCCGGTATTTTAACTTACAGCATAATAATATCAAATTATATTTTTAACATTAATTGCGACATCTATGTTTAAAAAAAGAAACAGAGATAACTTGAGAAAAGCTATTTTTATAACTTAGATTTTTGACTCTAAGTTTTTCCCAGAAATTTTGTGTGGTACACGTATTCTTTACTATAAATAAATTAATATTAATTTAGAATTAATAATTTATTAATTTATACATTACGAAAGCTGGTTTTTTTTTAATGAAAAGGAAATAGTGTTAAGATAAGGAATCATTCCATTTAAATGTTGTACAATATCTCATGTCTATCTGGATGTATGTATATGCTATGTGATCTGATCATTATGCGGCATCACACTCAAGTAAATATAGTTTTATTAACCTTACAGAAAAGGTGCAGAAGATTGTGAAATTAATTTTGTTTTTCTTTGAATGTTAAAAATACAGATCACCAAACTATTTCGAAAGGGCAGAAATGTGAAACAAATTCTAAAATTTTTTGCTTATAATGAAATGTAATTGCATACATTTAGGAAAGAAAACGAGTCTAGGATAGCAGATAGAAGTTAATTATAGAAAGGATTAGTTAATATTATAAGCTTTATTTTTCATGAGAAAATATTTTTTATTACCTTGTTTAGTAGGTTCTTTCTATTAGAAGTTAACTAAAGTTAATGGTTTAAAAGGAATAACTAGGCGAAAATAGAAATTTCTCTAAATTTTAGAGGCGATAAATTACAAGAGAGAAGAAAAAAGAATCAAATAAAATTAATTATACCTACATTAAAAATTAATGAAAAAGTTGAATTGAAATTTAAATTTTATTATGTATGTTTATGTATCAAAACTACTCATTGGATTTGCCTTTTAGAAAGAAAGTCATAATTATGAAAAATTACGAATAAAAGTTACAAAGAATGATGTTTGATTAAAAAAAATTGACGTATATTCAAGATTTTATTATGTCAAAATGTACAATAATTTTGAGAGGCAGAGTGAAAACATACATAAACAAAAATTTTGATCATTTTTTATTTTTCAAATTGGTTAAATTTTATTTCGTTTATGAGAAATAAACGAACGCTAGGAAGAACTAGCAGACTACAGACAGAGACATTGCGAAACGAATCTGGCATAGCAGAAATCTTATTTCAGAATTTTTTAAAAATAAGTCAAAATTCAAGAATTTTTTAAAATTTTTATAGTTTTAACTAAGGAATTTCGTTATGATAGTGTCAATTATAATATTACCTTTACTTTACCTTTATTTTATACATTCACTTTTTTTTAATAAAATTAAGAAAAAGGGGTAAACTTTTTTTTTAAAAAGCACAATTCCACAACAAACACGTAGAATTTTCAAAAAATATTGAAATTCATATTTGTCGTCATAAAAACAATAACTTAAAAAAGAAAAAGGATTTGGAGATTTTCGACATTTCATATCTAACTTAGGTCTAAACGCAAAAGCAGGTTCGATAAATCCAAATTGCAAAATATACAAGTATAACATGTTCGAAAATGTCAGTTGTGCTTAAAGTTCTACAAGAATTTTTAAGTTTTTTTATAACAACTGCAAAAAAAAATATTACTTGGATAAAATAAAAAAAAAATAAATAATTTAAATTAGTTTTATATCAAAAATTCTTTTTCAAATGTCAAACAAAATTTAACGTTTATTATGACGTTTGTTCTTATAAAGAGTTCGCTTTCTAGATACGCAATATTGTTTCATTTACAATTATAAAACAAATAATTGATTGATTTATCGACAACATCTTTCGATACATAAATCCACATCTTACGTCTTACCAAATTGAAATAAGCGTAATATAAAAGTGTATCGTATATGCATGTAGCTACATAATATGTATATGAAAAAATTTTTAAAATAATTTTTACAAAATTTTGCGAAAAAAAAAAAAGAAATATTAGAATTAAAACTAAAATTCTAAAATTTCTGTCCTCCTAATTGTGGTATATGTAGAGTTTTTCATAGATAACTGAAACTATAATGAAAAACTTTTTTAATGAATTTTCTTTTAATTTTTTAAGAGTTTTTGCGAATTTGTTTTTTGTTTTTTTACTTTATTTTTGCTTTTTCTGCGCAGAGTAAATATTTTTGTATACTAAAATTAATGAATGTTTGTCATATATATAAAAGCTTTGTAATAACAAAAAATTAATAAAAAGCTTAATTGTATATTCCGTGTTATGGATACTTTTTCGGATTTTCATTTCAATTTGCATGTGAAGGAAAAAACTGGACAAAAAAGCAAAGAAACAAAAAAAAATAATAAAATAAAAGTTTTCCAGGCCAGACCCAGTTTGGAAAAAAACTTTAAACCAAAACGTGTGCAAAGTGCTTCATAAAAATTTACAAAAAAAAAAATAAATTAAAATACAATAAAATGGAATATAATTTTTTTATTAAAACCAGAAATATTAAAATATTAAAAATAAATCTTTAAAATAGAGAAAATAGAAACTCGCTGTTTTCTTTAACATTTCAATTGGAAAAAAAAAACAAAAAGAAAAACAATTTTTTTTCCCTAATTAAAACATTTCATTTTTTTTTCCTTTTCATCCACTTGCAAAACATCAACAAAATCGAAAATGTAAAAGTCGACACAAGGTCGTCGTACACATATATTTTGCGCAATTTTAGGAAAAAAATTTTGAATGAATATAGGCTGAAGTAATGAACAAAACAATAAAAAAAAAAAAAATTATTTGAATTTTTTCTTTTCTTTTCTTTTATGTGCGGAATAAATGAAATTTAAATTATAATAATAAAAAATATATAAAAGAAAAATACTTAAGTGCATTTGAAAAATAAAAATTTTCTTATAATTGTAAATAAAATATTATAAATAATTTGCAATAGTCATAAAATAAGAAATAAATTAAATTGAAAAAAAAAAAATTTTTTTTTAAAAGTAAAAAACATGCATAATCTATACATACATATGTTCAAACATAATAAAATACTTTTATAAAATAACAAGGGAAATTTTTTTCGTAAAGAATTTTCTTCCCTTACAACCAAAAAAACAAAAAAAAAAAAGGGAAACACGGCAACATGAAAAAAAAAATTGAAAAAATTTAAATTAAATATTATAAAAATTTTGAAATAATTCAAAAAAAAAAAAAAAAAAACAAAAAGAACAAAAAGAAAGAAAAAAAACGAAAAGAAAAGGAACAGGAAGATGTTAGAAAACAAAATATTGCTTTTGATGAAAAGCTCTCCATGAAAATTTCACATTTCAATTCAATTAAAGTTTTTAAAAATATAAGAAAAAAAAAAGAAAATTATAAAAAATAATAACAATACTAATAAAAATAAATATACTGGCACTCATATACTATAAAGAGCTTAATCAGATACTTGATTATTATACTCGTCTTCTCTAAATAATATTAAACTTTCCATTAAAAATAAGTTGAAAAACTTTTATCCATAATATTCTGAAGTTGGTTTCGGAATAAAGTTAATGGTGTGAAAGCAAAAGGCCTCGGATAAAAAAAAAAAAACAAAAACTTCAAATTGCTTTTATATAAATGTAAGTTATACTTTGACATATATACATATACATATGTATAATATAGAAAATTATATTGGATACTCATACAATATTATGGTTACACGCATATATGTATCTAATTTATGTACGAATGTATGTAGATACACAATATTATATACTTTTTTTCCAAGTCCATACATACATATATACACATACTTCTTTCTTTATTTATTTATTTATTTATTTTTTTTTTTTGTTTACTTTTACTACTTATTCTTATAAAATTACAAAATAGTACTCTTTTTTTTTTTATTTTTCTTATTTTTTTTTCTTTTTGTTCTCTCTCGAATTTTATATAAATGACAGCATTTTTACAGATTCAAAAAGAAAAATTTTTTTTTTTAAGAAAAATAAAGAAATATTTTTTCTTTTAATAAAACGCGTATTTAAAATTATCTTTATTATTTAAAAATTTTTAGAAATTAAAAAAGATAATATTTATTTTGGCTTTATCAAAGTTTTTTTTGAATTAAGGCAACATTAAAATTGTTACGTCATACTTGTCTTTTCTTTCCATTTTCATTTTCTTGTTTTCGTGTTTTATTAGAAATAAAAGAAAAATTTAGAGATTAAAACACAAATTTCAAAATAAAATTAAAATTTTATTTCGATTGATTACAAGTAATCGATTACAAGTAATTAGAAATAAATTATCTACTACCTACTTATTTAAACCTACAATACTTGATGTAAATATTTGTTGTTAAATTGTAATTGAAGTGAGGAATTGTTCTTAATATTTTTTTTTTTTTAGTTTTTTTTTGTAGTAATATATTTTTTTCAATTATCATTACTTGTATACAACCCTGATTAATTTCTTATTCTACGAGTATATATTTTTAATAATTTATAATAAAATACAATAATTCTTTGTACATAATTTTCAAAAAAATAATGCTATGGAAACTCAAAGACACTTTGTTGTTTAAATTATATATTATACAATGGTTAATGCTGATATATTATATAGACATAGATAAACTGATAATATACATATATACATACGTATCTATATAGAAGATGCGTTTTCTCAAAAAATTTTTCTCAAAATCATATAACCGCGTTGAAGAAAAGAAAATTTTTCAATTGTACAAATTATGCAATTTAATTCAATATATTTTATGTATAGGTGTGTACATGTATACACAATAAACGATATTAATTTTTATTAATATCAAATAATTTTTTAATAAAGTTGGGTCAAACCAATGGTTTGTATTGTAGCACTTTTCCCTTCAACAATTAGTGAAAATACTGCTTTTAAATACAGTCTATGTAGATACATATATCTACCACACTATTAAAAATATTTTCATTCATACACGAAACTATTTATAGGATTGCATATATTTGGGATGAATGATTTATGCAGTCTTTGAAATAAAGCAAAAATTAATTTAAAGAGGGCTTAACATAATGCTCGATTTTAAGGGTTGATTGCGTGAGTTAAGAAAAATAATTATATTTTTTAATGTAGCGGAATTTACCGTTAGCTTTTTGCAGTTATGTAAATTTGAAAAAGCTTGCGCTTTCAGAAATATAAAAGATGGAAATGGAAAAAAAAATTTCTTCTAACGAAATGAACTATTTATGAATATCTAAGAGCTGCTAAAATTTTAGACATTAGGAAAAAATGGATTTTAGATAAAGGTAAATTTTAACCGACGTTTTATTTCCGTAATCGAAGAAATCGGCCACTATTTTTTTGCTTTTGCAAAATTTAAAAAATTACTTTCTTTAAATTACTTATTGTTTCGCTGCAATAAATAGTTAAAAAATTCCGTTTTTAGGGTTTTAGGGGGGTATAACTTTTAAAGAGGGGGAGATAGGTAAAATTTTTTTCTACGGAAAAGTGTTTCTAGCAAAGATCTATGTATGTGTAAAATTTCAGCTTTCTATCTTCTATCCTCAAGGGTGTAGAAGTTTTGTAGACAGACGGTCGAGCGGGTGGACGGACGGACGGACAGAGTGAAACTAATAAGCACTTTTTTTTCAAAAATTTTTGGGAAAAGTGCTAAAAACTATATTTTTTATAATATTATTCTCTTAAAAATATTTTTGGATTGTATACTTTTAGGCAGAGAGTAGTATCGAATAGGAGGCATTACAATGAAATTATAGTAAAATTCGTATTAGATTAGATAGGATTAAATGTGAGGTAGCAATGCACCACAATACAAGGGGTGGATCTATTGTGATCTCTACCACCTGTCCCCTTCACTCCTTCTGTAGATCAACACTCATCGAGCCTCAAGAAGGTGCAACAAATTCTCCTCCATTTCCCCACAGAACTTCCACGTTACCTTTCAGGCCTCACCTTCTCATATAACTCTTGAGTCCACAGGGTTCCGCTAGAAGACCCGTAAATATTCTCAACTGATTCCCACCCGTTCGGTTTATTTTCTTGCACCATTTCTGCTCATAATTGCTCGGAAGCTTCTTGGTTTGCCTCAGCCCAAAATGGACTCTCCATAACACCGATCTCGCTTTTTTATCTCCTTCGTTTACGGGCGGGAAATCGATTAATATTTTTTCTAAACGAAAATTTTAATCTATCTTCTCTCTCAAAGAGTTACAGTCGCACAAAGTGTCAGAAGTGTTATTTTGTGACAATTTATTGTATCGGAACCATTGGTTTCGTACTGTAAGCTTTTTAAAATTTCTATTATATCAAAGAAGTAACGGTAAATATCTTATTTTTTGTCTTAAATTACTTAATTGGCCGTCGATTTTAATCATTTGGTCGACGATTTAATATTACCCTTTTTTTTAATTTTTGTCGTAATCTTGAAAGTATGGAATGGTTGCTAAGTGCACATAATATTATAATACATATATACAATTTTGCATGTACAGGGTGTCTCGTATCTAAATGCATTGCTACATACCATTTTATAGGTCCCCATAACAAAACTTTTGTATGAAAACGATGTTCACAGCTCAATAGGTTCCGAGTTACAGGGGCTTAAATTCTATCTCGACTGATTCTTTACCTTTTTATAATTTTATGATTATAATTCTCTGACAGATGCTTTATTAAACATGATTTGGAAACAAAACTGACTTACAAGACTGTATTAATGAAAGATACCTATTTAAAGGAAACTCAAATAAAATATATGGAATTCAGAGTTGTTGTTACACAACAGTTATAGTTAAAGTTTCAAAAAGTAAGGAAATCAGCCGAGATTAAATTTAAGCCCCTGTAACTGAGAAGCTGTTAAGCTGTGAACATTGGCTCCATATAAAAGTTTTGCCAACTCATGTTGGCCTTTACAATGGTATATAGGAGTGCAGTGCACTTAGATACGAGACACCTTTCATATGCATATTAATATGAATACGCAATTTAACAACCTGCTGCGTATTATAAAAAAAAAGTATTTTCATTTATTGAAGAGAAATGTGCTACTTAAAAGACTATTGCCTTTTATTTAGTTTAGAATTCTAGGGTCAAAAAATTTTTTTTCTTGTGAACTCGTTTAAGTAAACACAAAATTTATCTAAATATATTATTATTTATTAATTTCGCCACTAGCTCTTTGTGAATACAAATTAAAAATAAATAAATAAATTGGTATAAATGAAGTTTTTTTTGAAAAAATAATTAATCAAAAAATATTTGCGCAAATGAAAAAAAAAGTAATCAATTTCTCAAAATAATCAACTCAGTCAATACTTTTGGTGCTCAATGTTCTCAATTTGTGACAAATTTGTTTTAAACCAATTGCTTCCTAGTGTCTACGAATCAAAAAGAGTATAGTCATTGCATTTACATGTAAAAAATATTTTATTCTTGATTATGTATGCCCTCAAAGCAATCAGTAATGAACACACAGCTTTTTTTTAAATTCCAATATAGTGTTTTGCAATAGAAAAAAATCAACCCATCCAAAGTTGAGCTAAAACTAAAATTAAACTAAACTGCTATTAATTTACAATGTACTTTGTTTTGATTTAATATTTAATATAAGTTTTATAATTAAATTATCAAAAATTAAAAAACAAAAAATTTTATGGAAGAAATTTTACTTAAGAGAGATATTTTCTAATGTAGCAAAATTGCTTACAAACATCTGGCTCCATAATGGAAAAAATAATCATTGCTACCAACTATATAGCTACTCATAGCTTCCAACAGGTAACATGTATCTGTTCCTTTAGATGGAAATACTTGCTTGGTATTTTTTGTAACACTAATCGCTTAAATTTTATTATGTTTTTGTCAACGATTTAGCCCCATTCTCACAATAAAGTAGTCTCGAATTCTTATCTGTTTCAAAGGTTGTTTCAGCAATATCAGACGCTATTTAAAACCAAAATCTTGAGTGGAGATCAAGTCGTGCTCTTTGTGACTGATCGTTGTCAGTGATATATTTTTTCTAAATTTGAAATATATACCTGTAAATTTTGTTATTTGCAAAAATAAAATTTGATCATTTGAATTTTGAAGTGATACTATCACGATTATGTATTATATTTACAGTCATAGACGTGATAATTAAAAGTAGTATCAATTTTGAGGCAATCGCAAATGTCACAATCATTACACGTGGTCTTTCTGTAAAACTTTTTATATGACATGTTAGGAATTTTTTATCACTTCAATATTTGCACTCGATCAACCAGCGATTTCCTGAATTTAATGTGCAAATAAAATGATCGGCGAAGTTAGCAATTACAAAAATTATTGAATTAATATTATAGTAAAATCGGTTTAGATTGATAATTGGTGTTTTTATATTTTACAGAATAAATATGAGCAATTTGAGTTTCTAATAAAATTAATGGTAGAGAAAGCTGATATAGCCGAACGTTTTCCGTGTTACAGTTACTCAAACAAGCATTAGCAAGGTATTCATAGAAGAAATCTTCCCTTTTCTTTTACAGAAATTGGTAAAAGATAGTACCAATTTCTGTAAATATACATTACTATTTATGGACACATATTTGTTACGCTTTCATACCACTGTGAGCGTAAACTTTTACAAATTTGCACTCATTCTAGCACTGCAGTTATAATTTTGTTTTTTAACAAGCGATGGCGCGTCATACTCGTATGTCCAATATATACAAATTGTCTTAAAAATATTCATTTTATTTTCTATTCATTTTTCTATGCTCGTTCCGTAACCAGTCTGCTTAAAATTAAAACTCTATGCTCTATTTCTTAGACCCTTAGTAAAAAACACGTCTTTCGGTTTTTCATTTATAAATTTAAATTGCTAATTAAATTTTTTTTACCAACTTATTTTTATTCCATTGAAATAATTTGCTTCTTTTTTCTCTTTCAGCTCTAATTCAATATTGTTTAGAAATGGATCAAAATTTTGCTCGGTCTAATGAAAGATTTAAACCCCACAACATTCTTTTAAATCTACTAGTTTTTCAAAATAAAACTGAATATTTCAACGGAAAGGTTCATATATATTTTTTTAAATTCTAGGAATGTGTAAATGAAAAAAAAAATAAAGTGTCAAAAAAACAAGGGTGTGCAAGTATAATTGTTACAAATCAAAAAAAAATTAAGTAATAATTTCAATAACGAGTATAGAAAACAAATTATCAACTAAAAATTAAAAGAGACAATTATGTTTGTTAAAGTAAAAATACACTTTACTCAATTCAAAAAGAAAGTTATGGAATTTGGTTAATTATAAAATTTCATATAATCGAAAATTGTGCCTAATTGGGCACTAAATTTTGGTGGCCATGGAGCCGACCAGTGAAATAGCGCCTGATAAAGATTTCTTAATAGTACAACAACAGCCAAACATAAATATAACACCACCAAATCAACAAACAAATTTAGAAAAACTATCACGGCCTATGGCGTTTGAAAAGGTAAGTGAATTAAAATTTATTTTTGGATTTATTTCAAATATTGATGTTGAATAATTAATATAAATGACATAGATTAATATTTATGTAGATGAAATACTCGAAATAGTCATAGTACATACAAAGAGTTGCATCATACATACCATAATTTGGTAAGAAAACCCTTCACTCATTTCAATGCTCTTAAATTATAGCTTTTTTCAGGCTGACTTCATTTACCTGAATCTTGAAGTAAAACAATTAGTAGATTCATCACTTACTGATTTTATATTTCTCTCCGTTTCTTAATAATTATTTTTATACTTGACTAATAATTTAGTATTCTTACATGTTGATGGATAAATAATAGGCAGCCAAAATTTGGTTACAAACTTTGGTTGTTTGGCTAATTAACATTGTTGTTATTTACTCTAATAAACTTCCGTCATACAGATGAAACTTACAATACAATGCAATATACCAAAAATATGAAAAGCCACAAGTTTTTCCACAAACTAGTAATTAGATTCTGAATGAGTTAATTCATTTCTCAATTGAAATTGTATGTTCTTTACTAATCCCTTTATTGAAGATAAGGTTTTTGGAATAACAAACAGACAAAACTCAAAAACAGAACATAATCGAAACTCTGTTAAAGGTGCGGAGAAAATTTTTATTGCTTGAAATTCAATAGCTTTAGAACTGTATACTAAATCGAAAGGTCCAATTTTTAAACGCCGTTTAAATTGTAGTTTGATCAACATTTGAGTTGGCCTTCGCTCCGGGAAATCCAGGTTTTCTAATTAATCGCAATTAATTTCTGAAGGTAAATATAAAACGACTTGTGCTTACAAAAATAAGTTGCTCTAAAAATTACCGCGATCACTTTTAATTCATCAACATGCACAATCAATACGAATAGCTTTTTATATTGCGCATAAGAGAACATCATTTTATTTCTTGATCTGTAACTTAATCTGTAAGCCAAATTTAACAATGGTTGTAGAAACTCAAACACAGATTAAAGAAGATATTTCAACTAGAAAAAATTCTATTGTTAAATCGATAGGTTTAGGAAAAGAAAATAACAGTATTTTCATTATATAGCATTTTTCAAAAAATTATGAAAAACTTTCAAATGATTCTGTAATATGCTAGAATATGAATTTTGTTGTTCTCGAAATTACACGTTTTATTACTTCTAACAAAAGCAATAACTTTAGTATTATTCTATGCTTCTATTTTATTTGCTACATATTAAAGTTGCTTAATTTCCAACACTGGTTTAAACCCACATTCCCTGAGCTGCTGTAGATATATCGGTTCTTCAGTGGTGTGGAATATGTTGGAAAAACAACTTACAACGTTACGGTTAAGACGTTAATCCTGAAGAACTTAGTGGCAATCGTGCAACAAAATCTACGAAAAGGTTTTGTAGAGTAAAAAGCGGGTTTGCCCATTTCACTACTTCAATAGAATTTCAGCTCCGATACTTTTCTCCAATTTTTGCTACAAATGACTGATATTTGTTATGATATTAAACTTTACAGTTAAAAGAAACTTTCGTAAATGATTGTTCCTAATTGGAAAACAACCAGAGATCGTTATTTTCGGAAAAGCAAATTTTCCAGTAAATATTTAGTCTTTTCTTCTTCACCTTCACGGCGATTTTCATATTCATTTATAGTATTTTAATATAAACCGATTTTTGTTTCTTCTCTTGATTCAATAAAAATATATAATTACTTCGAATCTATTGAGTCTCAACAATTTTGGATATATTTTTCCAGATGGAAAATCTTGTCCGAGAAATGAAGGACGAAAACAATGGTGTTCCTGTGCGGCATCAAAAAATTTTTTTAACTTCTATACCTTACGCATTTATGGGTAACATATTTACGATTAAAATAAAAGAATTGATTTTAAAATTAATTATATTATTTATATATTAAGGATATGATTTAATAGAATGGTTAATGGATAGATTAACAATCGAGGAATCAGAAGCACTCAATTTGGCAAACCAACTATGTCTTCACGGATACTTTTTCCCAGTAAATGATACTAAAACTCTTGTAGTAAAAGATGATTCTTCGCTTTATCGTTTTCAATCTCCATATTATTGGCCATGGCAACATAAAGCTCCAGATAATATAGAATACGCCATATATCTTACGAAAAGATCTCTTAGAAATAAACAAAGGCATGGGCTAGAGGACTATGAAACAGAAGCTTTGGCAAGTTTGCATAAGAATTTAAAAGGAAAATGGGATGTGATATCAATGCAGGCCGAAGAGCATGTGCGTTTAGCTAAAGAAAGAAAAAAAGGTGATAAAATTGTTAGTGACTCTCAAGTAAGTTTACTTAACATTAAAAATATGAGCTCTTATTAGATTATAAAATTCACTTTTTTTCAGGAACGCGCATATTGGCGAGTTCATCGGCCTCCACCGGGTCAGTTCACACCGCTTGAACCTTGTCCCGTCCCATCAAGAGACAGAACTGGAACGAAACATAAAAAGAAAAACGTGGAAGATTGGCAACGTGAGGTCGACTATTTAACGAAATCTTTTACTCGTACTAGAATGAAAATGTCGCAAGCTTGTGAAAGTTTAGTTAATTATTGGGAAATATTTTCGGAATATGATTTTTTTCTTCAACCTGTCTTGCCTTCGAACCCATGGGTCTCGGAAGATATGACATTTTGGCAACTTAATAACGCTATAGTCGATATTCCGACAGAAAAACGTGTCAAAAGATGGGGTATTTCTATAGAAGAACTTGTGTCAGATCCCACAGGTTTGCAAGAATTTACAACTTTCTTAGAAAAAGAATATTCGCATGAAAACATTCGCTTTTGGATCGAAGTTAACAAATTAAGAAGGTCTGCTCATTCTCAAGTGGCAAAAAAAGTAAACGAAATTTATGAGTAAGTGCTCAAGTATTTACTTTTTTACTTTATAAAATATTAATTTCGAAATTATATTTGACAAACTATTCAAAGGGAGTTTTTAAAACCGGGTGCGCCATGTGAGATAAATATTGATGGAAAAACTATGGATGTTGTACAAAAAGGTCTTAAAAGTCCTTCCCGTTTTACATTTGACGCAGCAGCGGAACACATTTACATGTTGCTCTTAAAGAAAGATTGTTATCCCCGTTTTATGCGATCAGACCATTATAAATCACTTTTAGCTAGTGGAATTCAACCTTCACATAAGAAACGTTTCTTTAACTTTGGAGGAGCTGCCAAAAAGAAAACTGCAACTATGCAGCAGCCAAATCAAAATTTAACTCAACCGTTAGTGCAAAGTGGTGGAGCGGCACCTGGGAATTTGAGACGTCGCGGCAGTGATCGAAGTTTAAGTGGATCAGCTCATGAACTAACAATTATAGGAATTAAAGACGGTGCTAGTAAAGTACCGCATTCTCACAGTCAAAGCAATTTGAGTGAAATCCCTTACAGGTATGAAATTCATATAATTTATTTTATTATAACAAATTATAAGATTATACTGTGATTTCTTCTAATACTGTGAGTAATTAGCAATAGTTAAAGAAAAATTTTCTGAGAATTGGTTTTTATTTGATTGCTCCAACTTTGGAAGAAAATGTACAGCATAATAAGAATGAAATGATTCATAATTCTACAAAATTTTAAATTCTCTAAATTATACAATAGCTAGAAAAGTATAATGGAATTCATATTTTAATCCAGCGACAAGTTGAAATTTTCATAATTTTAACTTATGTAAATGGCAGGATGAATCTTAGAGAAAGCATCCAAAGCCAGTTGCTAAAATAAATTTTTCATCCAAAGTCATTTTAAGTTTCTTCAAGTCGTCTTCTTCTGATTTATTTTATTACAACTTTATTATCTTACTTAATTTACTATTGCTATTGCAGTTAAATACCTTCTGCTAACTTTATGTTCGTTAGAAGGTTAATGTAGTTGTAAGTGTGATAACGCAATTTTATCTCGCAATCGAATCTTTGAAAATTGTGGGACAACATGGTTGCGATCCATGAGTAACTTTTATACATTTGGAAGTAATCATATTTATATTAAAACTTTTTTACCACCAACTTTCGGTATGTGGTTAGTATAAATTTTTTTTTTATTTTACTTTTTAGAGAACCAACTAAACAGTTAACGGAACGCTTAGAATCAACTCTAGAATCACATTCGGTATGTCCTTGGGATACCGAGGAAACAGTTGAACCTCCCGTGCAATTAGCAATTTGCCCATGGGAAGATGACGATGACAAAAGTACCGAACCGGTCATAGAATTAAAAGTGCCAGTTAAAACAGAAAGGTTGGTTTTAAACATTATTTATACTATATGCTATTTTATATAATAAAAATAAGTGTTATAACCTTTACAGTAAGTTTTTGTATCTAACATAATTAAATTCTTAAAATGCTTTTGCAGTAGTATTTCATCAGACATCGCAGAAGTTTCCGAAAAAATGAAAAGATCTTGCGGTCTTCGTCAAAACACTGTAGATGCTGACTGTGGTGTTAAAAAATTGACGCTGATTCATAATGAACAACGAAGATCATCTATGACAACCTTACCTAGGTAAATTGCTTGAACTTTCATCCAAATTCAAAACTAAGAAAATAATTATTTTTTAAAGACTATCAGAATTTCAAATTAATGTGCCGCTACAATCCTTAAGAACAGTACAGTCTGTTGCCCCATCACCGTGTGATGCAGAGGAGCAATTATTTCAGTCATCAAACAATTTATGTGAGGGTAAAGAAGCTAAGAATCAAGATGCGTCGTGTTCCGAGAATTCTAACACTCAAATACAGATTAAAGAAGATGTTTCAACTAGAAAAAATTCTATTGTTAAATGCAATGAAAATAACCGAAGCACGTCTTCAGAAGTTTTGATGTTAGATATTGCCGGATCTTCCACTAATATCAAGGATATCACAGATCATCCAGTGGAAGTGAACAATCCTAAAACACAAGACAATGTAACAGAATCAATAGAGGATTTTAATTCCGGATTAAAAAATCGTGATACAGAAACATCTGATCCTATAAATCTCCCACAAGAAGAAATGTCACCAACTACCGAAGAATATCAGGAAGGTGTTCAATTCGAAGAGCATGTCGGTGCTTGTGATTGTAGAGGTATAGAAGAGGATGATCCGCATTCAATGCCAATAGGTTGTGTTGCACCAGCACCTACACCAGCTCCTTTACTCGCTCCTTTAGCCGAAATTGAAATTGATTCTGTTGAAGATGATGTTGAAATCAAGTTAGAAACTAAGCCAGAAGCCGAAGAAACGAAACGAAAACGAAGAAAAAGAAGTTCTGATGCAAAAAAAATAGAGGAAAAGATAGAAAATAAGGCAGAAGGAGAGGAAGCGGATAATAATCGAAATGCAGTTTGCCCTTGGGAAGATGAGTAAGTTAAAACATTCGATATTTAGTTGATAATTATTTTTCACTTCGTTCTTACTCTTCCTACTTCGATTCCCAGTTAAAAATCTTTAAAATACATATCCTTATTTTCAAGGGCGAGAGAATATTTTTCCTTTTAAATATACTGCTTTTTAGGAAAATATGCAATTTTTTTGTTTTTATAACAGTTGTGACAAGTCACATGGTATTTTAACAAAAAGTGGGAAAATTCAATTAAAAAGTGAATACACTAATAATTATTGAAGACATTGTGTTTAATCAAAAATTGTAAAGTAATTATAATATGCAACTCAAAAATTGAGACGAGAATTACAGTAAACTTTCACTGAAGGTTAAAAAGCTCTACGATTTAGCTGCTAAAGTTAGCATTTAATTCATTAGAATATTAATCCTCTGTACATACTACACATGCCTATTTTTCCTATCATTTTTCGTTATTTTTCAAATTTGTAATTTTTCATTATATTTTCAGAGATTTGACTACAAGTGATGGGACATTCACAAAAACCTATGCTACTCTAGGATATTTATGAATACTATTATATAATTTTAAAATTCTTTTAATAAAAATAAAAAAGATCTATAAAGTAAAATCTATATTTAAAACATAAAACAAAATAATTCTGGTTTTAAAAATTTTTATATACATATATATATATGTATATATATGTATACATATAAATATACATACATATATGCACGTAAATCTAGTTTCAAAAAGTAAAATAAAAAAAAAATTTAAAATGTCATATTTAATCGTAACGTTATGCAGAAAATGTTTTTATTCCAATTTACTTTTGTATTATATTTGATTTTTTTTGCAACTGTTATTCTTATTAAATATTATTTTATTATTTAAAATAAAACCAAATTGCAAGTATTTGTAGGCAAATATTAATGCAATCTATTTTGAATTAAAGGTAGAATAGAAGCTTCAATAAAAATTTTCCATATTAAATTTTAATAAGGTAACAAATTCAAAAGTTGGCTAACCTATTAATTAGTCGAATTTTACAATTTTGTCTAGAATTTAGAAATAACATTTTTACTTTCAAAAATAACATTTTCAATGAATAACAATAGGCATTCAAAAAATAATAAGCTAAATAAATAAAAATTGATTGTAATTCAATGTTCTCAAAATACTAATATAATGTCAACTTAACTTATTCAGCTATAACAATTTAATTGCTGAATAATGAAAATTGTAAACATTACTAAACATTTAGGTAAATAAAAAATTTTCTTGCGAGGACAATTTATTTATTTTATTCAAGAATCAAGTTTTTATTTCAAAAAATGTTTTTTAGAAACATGAATTAACTAATAAACATAACTAATGAACTAAATACATTTACAGAACTACAGTGCTTTCAAGAATATTTTGAATAAATTACTCACAAATTTAGATTTTGAAAATTAATTTTTAATTATTTGAGAAGTATTTTTAATTTATTATTAATATTAATAAAATAAGAATAATGAGCTGTTATTTTTGCAATTAATAGTTAATTATTAATTAATTTTATTATATAACATAGGTAAGGTGACTAATTTTTTTTTGTTTACATAATATAGAAAATATACTGCCATGATTATGAATAATATATTTGTATTGAATTGCTGTAATTGCAATAAAATTTATATTTGTATATTATTATATTTTGTATAAAAACATAATTTTATACAAAACATTTTTTGTTTTTTTTTTTCATTTGAATTTTATAACATTAAAAAAATATTAAGAACAAAAATTTTTAACTCTTATAAAATATTTACTGTTTATATTGTACGTAAAATGACATTAAGGCTAGAAATGAAGTTTTACCTAAATGCAAATCTAACGTCAACTTGACTTATTAAATAATACGATTACAATTGCTGAACAAATCAAAATCAAAGTTGGGTTCACATTTAGGTACTTGGCCTTCCATATTGAAATCTAGAAGCTATAAAGAAATAGTAATTACGAAAAAGTCAAAAAAAAATATGCACATTAAGTGTATATATGTATGTGTACATTTATTAAATTAAATTGAGCTATTTAAAGAGTTATATATATATGTATATATATATGTATATATATGTTAAAGTATATCATGTTGCTTACTCTATACTTTTAATTAAGAACAAGCAAAAAAAAAAAAATTTAAAATAAAATTTACATTGTTTTCTGAATAACCATAAAAAAGTAACAACCATCTATGAAAAAAAAAATTGTTATTTAACTTAGTATAAAAATAAATAGGTACAATTGTAAAATAATATTATACGATATATATACATACTTATACATAAATAAAAACACATTAATGTTACCATGTTATAGCAATAATCAAACATATTAAAAAATTTGAAGACAGTATGGTCAGTATGTTAGAGAGAAAAAAAAAAGAAATTATTGAGAACATGAGTTGTAAAATAATATAATATACTCGTATGTACATGTAAAATTTTTTTAAAAACATTTTTTTGTTTTTGTTTTGAAGCCGTTCGTTCTCCCCTTTATATTATTGGGTGTTATCAGAAGTTTGATTGAGTAGTGTATAGGGGGCAAACATCTAAATGCAGATTTAACTTGAAATTGACTTATTCAGCAATTAAAAGTGTGCATTGCTGAATAAATCTTTTTGATGTTAAATTTGAATTTTGTTAATCGCCCCACAAGATGTATATATATATAGAAATTGCCAAGTGTTGTACTCAACTGCAGACGACCATCGGATTTTGATCAATTATGAATTTAAGACCAATATTTTAATTTTTTTTTTTACATAAATGAAATAAATTTTTGCCACAAAAATGCTAAAATATCGAATATATTGTTGTTTCTCTTTCATTTCTGTTCTCTTCACTTAATGAATATTGTATATGTGACTTATGCAAATTTTGGATTCGATTATAATTAAAAATTTTTCAGAAATAATATCGTATTACAATTGCAAAGCAATAAAGAACTGCAAAGTATGCTAATAAATTTATTAAAACAAAGGCCAAGTCTATAGCTACAATTCCTTTTACAAAAACAATATCGGCAATGAAGTCAATTGTAATAAGATCGGTTACTTAATAAATACCCATTAATATTTTGTACTAATGTTGTCGTCTTTAAATAATTGAAAACTTTCAGTTTTAATTAACGGAAGCAAGCGTATGATTATGATTGTGATACTTTAAAAATGAAAAATCAAAAACAAAAAATACAAAATTCATAAGATTTTAAATTATATTTGTTTAGATCAGGATCAACTTGTTTTTTTAACAAATTGCCTCTTGGTCTAATTTGATAGCTAACTGAACTAATTTCAATCATGTTGAGTTTTTGTTAAATAATTTTGTATATGCAATTTTGTATACACTACATTCAGGCACAAAAAACAGGCGCACATACAAAGTTCGATAACATCCATTTCCTATGACTTGTCAGCGAAAATTAATTTGGAATTGAAGTGATGATTTTAATTAACACGCATATTGTTAAAACCAAATAATATTTGATCGTACTTTAATATTTTTGTAACAAAATTTCTTTTGTGGAACATAAATTTGAATAAATTTTGTAATCGCAAAAGAAATATTACATATGTTTAGGCACTCTGACATTTTCATAAAATTTTTATGATTCTTCAGTTATTCTACAACATTTATACCTAATTTACCTACCAATTCTAATTAAAGTTTTTTAATTCACGACATTTTCGTTTTAATATTCGACAAAATATGGCAATAAAATACAAAGTGAATAATTACAATTATATAGAAAATAATTTTGGTAGAATATTTTTTTTTACAAAATTTTTTCGTTTCTCAACAAAATTATGTAAATTCGATTTTTCGATGTTTTGAATTGTCAAAAAGAAAAACATATTTTATTTTATGAATCATTGGTTATAGCACCTTTAAACAGCCTTTGCGTTTAAGTTTTTAATAACATAATGCAAGAAAATTAAATAAAATAATTGTACAATTCTCTTGTCTTTCAATAAAATATATGTATAAAGATTTTTCCAAAATTTCTCACATTCAATAATAATTAATATATATACCTGAGTGTGCAGTAAATGCTTGTACTTAGGAAAAACAAAAATTATTTGATCGAACAATAAAATAATACAAACACATACATGCTAATTAAATTTTATATATGTAGGTATGTACTGAAATTTTGTTTTACAAATCATAATTCAATAATTAATTTTCAGTGTGTAAACATGTACATATTAATTATTTAGAAAAGCAAAATGATTTTAATTTTTAATACGAGTTTTTTGTTTTCTATTATTTTTGATATTATAAAAATTATAGTATGCGTACTATAATTAAAAAAATATTATATATGTATATATACAATGTAAAGTTTATATATTAATATGTATAAATTATATAAAATATAGTACATATAAATTAAAAATTATGTGTACATAATATTTTTAGTTTTCCTAATAATATTTATTTTTAATTAATTTTATTAAAATAATATTATAAAATATTGTTATTATTCTAAAAAAAAAATATACATATATACCTATTACATACAATATAAATAATATAATAATTATTAAAATGCTTTGAAAACAATTAGATAAATACATAAAAATACAAAAGTATATATTTAGGCTTATCATGAGAAACTTATCACTCACTATTTTATTGCATAAAGAAAAAATTTATAAAAATTGTTGTTAAAAAAAAACACAAACCAAAATAAAAAAAAATGGTTCGTGTCTATAATCTTTCTCTATTTTCTATCTCTCTATTTCTCTGTCATTTAGTTTTCTTTGCTTTATTTACGATATATCACTTTAATTACATTCACCTAATGAAAGATATTGTAGTGGTATGCTTCTCAAAATAACCTAAATTCAGCTATTTATGCAAGATCGTAAGAAAAAAAAAACAAAATCGAAAGAATGTAAATAACGTAATATTGAAATTGAATTAAGAAACAAAAAAAAAAAATAAAACTTTTAAAATAGCGACGCTATTAAATAATTTTTTGAAACGAAAATAGTAATGCTACTACCTTACCTATGTTGCTCTAATATTTCTTAATTTATTTTTTAAAGCTTTCATCATAAATTTTAAATAATTTAAAAACAAAAGTAAAAAAAAAAAATTTAAAAAAATTTTATTTTTATTTTATGCGGGAATAATTAGCGAAAACCAAAAGGGTAAGTTTTGTGATATTTTCCGAAAAGTAAAAAATTATACCATAGATTTATTATATAAATATATATATATACATATTTAATTTGCATATAATATTAATGAATCATAATGTAACGAAATAAGCATACATCCATAAAATATTACGATATTTTTCGTTAAAAAAACAAATAAACACAATTAGATTTTTTAAGTTTAAATTTTTTTTTAATTTATTTTCAATGGAGTTTATTTTGATAATCGAATTACTAAGCTATAGTGATATTTATCGAAGACATGAATCATTTGTATGGTTTATACTTACAATAAAAATATCGAACTCTTCCGATTATATTATCAATATCACTTAGTGAATCGATACTTAGAATAAGCCCCCCCAATATTTTAATGATCTTTTCAATTATAAAATTTTTATTTAAAAAAAAATAAAAAATAATAAAAAAAAAACAAAAATAAATTTTTAACACAATATCAAAAACAACTTAATAGTAAAATAACAAAAAAAAAGAAAAAGAAAACAAAAATTAAACTTTTAACTCATATTATATAGGTATACATACATAAAAGAAATTATAAAGGAGCTTAAATCGTTGAATAATTATATCTTCATACATACTTATATAAAACCAAGAAAAAAAAAATTTTTTTAATTGCATGCATTTACTATTAGTTTAAAAAAATAATAAATTAAAAAAAAAAAAAACTATTGTACAAAAACACACACATATACTTAGCAACTTAAAAATTTTTGTGTAATTTTCATTAAGGAAAAACTAATATTATATTATATAAAAAGAGATAACAAAAAAATAAAAAAATAAAAAAACTTAGCGAAAAATGTATATGTATAGATAAGTAATTAATATATTGAAGGTCAAAATATATATACAGATATATTAATGTATATGCATATATATATATTATGAATATATAAATACATACATATACATACATATATATTATGTATTATAGATCTAGATACACATGTATCCATATTATATGCATACATATATATATATATATATTATAGACTAATATAAAATTTATTTTAAAATCGCAGTTCCCACCACTGGTTTAAATACTAGTTAATATTGTAGATTATTCTTTATTACTATTATTATTATTATTATTATTATTACTATTACTATTATTATTATTTTAAAATTGAATTTTCAAAAAAAAAAAATACAAAAAAAAAAAAAATAAAAATGAAAAGAAAAAAAAATAGAAATAAAAATTATAAATAACTTGTTATAAACTTTATTTTAAAGTTTTATTTGCCATTATAATTAATTATGTATTTTATAAATTATACATAAAAAGTATACACATACATATATATATATATATATATATATAAAACAAATTATGTTAGGCAAAGAATATTGCAAACTTTATATTGATAATAATAAAATAAGTTAAACGAGTTAATTTTTCTTATGATATATATATATACATACATATATATTATATATATATAATATAATTAAATTAATAAACATTATATTTTAGAATATACAATTTCAAATGTATATAATAATTATATATGTGACCAATTCTCTAATATCCAACTGTCTCTCTAAGGTCCCTGTCATCTTTGTTACTCCAAAAGTCTGCCTCCTTTCCCTTTTTGAAATTTATTTGTAAAATCGCCGAATAATTGACTATTTTATTAAATTTAGCGATTTTGGATTTTATAATAAGTCCCCTTTATTTACAATAATTCTAGTAGAGTTCGTAATAAATATGCGTATTATATTATAAGTGCGTATGCACAATAATCCTAGTAGATATTTGAATATGCGCGTTATATTAAGTGCGATATTATTGAGTACTGTCAAAAACAAAGCTTTAAAACCGACTTTAAACCGTAAGAAAATACAAAACTAAATATGCACAATGACACGGTATTGTTGAAGCATAAATAATGATTTTTTGGTAACAATTTGATATACAAATTTCGATTTTTTGACATTGACATAAAATTCTGTCATAGCAAGGATAAAATATTCTTTTATTCTAATTTGTTGCAACCATACTTAAAATTATCTGACAATTTCCAATTTGTTACACTAAAATTCAACGCAAAAAAGTGAAAAAATTTGCGTTATCTGAATTTAAACATTTATTTATGCATATTTCTAATATTTTATTGCAAAAATTTTAGAAAAAGCATCCAGAATTGTTTGAAAACACGATTTACTTTTCTTTGCCTTTTAAAAACGCATTTTGTACAATTCAGAACGAGTAACATTGTAATAATACCGAACGTAATACAAAGTTAAAGTTTGTGTTCTCTTTTTTATAATACCGAATATTGCCTTCATGTTTTATATTGAAAAATTCTCGATTTACATTTACTATTCTAACAACATACATATAACGGTAATAAAGGTGAAAATCAAAATGCATTTATCTAAATTTAAAAACGAAATGGCAAATATTATTTAGCAATTAAAATACTATTGCTGAATAAACCAAACTGATGTGAACATGATAAACTATTAAAACTCTTCTATGTATTTTAAATGGTTTGAATCTATGATAAGAAAAAAAAAATGAGAGATATAAGAAATAGAAATAATATTTATCAATTCGCTATAAATAATGAACAAAATGTAATTACTTTCTCAAGAGCTAAAGTAAGTATGCTATACGAGTTTAAGTAATGACAATTCATATTATCATTCTAAAATTGTTCGAATACCAAATTTTACTGAATTTTGTGTTTGAGCGTTGACGATTCAGACAATGTTGCTTATTTTTAAAAGAAAAACTACATCATATTTAAAAGCTTGAGGCTTTACTATGAAATTCCACTTACCAATAAATTTCTATGCTATCCAAAATTCTTTAAAAAATAAATCAATTTTTTATTTTTAATAATTTTGCTTTATTATAATATTATAATCACAAATTTAAATTGATATAATGAAAATATGATTTCAAAGATACTTTTAACATTATACTTATTTTAAATGTTCATAAAAATATGATATACACAACATACATATATATATATTCATTTTTATTTTTATTAATATAAATGTATGTTATATTTGTTATAATTAAACATTATATAATTTATAACATATTATTACATTATGTTGACATACAAATATTTTATATACAATATATACCCTAATTCCATTTTTGTATAGCACACACGTAAGAGGCGATATATCCGATAAAATTCACGTTTTATTAAGTTAAGAAAAAACTAAATAGATTTCCGCCCGGATATTTAAATTAAATAAGATAAAGGATATAGAATATAACAGTTATGTTGTCCTATATTAATATAGGACAACATAACTGATATAATTAAAATTAATAAATTGTTGTAAAGAAATAAAATCTTCAAATTCATCCTAAATTCGATCTTTTTAAATACTTATATATAAGAAAGAGTAATTTAATAAAAATAGTCTATGAACAGAATTAGGTTTATATAAGAATACAAATATATACAATATTAAATTTTTATATTATTTGGGTTTTTATAACCAAAATTTTATTTATTTACATCGTGTGATAATGACGGTGATGACTTTCTAGAACGAGATAATCCTTTTAAAGATCCTTTAAGATTTCCTCTGCTACGTTCATTCCATGGTTCAGGTACCCTACCATACCATAATATTAGATCCCGTACTTCTTGCTGTATGAACAAAGAAATTTTTAGTAAGAAAAATGTTTAATTACTTATATTATTTGTGTCTTTCTAGAAATTTCTGATTTATTCTAAAATGCAAAAAATTTATAAATATTTGCTACTCAAATATGTTTAATTTTTAAATTTCATCAATGCTAAATTCTTCTATATTGAAATCAACAATTGTTACAATCAAATTAAGATTCATTTCTTTTCTTTAAAAAATTTACCTGCACTTGTTTAGGTAGTTCCTTAAATATTTCCTGCTTTGTTAACCTTGGGTTTTGAGATAAAAATGATAAACATTTTGATCTTAAGCCCGATGCTAAATAACGATCGGCAATCCCAAGTAGGCACACAACAGAATTTTCATCAATTAATGAATTTAAAGCATTTTCACACAAAGCCTAAAAATATGTTATAAATAAACAACAAAATATTATGTGATTTCTTATAGATTTTAAAAGTGAAATACATAAAACTTACCTTTAAATCATCAATTGAATAACGGTCTGCAAGAAGCATCAATTCACATATTTGTTCTGCTCCAACTGTTTCGTCAACAGGTGCTCCATATAAATAAAGTAACAAACGACGAAATATTACTGGAGATGTATCAGTAATCACAATTTTGCTAAAAATTTTTCGAATTAAAAATTTATTTGAATAAAACTACCGATTTAAAGACAACATTTTAAAACATGTAACTTTAAAATAACACATACAATATGTGATTTTGTACTTACTTTGTTATACTTTCTACCATTCCAGACATTAAAGCCTTTTTAAACCATTCGCATCTAAAATCCATAGAAAGTACAAAAAAAAATTGTAAATGACTGAAATTTTAAAATAAAATTTAAATATTGACTGACCTTGATGCAATAATGATTCTATGCGCTCTAAAGATTGTCGTCTGACATTTATTTTGACCGGATGAAGGATCTTTATAATTTTGGATTATTTCAAATTCCATATCAGTTATCTGATTTGAATGAAGAAGTCGTATTGCTGCTTTGGCTAATGAACTGTTTGCTGCAGTTGGTGGTTCACACAAACCCTTCACTAAATTAAGCTAAAATATTTCAAATTGTTGAATAATTAATAAATTCAATTGGAAATATATTTTAGTAATGTTAATAGAGCCCAAGTTTAAAAATATTTACTTACTTTGGCGTATTTATAATCATAGTCCCTCTTTTCAGAAAATTGTTGTAATTTATTTTCTAAAATATTATTTTCTGCTAGCAAACCAAGATCAATTAAACATTTAGTGAATTCATCGTGTTTAACTAAGTCGCAGATCTTGTAATTAACAAAAATATTTATAAGAAATAGAATTTATAAAGCAAAATTTATAATATTTACCTGGTTAATGGCATCTATCAAAGCTGGTTTGTGATCTAAAAGTTTTGTTAATACACCGTTCTAAAAAAAAATGTAAATTTTTTAAATAAACATATTTTAAATCTAATGAATCTATTTAAAACTAACTATTTGACTAGTTGCTAATTTAAAGCAAAATTTGAACTCTTTCCAACCAATGTTGTCATCAAATTTATCTGACAGATTTTCTAAAATAACAATGTAAGCTGGAATATCCACTAACAATTGTTCAAAATTTTGATTAATTGTGCTTATTTTATCCAATATACCCATTTCGCAAAATGTAGATCTATTGAAATTAAAATAATTATTTAAATTTAAAATAAATGTTTAAATCTTAAGGTCCATTAGCAAATGTTATATAACTGGGCAATGGAATTTATTTAATACTATGAATGTCTACCAAGACAATTTAAAACTCTATTAGGGTTAATATTTAATTGCACTAATAAAATGCTTAATGCGAAACATTAATATTAGACACACTTTATTCAAAATACAAAATTATTCATATTGCCCACAATTTAAACAGATTTTATTAATATTAATACCTTTTCTCTTTTAATATATCAAGAACAACCGATATACGACCATATATATCATGTAATTTCCTCACTTCATACATATATAATAGCAATTTTAAATCATTATCGGCCTGAATATTTAGGTTCTGAGAAGTAAATCCTTCTGATGAATTATTTATTTTCAGAACTAAATTCGAATTTTGTCTAAGAATATTTTGTTTCTTATTCAAATTTGGCTTTGTTCCAGCTGGTATACCAATATTATAACATTTCATATCCTAGAAAATAGATAAAAATATCAAGTAAAACATTGTTGTTGTTTTGGAAGCAACATTAAAATAACTTGTAATACGGTTGATACAACTTACCTTACAAATTTTTTCCAAAGATTTTTTAATTTCTTCAACAACTTTTGTCAAAACTTCGAAAGAATATTCAATCTAAAACAGATATTAAATTAATATTTAGTATGTAAGTAGATTGCTTAGATGCGACAAGACTCTCTTAGTTAAGAAAAAATCCAGCAAACAGCAATTTTGTATCATACCTAAATAAATCGTAAGAAAGTGACCGTGTGGTAATTAGGTTAGAATTTTAAACACTGTTTCAACTAAATTAAAGTCATCACTTTAAAGAAGTTTGTATTAATTTTTAATAAAATATAAGCCATAATTGGAGGATAAAAAACGGCAAACGACAGTCACAAGGAATATGAATTCGTTTTAGAAATAAAAAATCATACAAAGGATTCATTTTTTTTTAATTAAGCTTGCCTTGTCACAAATAAGTGATATGGTGGTAATTTTATAATATTTACCTCAGGAATTAACGAGTTTATCAAATTTGATTTCTCTTCGATTGACAAATTCAGAAGCAACTTTAAAATTGTATCGAGTAATTTATGTAGTTGGGGTATAAATACAGAAATTTTACTACGAATATATTTAATGATTTCATTTCTTTGATTTCGAGATATATCTGCACCATCCGTCACAAATATATTGCAGAATATTAATATACGACCAAACCCTTAAAATAAAAAGAGAGCAGCATATATTAAAATTCATCTTAAAAATCATCTTAAAAATTTTAGTATTACCTATTGCTGCTTCTTTTAAACAATCTTTGAAAATTCGTAGAATACTACTAGTTTGGTAACTTGTTGAGCATGAATTTATTTTATTAATTATTTTACTCAATATGCTATTTATATCCATAACAGTGTCAACTACAACTAAAAAGCGATAATACCAGAATAATTATTTGGGTTTTATTTTTTATAATAATAAAAATTTTAAAATTTTATACTTACATTTTTTTAAACGTGTCAATTTTAAATATTTTTTACAAGGTTCAACTATCTTAATTAAAGGTGGTTGTGTTTCAGCAAAATTAATAATTTTTTCGCAATTTTCTTCTAATAAATCATTTGTTAAAGATTCAGTGTACAGCCAGTTAATAATAGGTGATAAAAGAAAAGAAGGTAAATCGTTTAAAATTCCAACTGGAGTCAAAGGAGACGATGGTGGAGTTTCTGTAGTTACTAAAAATGGTGATGGGCTTCTTGCTTTATAAGGAGAGAGCGGTGGTTTACGACTGCTACAAACTTCATTCGAAAAATTGAAAATTGTTCTATGATTTGAATTAATTTGCAAATTGGAATCAGATGATGAATTAGCATGGTGCATTAAAGTATTTTCAGATTTTTGATTATAAGAAATATCTAAACTATTAAATGAGGAAGATAAATTATTTTTATTTGCCAAAAACTTTTCATTTGTAGGAAGCTGCAGATAAGTTGGAGATAAATCAAATTTTGGTAAATTCTTGTTAACAGTCACTAAATCTGAATGTGATGTAACGGAGATTTTTATTTTGTTGGAATTATCAATATTATTACTTTCGGTGCAATTTTTTGTAGAATTCGGAGATGAACACATGCTACAATCAAAACCATTTAGACGCAAAATTACAGAATGAGCCTGATACTGTAAATATGAAACATAAATTAAATAAATTAATATTTTATATTATGCTAACAAAAATATATTTGAATAAAGAATTGCCATGACATCGGAGCCGCCACTATATTACTTTTAATTTATTAATATATTATTAATACACAATAAATGTATTATTAATATATTAATATAAAGTAATAAATGTATTATTAATATACTATTATAACGAGGTCAGGGAATATTTAATATGAAAATGCACAAATAATGTGAATATTAAAATAAAAAAAATTAACCAATATACCAGCACATAATATTTTAAGAAGACATCAATAGAGACATATTTATTTTTATATTATATAATGATTTCTTTAATAACACAATTTTAATTTTTGAAGAAGCATATCTGAATATTTCTCCTAAATATATGCAAAGCTATCCAGCATTAAAATTATAAAATTATGAAATAATCAATGGAGAAAATCTTCCAAATATTTTTGAAAAATTGAATATACATATATAATGGACTCACTGAATTACTTAATTGGCGCTATAAAAAATACTCAAAATTTTTTTTTTTGTGCGTATATAGTAAATTATTAAGTGGATTACCATTGAAAAGTATAAGATAAATGCAATGCAATGGAATTCAAATGTTATGAGTACAACTAAAAATTTCAGTTTTTTTTTTATTTTTAATTTCCTTACTTCTACCCCATCACAACTTTTTATTGTGACATCACAAAAATAATTATCCTTTAAAGAGTTAACAAAAGTAAATTCCTTTTCTTGTCCAGCTTGATCATCTTTTAATCGTTTGCAATGTAACGTGTACCAGTTTTCGCACTCTAAAATCAAAAGATCGATAGGTGTAAGAGAAGAAGTCTGAAAAGAATCAAAAAATATTCGTATTTAACATTATGTAGGAAATAAAAATTTAGTGACAAATTTAAAACACCCTAAAATTTTCAAACTATTAATTGTACATAATAATACACATCTATGTTCTTATGCATTTTATACTATCCTTCCATATTTTGAGTACCTTTACTTATTCTAACAACCTAAGCTTATTTGCAACCTACTTTATTCAGCAATAAGCATTCACGTTAATTTCATGTTAAATTTGCATTTTGGTAGATGACCTTCATCTACAGTGATAAAAGTACTACCTTATTTTGGTAAAATATAGCTTAAACTTTAGTTTATACGAGTATTAACTCAGATTTATTAACTCAGATTTTCATTATTAAAGTCACAAATATATTAAATATTTCCGTCATTATATTCAATTATTTGTTCACTTTGCAGTTTTTTTTTTTTTAAATTAATAATATTTCTCGTATTGAAATGGCTGAAATTAATAAAACTTCATATGTAATAATAATTACATATGCATAAATAGACATACATATATATATACATAGGTATGTATACAAAATAAAATAATACTTACATTAAATTCTATGCTATGACCTGCAAATGCTCCAAATATTAACCTTGGATTTTGTTCGTTGACATCAAATGTTTCACAACTAAAAAGGACACTTGCAGAATCGCAACAATTATAGCAGTCTTTTGGTTGAGGAAGAGAGCTTAAATCATTATACCAAGTAATATCACCCGTTTCATCTAACCTAAATTTAATACTTAAAAAATAAAATAAATACATTTATAATGAATTGATTTTTTCCAAATTTTAAATTTTTGCTAAATATTCAATTTAGATTTTAGTTGCTATATTAATTTCAAAATTTTCAAATATGTATGTATATACCAATTTATGTAAATAAAAATAAAATATACAAACTAAAAATGTTATGTATGTAGGTACATATTGCATATTATGTTATTATATACACATATGTATGTATGTACTTATATAGCTAATGTCGTTTTGTAAAAATTTTTATCCAATTACTTTTCCGCGATGGAAAATCTAAATGTTATAGGTATAGCTATATATATATGAACAAAATGTAATAATTTACTTTTCAAGTCCTGATGTTTCAACATTTCCCTCAAAAGTACATTTGATTATCTAAAAAGTAAATATAAGTTACTTTCAATAAATTTAATATACACAATAGAAAAATCATATCACCTCCCATGTTCCAATAAAATTGTGTTCGGTCATTTCTTTACATTGTTTCTAAAAATTTCTTAAAATAATTTTAGATTATATTTCACTTTAAATTTTTTAGTTTTTTCTTTTACAAATTTATACAAGATTAAAGGTTTTTATCACTAATTTAAATACATTTTTTTTTGCCCTTTCAAAAATTAATAAACTTCTAACAAAAATATTTAAAAATTCAAACGTCAAATGGAAATTTTTATTTATTCAATTTCAATCAACTGTTAATATTGACATTCTTCGCACTTTCTTATTTGTACGCATTCGCAGATTATGCCTACTGCTTTTTACCTTTCAATTTCTGAATAATATATATAGAGACAAAGATGTTCACAATAATAAAATTCTCCAGAACGTTATTTGAATGTTCTATGTAAACTACATACTTAAAATTTATTTGACGTATGTACATAACTGCAAAAATTAGACATATGTAAGAAATATTATAAGAATAATAAAGCAAACGCCGGCCGTAAAATATAAATAACATTCATTAAGTGCAACAAGTAAATACCTTAATTATAAGTAAATGTAAATTGAATTCTACTAACCAAGAAAAGGTTTATTTTTGGGATATTTTTATAATAAAAAAACGTCACTTATTTTCTTCAATTAACTTGACTCATTGAGCACTGGTTTATGAATTTACATAATACTGTTCTAATACAGAATTAAGTTTTTTCGTTGCTGAATTGCGTTAAGTACAGTGATTTTATTGCAATTCTAATTCAGAGTATTACACGTACTGCGTTAACAAAACGTTAACACTTGACATAAAATATAAAACTGCGTCCACATTTTTACGTTTGAGTTTAAAATTTTACTTTTCTTTTTGAAAGAATGCTGAATTTAAATTTCAATTTTAATTTAACATTTTAACACAACAAAAATTTTATGTATTCTGACATACATACATAAATTGTATTAAAATCAAACGACGGTCAAAACTAAAGAACAAAATCTAGCGTCGATTTCACTTTTCTATTAATATAATGTTTATCGTTGAATAAGTCAAATTCACGTTAGTTTTGCATTAAATATAGTGCTTCAACCTTTTTCTTTAAAAAAATTTGAATAGAAATTCAAAACCACAAAAAACATACAAGAAAGTTAAAAATATTTTAAGCAACTTGTATATGGAGTAAATAAAGATGTATCTATACATTTTTTAATATTTTTATGAATTTTTTATTCAATATAAAATTGTTGTAAAATATAATTATGTATGGACAACAATAGCATTATAACAAAAATAGGAAATAGAAATTTAACTTCTTTACAGGATAATGTAAGAATGATAGAAACTTCAGAATTTGAACTTCAAAACTACTACACAAGAAAATATTTGTGTATATGTACATAGTATAAGTAGAGTATTAGAGGAAAGAGTATGTAAATTACTAGGACAATATTAACCGTAAATACAAACTTTTAATCTTGTCAAAATTGTGTAAAATTTTAATATACATAAATATAAAGCACACTCACCTAAATACTCACCGAATCTTACGTCAATTTGACTTATTTAACAATTTAATTTGTATTGCTAAATGAGTAAAGTTGACCTTAGATTTGCATTTTAATAGTAGTTCTAAGGTTCTCTTTAACGACTATTTACTTTTGAGCATTTGTTGATATTGCAAATGAGAATTAAAAAATTTAAGGATTTGAAAATAAATTTTATGAATAAAAATATGTGCATAATACTTAAGCAAAAGCTAAGTAAAACTATTTGTTATTTCATTTGACAAGAGTTAAAAACCAGGACTACTCTATTTTACTTAACCAACTATAGATGAACATAAAATATCATCAAAGGAATATTTTAAAAATATTTTATTACCATTGCTATAAGAAAGAAAATTCACACAATAAAGACCGGTGATTAAAAGAAAATGATTTAAATAGTTTCTAATTAATCAGTAAGAAACGTAGTATGTACTTGTGTATATTAATGATCTCATAAAAATTGTAGACAGATATTTTATTTTTAAATATCGCTTAACTGGAGTTTATAATGAAGAATGCATTTATAATTCTAGTTTTGTGCCTTTTCTTTTGCCTGGCATTTTGTATAATATTATATTTTGTGTTCAATATAATTTTTTCTTTTCTTGCTCTCTTCTGTAGGAATAAGAGAAATAGGTTTTAATTTGTTATGACCTGAAGGAATTTTTTTTAGAATATATTTATTCTATTTATAACTATCATAAATTATTTAGTATGTTATAAAAAAATTAAATATTCATTTATAATAACTTATTTTACAGTATACATAATTACAAATATAATGTAAAATAAACACTTAGTATACAAGTTTGCGTAATATCTAATATGCAACCAGACACATTAGATTAAAAACTTAACTTGAAGTTTAGAGTCAAACATAGTTTACTTCGAAAAGCAAAAGATTAGATAAGTCTCAGTAGATGTTGCAAATATAAGTGTTACTTTTGCAATTTTTGTGCATTGGTACTTGAGGGCAAATAATTTTTATTTTTAAAAATTTTTGTTTATGTATTTACTTATTATTTTAAAAAGAACCCAATTGCTTGTACAGAATGCATATTAATAATTCAAATATGAAAACATTTAAAATTCAATGCAAAAGCAAAGTAATTTAAGTTACAAAATAAATTCAATAACAATAAATAAAAATTAAATTATGTACTTCAGTAATTTATTTTATTTCGTTAAATCTTTGAAGATTACTTCACTTTTATGTTGCGTTTCATAATAAGTGTCACATAATATGTCATAAGAGGTGTGAATATTCTTATTGATACTTGAATTTCCCTGAGTAACCGAAACTTAAATTTAATTAGCAAATTCAACGGTAATATTTTATGAGTTTTGTTAGCTTTTCTTGTACTTTATGTCCAAACAAGTGGCTTTACTTTGAATACTTTGTAATCTATCTAACTCTTTTTTGAAAGTATTACACCAAATATGGATAGTGCATAATATGTGACAGGAGCTTGAAAACATATTTTAATATAAAGATATCTATCTATACATAAGCTTTGTGACTCTGTAACCAATAAGTTTATTTTAAGCCAACCTAAAGTTGCAGAAAGAATCTGGCTCTTTCATTGTCATTGGACTTTCTTTGTGCATTCATATCAAGTGCATTTATTTTCATTTATGAAACAAACTAATAATAATAATAAAGTGGTGAAGTAGTTTTAAATTATAATTTTACTTTTATTTGAAAATATTCTATGATAGTGTTGTTCAACTATAAAATTCTATGTATTTTTTATTTAGTGTGTCTGTTATGTTCAAATAAAGCAAGTATTCATAAAACATAAAAAAAATTTAAAAAAAAACTTTTAACTACTGGAAGTCTAGAAACAAGTTTGTAAGAAAAACTTGTTAGTTTTTATTCATTGTTACTTTGAGATAATATATAAAGGGATTGCATGTAATGAGCCTATTATCTATCTATATACATATGCATTTTATATGTATGTATGTATGTACTTACATTTTTCTTTCTATGATGAGTTATTCCACTATAGTGCAATGTAATTTAAAAATAAGTTTAATTTCTGATTCAAGTTAAAAATTATGTGAAATAGTTATGACCATATTTCTTGATTGTGTCTATATATATATAAAAATTGTTGTTGTTGTTTTGTTTTTTTTAACGACGATAGCTATTTTTAGAATATTAATATTATATAAGATATTAGAATAAAAGAAAATCGAAAATTTCACTTCTAAAAATAAAATACATAAAATGTTTTAATAATATTTGCAATAGTAGAGTCTATAAAATGAATAATTATACAGAAAAATATTATAGAATTTATTAAAACTATTAATATCACAGGATATTTATAGAAAATGCCCATTTTTATCCTGTCATATACATATATGTGACTATTTGTGTTAAATTCTTTAAAACTATAGCAACTGATAACTTAAATGACTTTAGATATTTTTCCATAAAATTAAATTTACCTAAAGTTTTTCTGTAAAAAAAATATGGAATACCTATACATAAATAATTTAATGAAGAACGAATAACAAGCAAAAATACACACTTCATAGCATAATAACAATTGTTTGCAGTTCTGCACATTTGAACAAAATTAGGACTCTATATAAAAATCTAAAAAAAAATTTTGCTCGTATGGCTTTTTACTTAAGTTTTCTGAGTCAGAAGAATTTAAAATAACGAAACGCATTTACGAAGAAGTTTTATTTTCTTACCAAACATAGGTTGGAGCATTAGGACCTTTCACTTAATTAGATCAGCTTCATAATTAGTTAATGTTCAATATCGAATATTATAGATATATGAGCAATTACTTTTGTATGAAAATTTTATTTTATAATATTGTATATTAAGCCATAGAGTATTATAGGTATAATTTTTATGGTAACCTGAATAAGGTTTGAATTCAAGGCCCTTAATAATAAGAAACCAGTGTTTTCCCTTTGTTCCATGTTCAATCAATTTATTAATCATGACAGCCTCCTTGAACTTAAATACTGCGTTGCTACATAAATTTGCAGTTACAATTCACAAGTTAAGCTATTTACCAAGAATGGTATTGACTACATTAATAAAATGTAAAATAAGATAATTCTAAAATTTTATTGTTTAAGTTTAATTAAGTACAAAATCGTTAATCATTTGCAAATTTAATTAATATCATATATACATACATACATTGGTAAAATTTTAATAAAATCTGTCTGCTTCTTATACATTACATAACAGGTGCTTCAAACTGCACTATAAGTGAATTTTCTGTTTCAAATTTCCCAAAAAAAAAAAAACAACTCATTTAATTCAGAGCACTTATAATTTTATTAATTTTACCAAGTTATTATAACATTCTTATTCATATGAGCATACATACATACATGCATATTATGTATAACCTTAAGAAATTATTTCTTTAAGCATATTTTATATACTTATGTTTTGCTCTAAAATAAAATATAGACCTTCTTTTCCTTTTTTCTTTGTTAACGAACTTTAATAATTATACGCTTACGATTATACATGATGTATATTACATACATGATATATGTATACTAATATTTTCTTTCTAGTATAGATGAAGAAGATACATAAAAATTCTGAACAGAAATGCTCTTTCTCAAAACAAAAAAAAAAAAAAACAAAAAATTTTTAATTTGATTTCAATTTTTTCCCTTTTTATTCGTGGCATGAAAATATATAAACGCATTTCATTGTACATACATATATATTTGTATATACATATAATTAAATATACACATAAATATATTTTTATAATTATATGTAGAAAAAGAGTTATACATGCATAATATACGTACAATGTGAAAACATAATTTTTCAAAATAGCATAAAATATATTTATGGTCGGTCTTCCAGTTTCACTTAAGGACGTTCTTCGTCTGTTCATTCAAGTTATATAGGTACATATATATATATGTATGTACGTGTATATTTTGTTTTGATATAAAAAAAAAAATTCTTCACCGTCCATTGAAATTCTATTAAATTTTGTCATACAATACGCTAATAGAATTTTAAAATATAAAAAGTTAAAATGAATTCATTTTTATAAGAAAGTTTTTTAAAAATTGCATAAATGTAGTTTATTTTTGCAGGTTTAAGAATATTTATTTAAAATTAAAATTAGTTTGTAAAATTTATATGTGAAAATCGTATAGATAAAAATAATTTCTCTATAATAGGTAATGTTATATAATAACGCTGAAAATCAAATCAGTGCATTTATATATTACCTAAAGAATAAATGACGCTTTTACTATTTTCGATTTGAAAAATGCAACCGCACATGAATAAATTTTCTGTATTTGTCTTCACCTACAAGGAAAATTATAAGACGACTACCAATAAAATAAATTGCGTTTAGATAAATATGTATTTAGATATTTTAATGTATATTCCATACAGTCTTAAACATTTCTATAACATATAATCCGATCTTCTAAGTATAAAGTATATAAAATCTGCGAAATTATAAAGTTTGTATTTCATTTGTTTTTTGAATATTGCCCGTGTATTATGATATAAGAGTAAAAGTAAAATATCGAATTTTATTGTCAATACCAAAAAAAAGCAATTATGGCACGCATAATGAAAAATATTTAATTGTTATTATTTATGGTGTACGTATAATATACACACAGGATAAGGAGTTTCATAAAAATTTTGTACTTCATGCTGTCTTATAAAAGTTCCGCGTAATATTAGCTTGAGGCTTAATCCATTTGGTAAAATGATTATAGAACAAGTTAAATCTGACTTGTCGAACTTGGCTTTCATGCAATAAATTGGGTTGGTGTATATGTGAATTTACTCCTAACATTTTCTAAAAACTTAATGGTTTTATATTATAAATGAAATATGCATACCAACTAAATAATTATTTCTACTTCATAATTTATTATGTAATGACTTACTGAATATTAGCTGTCAGTTTTATATTTTGTTATTGCAAATAAATCTTGAATGCCTTAATATCAATATTGCAATATGGGATTCGATACAATATGTGATTTAAGGATCTTCTCTTCCGTTTTATTCGTTTTTAATTTCAACAAAAAAAATTTTCAATGTATACATAAAGTGAATAATTAGAAAAAAATTTGGCTTACTGCTTACATGTATACAAGTGAAAGATTATAAATTTGGTATTACTTCCAAAATGTAGGTAATGTTATTTTTTTTTTTTGAAAATGCGAAAAAAATATTCAATTTAACAATTTTCAGCATATGTATAAAAGGGAATTAATATATAGAAGATTAGATGCACATCTTTGATCATACACTTTAAATATTATCAAATGGAAAACTTCAAGTCCAAAGATAATTATAAAAATAAAAATATTTTAGTGTGCTCATAAATGAATAATTCATTTATTTAAAATTGATTGTTGTATTTTTCATTGACACAGAATTAATAATTAAAATAATTAAATAATACAAAAAAGAAAAAAAAACTCAAGACCAACAATTCAAACCTTTTTCATTCATCTTAAATTTTGTAGTATAACGACAACGTCAATTAAATTTATTAATAATTTTTGTAAATTTTTTTCGCAAATTCTTCTCTATCTCGTTAATTTTATTAATATTTTTTTTTTATTTTGTCTTGAAATTTTTGACCAATTAAATTGAGTGATTAATAATAATTCAAATCGTTATTCAAAAAGAAAATACCTACATAATATATATAAAATTTTAAAGGTTTTAATGGCATCCAATAGAATTCCAAAAATGTTTAGATAAAATAAAACGATAATTGTAGCTTCTTTTTCAAATAATTTCAGAATATAAAATACCTGTTTAAATGATCGTCTCTTCTTATGCTCTTACGAATCCTTTCATATCAATGGAAAAAATATAATTTGTATATAGAGGAATTTTTGGAATATAATTATTATATAAGCATACATTACCTGTTCGAAATCAAAAATAAATTAAAAATCACCTGAAATTTTAATAAACTGTTGTTTATTAAAAATTAAATTTTGTTTGATTAAACCGTATCAATATGTTTATATTGGAAATTTACAGATCTTATTTATTTATGCATACGAAAAGAGAAATTTGATAACACCATATTGAAGACAACATTTTCCAGTAGCTTTCTTTATATGAATAATGCTCTACTGGAAAACAACTATCAAATATGCCGTATATGAACTGCGATCAAAAAAAAATTAAAAAGCAAGAATTGTTTAATGGAAAATTTTAAAAAAAAAAATGCTAGGCCAGTGCGAATTGACTGTAATAGGAAGCTATTTAAAAGAGGACAAAAGTGAAATGAACTTAAAATTTAATTTAAAATGATAAATTATAAAAATTCAGATTATACCTATAGTTTTTTGCTATACACATATTAATTTGGTATACAGTATAATAAATCTAAAAAATTTATGCAAAATATAATTCCATATATTAATTATAAATTTTTTTTTTTTTGATAATAAATAGCCAAACTATACATGAAAGCAAAAAAATATTTTTTGAAATAAATTTTAAAGAGCAGAGTAGCAGACACAAAAATTATTCAAATCAAAAATTATCTTTGGTGTCGAAAAGCACATATAAAAAAAAAAGTTCACCATATTGTGATTGGAACGTACCTTATGCCATACTTTTACATGTACAAATTTTTCTTTATACTTTAACCTTCTTCTTTTTAAAAAAAAATTTTTAAATTATAAAAAGTGTGTTATATGAATTCCAGCATCAATTTAATATTTATTTCATATTTATATATATATAAATATACTAATACTTAATATAATATTATTAATATTATAAATTTTTTTTATATAAGTTTTACTTACGATACAAAATGCTGAATACTATAATTTAGAAGTTGGCTTTTATAGGCAACATATTTCACGTAAAGTAATAATGATGTTTTACTTATAAATGCTTATAATTACTAAAAAAAAAAAATTCAGGTTGAAAATTGCAAAAAAAAAAAAAAAGAAAAAAAAACATAATACTTTCTACTTATTTTAAAACATTTTAAAAATAAAAAATAAACACATTTGCATGTGATTATATTGGAATTCACTTAAAAGTACAAAAATATTAATTAAAATTCTAATTCCTTAAAGAATAAAATTATTCTTTGCTTTCATCAGATTCCGCACTTTCTTTTTTCGATTGGCTGCTAGCTGCTGCTGCTGCAGGTGTTTCGGCACTTTCATTTGATTTTTCTTCAATTGATTTACTTGCAGCATCTTCTTTGGCCTTATCTTCTTCTCCAACATTTTTCTCTTCTCGTTTACTTTCTTTATCACTTTCTAATAATGTTGGTTTATCATCTTTCATCTGTTCTTTTTTTTCTAATTTTTCATCTTTTTTCTCTTCTAATTTTTTGTCATTCGAATCTAATTCATTTTTTGATGCTTCCTCCAGAGATACGGATTTTGATTCAATGATTTGAACATTTTCAGCTGGACTTTTACGTTTTTCAATTTCTTCTGGTGCTGCAACAGCTTCTAATGATTTCTCTTCTGGAACTACTTTTTTTTCTTCTTGTAATGATTTTGCACTTTCAATATTAGGTGATGATTTTGCTTCAGAAATTTCAATTGCAGATTTTTTTTCTTCTACAGGTAATGCCTTTGGTTCTTCTATTTTAATTTCTTCGCTAATTTTTTTCTCTTCTACTGGTAGTGCTTTTGGTTCTTCAATTTTTTCATCATGAAATTTTGCTTGTATTTTTTCTTCAGGTTCAGCACTCTTTTCAACATTTTTTTCTTCAACATTTTGCACTTGAACTTCGGGAATATTTCTTATTTCAGGTTTAGGTTCATCAATAGATTTTTTTTCTTGTTCACCATTTTTAATTTCCTTTTTATTCGATTCTTCTATCGGAAGCGGTTCTGCTAGTTTTTGTTCTTCTTTTTTTATTGTATCAGCAGCAGTGGCTTCTTCAGGTAAAGGCGCGCAAGAAGCACCTAATAGAAATGCAGCAAGAAGATAAATTTGAATTTTCATTCTGAAAAATAATAAAGAGAAAAAAAGAACAAGTATAAAAATTAAATATAACTAAAATGTTCTCATATTACTACTATATATGTATAAGCGTAACAACAACACAATATATATATATATATATATATATAGATATATATATAGAAGATAATATTACAGGGCTAATGCCCCAATATTCTTAAGTCTAATTGATACTTTCGCAACATATACTAAAGTATTTTTATTTTTTTTTTACTTTTATTTTTGTTATTATAGTTAAAAACATAATAAGAAAACTAAAGAAATATTTTTTTTAAAAAAAACTGGTTATTATTGCACAGTTTATTTACCGCATTTTCTTATTTTAGGTTCATATTATTATTGAATAATAGACGAAATAAAAATACATATGTACATACAAATATACACACATATATTTTATTTTTTCAAGAAGAGATGGAATTTTATCGAGAAAAGTATCATTAATTTAAATTGTTATCATATTTACATATTTTTTTTTAAATTATACACATATATACGTATTTATATACTTTGTATATATATAATATGTAGATATAATAAATAAAATGAATTTACTTTTTTACACAAAGCCGGAAATTTAATTAAAAGCGAAGAAATTTTGAAATCAAAATAAAATATATAATATTAAAGCACAAGTTCAATTCTGAATCGCATTGAAATTATCTATGATTTTATAATTTAAAAAAAAAGCTTCAAGTCATTCTGAAAATTTTAAAGAAGTTTTGTAAAATTCCTATATAAAATTTACATCAGTTCATTTAAGTTAAGAATGAAATGTGTATATGTATGCAAGTATGTGGGAATGTATAAGATAGAGTATAAAACATCGCATGCCTTAGGAATTTAAAGAACGTTCTTATATTTTTGTAAAGTCACTATGAAAATTACTAATTCTATATTGGTACAAGAGAAGTACAAACAAACGCTTTTCCGAATTCACAATTAAAAATTTTCATAAACGTAAATTACATGTCATTTGTGATTTCTTAAAATACTTTACTTACTGTATCGATTTTCATAAAAATCGATTTTTATTAAATCAAATTTGTTTCTCGTAATATTTTACACTAATAATATTAACATAGAATAAATAACATATAAAAAAATTAAAATTCAGAATTTATACTTAAATTGAAATTAATAATTATTAAAAATTTCATTTACAAATAAAAATTCTATCAAACTTTTTTAAATTCAACGTATCTATAATTTTCCACAATTCGGCCTAATAATATTATTCCATATTCTAAACCAAAATATTTTGAATTTTTAATTAATTACTCATTTATTTAACATTTTTTTTTCAACATTATTAAAAATGTCCAAAATCATATATAAAAAAGACATTGATTTTTATATTATTCACAAATAAATTTAGTTGTTCATATAACCATATCAACCATAATCTTGCATTTTTAATTTTGAATGCAAGAAATACCAAAAAAAAAAACAATAATTTAAAGTAATTACATAAGTCTTTATTTTTTTTTGGTTGAAGATTCAAATTTATGCATGTTTTCGAAAATTTCTCTTGAAGGTGGTCGCTATATTATAACAATTATTAAAATAATCAAAACAGTGGTTTTCAAAATGTATGGTATGACCCATAAGGAAGGTGATTCAAATGTAATCACAAGAAAATTTATTTTTTTTAAAATTATATCTATTCAATTGGAAATAATTAACATATATAAATAAATGTGAAAATAGTGAAAAAACATAAAATTTTCGAAAGAAATTTCGGACTAATTTCTTGTACCAAAAATATTCAAAGTTGTTTGAGTAAAAAATTCTAATGAAAATTGTTTCACCGACTCCTCGATAAAATATATTTTCATTTTATGCTTTTTATTTTTATTGTATATTAATCATTGTGCTTATTTTAATTCGAGGTTAAGAAAATTTTCTTTTAATATTATATATTAAACGTCGCAATATGAATAAAGTTTATAATTCAATTGAATAATGCATAGCAGTGCTATATTGCAGTCTCAATTAATTAGAATTCATTTTAAAAATTCTTGAGATGACAGAATACATTTAGAAACCATAAAATTACAAGTATAAAATTTTTCTAAACCGTTTCTTCTTTCCACGAAACTTGATTTTAACTCTAATAGAATGGAGCCGCTTTTCATTAAATTTATTAATATTGTGTATTTTTAATTACAAATAGAAAAAAAAATGTATATTTTTGATTTTTAAAACTTTAAAAATTGAAATCAAATTAAGATTATGCAACAAAATTTATAATGACCTTATAGAAAAGAAAAAACTTTCAAGAAATTATCAACAAATATTTCTCAAGAATGTAGTTTATCAGTTCATTACCATTAAAGTTATTTATAAAATCAAATAAATAAAACCTAACATACAATAATGTTGATCATCGAACTTTTTATGCAGGTGTATATTAAATACAACATAATGTATTTTGTATGCACGTATAAAAAGTATAAAAAATTGACCTAATAAAAATATTAAAATATCTACAAAAAATATAAAATCCATGATTTTTTTTTTTTTGTTGGATAATTCGTGATAGTTTAAATATGCTTTGAAATTCAAATTAGTTACAAATGAATAAAAAATATTATTCATAATTTTTATTACAAGTTTAAGAACAAATCAGTTTTATTTATAGTCAAAGGTTACTTATACACTATACATTTAATGGGTACTATACATTTAATGCATCAATTTGTAAGATTGGCATTTTTCGAGAAACAGCAAGATTCACAGATCTTATTTAATCTTCAAATATTTTTTTTTATTTAAATTACTATTTAATTATATAACACAGATAGAGGTACCTACACGTAATTTTATAATAACGTGTATATAATTAAAAAATATAAAAATGCATTCAAGGGTACCAGCTAATAAATGAAAATTATATTCTTACAAATTATTTATGATCATTAGTCATTCCTAGCTTGTCAAAAAAAAAAATACATTTATAATAATTAATTAATTTTTTGCCATTTCATACTTTTTTTACTCTTGTAAATCTTAGCTATTGCAATTAGCATTAAATATTAAAAAGAAAAAATGAATTTCTTAAAAGACACTTATGAATTGAAAGAAAATAGTGTTTATACTATGTTGTATATATTATTATAAACATATAAATTATAAGTAATCAGTTGCGTATGTAATATTGTAACATATTCAATGTTCAATTTCCTTTATTGAAATTAGTAACACAGGTTTAAAATCAAAAAGTTTGAAATGGCCATTGTACTTTAAAGTACAATATTATTTTGGTAGAAACAAAATTTTTTTGGTACCAAATTTATACTCCTTCATTTATGCAACAATAATTCAAATATTTCCGAATTCAGATAAAAAAATTATTGTTTGATTATTAGCGATTTGAAATTTTTTAAAAATCAATTTGAAGTTCATTATTAAATGTCATTGTTACGTTAAAAGTCAATATTTTGACAAATATAAGAACAAATTTTTTTGTTACTGTACTATATAAGCAATCAAGTCTGTTATCTGTTCGGAATTATTAAACTGTTCTGTCATCTGCACATTCAGGTAACGATCAGTTATGCGCAAATATGCAATATAATATTTTAAATTACATAATCAAAATTTTTAAAGAAAGGAAACCAAACGACATAATACATACATATCAAATAAATTTTGAAAATTACATTTTGCACAACAAAGAAAATAATATAAATGTACTTTTTTAAAATAATTTTGAATTTTGGAATGATTTTATATGTAAATTTTGAATTATTGACAATATAATTTGCTCTTTTTTTTAATTTTTGATATTCATTTCTTTTTAAAATTTTTTGTTATTTAATACAATTAAATAATTGGAAAGTACAAGTGATAAAGTCATTATAATTAATTAAAGTTAAAAAAAACCGTTAACCCTAATTGGCCATAATCGAAGTATCGCAGCCGCAATAATAACTGTCAATTAATGTGAGTGTTGGTTTGATTCGGTTTGGAATGCAATGGACATATGAATACATAAAAAACATTCATTTGTTGTTTGTAGAATGTTAGAAATTCAATTGGAAAATTCGATTAAGTTTTGGTAAACGGGATACTTTAAAGTGATTTTTTTAAAAATTTCAATTTAATTTGAAATAATTTTAACGTAATTTTTAAGATTTAAAATTAGATATACATATATCGAAAATGTTTATCTTCAAAATTTCAATTTTACTTGAATATACAAACAAACAAAATTTCGCTCTTTTTGTACGTACTTTCGCCGTAACATTTTTAAAAAATACCTGTACAGTAATAATATTAATAAAATTGCCAAAATTTATGTATTATTTACATTACATTTTTCGTATTTAAAATTTTAATCTACCAAAATTTCAAAATGGTGTCACTATTTCCGAATGTATTTTTTTTTTACAAAGGTAAAAATACATCTATGTATATAAAATTATTGTCTAATTACACTTTTATACTACTACTTAACTATTAATAAGTATATATGTAAGTTGTAATTTTGCACGAAATTTAGTTTTTTTATGCTATTGTTAATCTACATTTATGATAAGTTAGTAATATTTAGGCATGTTAGTCGTTATATAGGCATAAAATAAAAATTACAATATTTTTGACAACTAAAAACTATTACGAACTTGTTAAATATTATATAATATTTATTCAAACATTTGTTCTAAAATACATATTATACGTATCCAAGAGAAATCATTTCTTATAACTTCCAACGGAGCAACTTCCCACAAGAGCATAATGTGAGAAATCAAATATCTCAGAAAATTATATTAAAATTAGAAACAATTATATTAAAAAATGCTCAAGCAAATTTAATACTCTCAAAAATTAAATTACAAATAATATGAAAAATTTTTTAAATGCTTCTAATGCATTTTAATTCGGATTATCATAGATACCTTTTTCAAAAATTCTGTTTTAATTTAAATGATAAACGTAAAATGAAATTAGATTTTTCTAAGCTTAGTTTAGAGATCGATTTACCGGAAATACATAAATAGCCGGAAGAATTCCCAGAACCGGCACATCTCCCAAAATTACATATTATGCTTTAAATTACTTTATATTAAAATAAAACTTAAATCAAATGAAAAATACAACATAGTGTGAGAACAGATATGAAAAAGTGTACACATGTATTTAAAAACAAAATGGTTTATATGTAGCGCAATGAATCAATGCACTAATATTGCTGCGAAAAAATTCAACCAAAAAAAAAATTTTTTTTATAATAATTGATTAAACAAACTTTAAAAAGAAAATAAAAATGGAATTAATGGAATTTTTCGCTCAAAATTTTTAAATTAATTTTCTCGCAATTTATAATAAGACGAAATCAACGTGTAAGTATGTAATATAAATTTGTACACATTTACATTTAAAAATTTATTTAATTTATAAAATAGAAAATCACAATAATTATTTTAATTAATGCCATTGAAAATATTTTTAATGTAATTCATTTAAGAAAAAAAACTACATGTATACGCTTAGCACAAAATTCACATCATTAAAATTAATTTAAAATTTTTCTTATCTTAATATTACGATACTATAAAAATTAAACTCACCTGAACGTTTAGATAATTTAATTGATAATTAATATTTAAAACAGTTAAACACCCTATATAAAAAAATTGCCACTATAGGTAATAAAAAATGGCACAAAATGTAATTTTTTTATTTTAAATCTTAAACAAAAAACACAAAAACAACCCACGTCTTCCTTTAAATGAATTTATAGCTTGAATAAATTGATTCTGTTACATGGAACGTCTTTTATATTTTCATACAATACCGCACTAATCAAAAGGGATATGGTGGGGAAAAAATATTCTCTCCATATCTTGCCATTGAGTAAAAAGAGAACTGGAAAGGTATAAAATAAAAATTTTAAGATATAAGACGCTTAAAGGTTTTAATATGTACGTTTATCCATAAATATATGCGCATTGCATATACTCGTATGATATGATTTGTTGTTTTAATAAAGAATCTGTGGATGGATATATTGGGCATATATGCAATAAAAAAAAAATTAATTTCAAATTAAAGTAAAAAGAGAATTTCGTTTCTTAAGATTCTCTTTAATTTTCATCGCAATAGGAGCAGCTAGCAGTATACAAAATATTACTTTGAATAAATTTTCCTATCAAATGGGATAAAGTTCGTTTATATTAAAAAATCAAAAAATTCTTATGGCTTTTTATTATGGTTACATTTATTATAGGACCATGTTTATTGTGGAAAAGAAAATTTGAGAAAAAGCAAAAATAAATGTACCTACATATCTATACAATGGGTGTATAAGTATGCGCTTACACCTTTATATAAAAAAGCTTGGAAAAATTAAAAAAAAAAATAAACGAAATTCTAGAAAAGAAGTTTTATTTTATCACCTATTTTTTATTTCAAATGATTTAAAGAATGATTCAAACTGTTGTTCACAAATTAGAGAAAGCTTCAAAAAGGTTGAATTGAAAAATTGGTAAAAATACTGCATAAATCGGCTAGAACATATAAGATGTGGGATTATGTATTATCTGTAATATAATATCATTTTAATTTTCAAAATGCGGCTGGTATTATCTGTAAGACATTTTTAAAATGCAGCATTAAAAATTCTTTTTTTTTTCTCAAATTTTAATTTAAAAATTTTTGTCTAATTTCATGAACTGGTTATCATTCCGAAGGCAAAGAGATTGAATGTGTTAATTTTTAGAAAATTTAGATATTAATTAATTAAATAATATCCATGAGGTTTCATTTTCAGACATATACTTACATAAATGTATGTATGTACATTCAAAACTATGTATAAACCTAGACAAAGGTTTTAGTAAGTGTGTATATTTTTTTTTATAAATCAATATTTCCACCTTCTACAACATCACTATCCCCGACATAAACTTGCAGCAGTATAAGTACAGTATTTAAACTCAATTAAATGGCTTTTCTTCCATTATTGCTGCATTATATATTATGTGATAGCATTACAACAACTTACAAGTTACGATTTTGGACTTTTTTACAAATGAAATTTTAAAACCCAATTTTAAATTTTCTGGTATACATAAATATGTGAATATATCTATCCAAAGTTAAATTTTCACATTCAAAATTATATGTGAATACACCCAAAATTAAATTTTCTTATTTAAAATTAAAACTAATTACAGAAAAATACCTTTTTTATACTAAGGATATTTTTACTTTTGTTCAAAAATGCAGTAATAAGTTACATAGATATTAGTAGGATGTCTGTGAGTTTGTAAGTTGTAATTGCTGAATTGGATAGCAAAACTGCAATTTTTGAAAACAGCATGTTAACAATTTACTTCACGAAATTAAAATATTTTATTCTTGTAAATCAGGGACTACTTTTTATTTAACGCGTCAAATGGATGAAAAAGTCAGAAAGATATTTACATACTTACTTATAATACACTGTATAAAACAGCCTTTTTATCATACTACATTTCATTAGAAAGCAATCGAAAGCTTTCATCCGGAGTATTATATATTATTTACTATAGGATATTATATTTTACTAAACAGAATCTTTTGAAACAATAACACATACTTATAGTCTCAATCTTTTTATTGTTTTTACCTTACTAGCCATCCCCTGGAAGCTGATGGAATAATGTAAAAAGATCGTATTGGTTGCAGCAATCGACGCCAATGTGTCAGTACAACAATGTACGAAAAGTCGAAAGAATCTTGTATTTTGTTTGTAAATTTATTTTTTTAGCTATTTTGCTAGTTTAATAATTTACGTTAGTAAAATTCTGTTAAATTAAGACGTCCAAAAGCTGATTTTAAACATTTTTTAGGAAAAAATTATAAAAAAAAAATAGAAAAGTTTCAGGCAGGCAAAGTTTAAAAAACAAAGCTTCCAAACAAATCGAAAGATAAAAACAACACGAATCGTGAAAACTGAAGTAGAACAATTCTATTTAAGCTCTATTCTTCTTGTATTCTTTTCAACGCTTATTTACTAAATCTGCTGATATATTTCAGCAAAAGCATATTTGAGCGTATAATTACAAAATTTCTATTAGTTTTTGTTTTTCCTCTATATTTTTTTATTTTCTTATAACGACAACATAATGATTCGATATTTGTATTTTTTATCATTTTTGTTTTCTTTGATCACATTTATTCTTTTAAAAGAATTTTCTTATTTTTAATACACATTTAATTTTTATACAAAGTTTCTTATCCTATAAAAAATTACGAATAAAATATTAGTAGTTGCAATTAAACTATATTAAGCCTAAACGTCTGTTACAAGTATTATTTTTTGTTAACATGCATTTCTTGAAAGTAATTTAAATTTACCTCGAATTGCAATCAGCTTTTGACAATTTAGAAATAATATAAAATATTCATGAAATATTGCAAAACATGAGTTATAAATTTAAATGTGGTAAATTATATTTTATAATTTTATATTTATTTCATGTAATCAATAGTCATCTTACAATCATCCATTATTATTTTACATAGCTTTCAGCAAGAATTACATCAAAAATCATAACAATGATAACTTGGAGTTATATATTATTTTTTTACATTTTTAGCTTAAAATTAAACGTATTATTTTTTGGTAGGTACATTTTATTCTTGTTTAATTACCGTATTTTTCGCGGATTCAAAATAAAATTGAAAATGAGATAGAAATAACACAATGCGTTATTTCAGTCCTGTTTAAAAATTACTCAACTTTATGGCAAACTTATAAGAATTTGAAGTTCTATCTACTTGAAATACACTAAATTTTTAAAAATAAAACTATGTCAATTTGTTCTTACAATTTCTATAACATACTCTGTCACAAAAAATCAAAATATGAGGCTTTATTTCTCATATTTAATTTTATATATGTAAAATGTTAATAATTAAAAAAATGTTAAACGAAATTAAAAAATATGTTTTTTGTTCTTTAAAAAAAATCAAATTTGTGTAGTTTTAATTTAATTTAAATTGCAGAATAGTGGTTGTGCTCTAGTTTTTATTCCAAGTTAATATTATTAATTCTATTTCTACTTATTTTCAAAATAAATTGAGTTTTACAAAATTCTTATTATTAAGAGTAATATAAAAATCTATCACAATGAAAGTGTTTCTTTAATAATCTTTTTCATTGTATTACCAACCGATGGGACAGTTGTACCTGATATTATGTAATCGAATTTAAACAAATAAGGTTGAACATCTGGAAAAGATGTATCAAATATTAAATCAAGTTCATTTTGACTCGGCATTTTTGGAACATATTCATGTCTATTCATTATTTCTGTAATATATATAATTTTTTCTGTTAATAAATCGCTAACAGTTTCCCGACATTTTTGTTTATCATCTTCATTTTCATATTTTATTAAATCTAGCCGCACAGTCCATACTTCCCAAGAAATATTTTCCGCTTGAAACGGCCAGCGACTTTTTTTCTTTTGAAAAAATTCTAAGCTAATCTGGCCAGAGCCTGAGCTGTCATTGCTTCGAAGTTTTTCACTGAACACATTTATGGCTTTTTTAACTGTACGATTTAAGGTTTCAGATGAACAGCATACATACGTGAAATCTATAAAATCACAATCAATATCTGTATAGCCGACTGTTCCAATTGAATATGTAATATCACCAGTATACATAAATTTCCCAAGACATCTATGAAAAAGAACGGTATGGAATATGCTAGCTACTGCTTCATCCAGTTGCCTTCCTGATCTATCGACAGTAAGATCGAAAATTTGAGATCGGGCATTCATTTTTTTGGTAAGTTTGCATATGTTTAACTAATATTAAATTAATTTACAATCAAAAATTCGATGCTGATTTCGATCCATGTAGAGCAAAATTGAAGACAGATACTTTGCGCTACCTTTTTCACTATAGATTATAATTTTCCTTCCACCATTACATATGAAATCTAAAATAAAATTAAACTAAATATCCAACAATATTGCTGCACAAATTAAAAAATTCAATCTAAATTAATGTTTTTTCTTTTCGCTACCTTTTTATACATATAGGTTTTTTGTCAGAAGCTAGAAGTATATAGGTAGGTACGAGCTTATATTTTGTTACTTACATGAATTGAGTTCATACCTAAATTTTCATCAATTTTTAAATTAAAACATTGATTAAAAGGCACTTGAAATTTTTAATGAACTCTGAAATGAATATGTAGACTGAACATGGTTCTTTATCCGTATCGTAATATTCTTCTTCCAATGTACACCCTTGTGTAGATTGGAAGAATATTTACAAAGTTGTAAATATTTAACAAATCAAATAATTAAATCAAAAATTGGTATGATGTATATACATACGTATATTATACAGATTTACGTGTTGAAATTGTTGAACTAATAACTTTAGTCCTAAAAAAATAAAGGCGCTCGATATTGAAAACAAAATAAATGGGAAAGCTTCCGAAAGAATTGCAATTTATGGTATTTGGAATTCTGTTTTTCCTTTGAAAAGACGAACTAAACGTATATTTTTCTTGAACTTAATAAAGTTTAGAAACTTTTTTGGTTTGAAAAATTTAGAATTTTTCCAACTTTCCATTTTTCTTAGTTTATCGAGTTTACTTGTTTTACTTGTCATTACTAATAATTGCGCACTTGAGCTAATAAAATCTTTTGTTCTCAATGGAATTTTTTTATGTTATTTACCTAATTTTTAAATCTGCACATAATTTAAAGAAATATATTTTTATCATTAAAATCCAATTTACAATTAAATTATTATTTCAAAATATTTTACTAAACTCTAAAGATAACTCAACCTCGGTTTTTTTTTATGACAAAGCAATCCCAAAATAAAAAAAATATTGCTATAAAGACATAGTTCACAGTGTTGCTGTTTATTTTATATTATAGTAGAAGTCGTTTTAGTTAGTGCACTAAAGGTGGATTTCCACTTAACTCAAAAAAGTAAAAGAACGAACTGTAAACCTATATCAGTTTTACATATTACGTATTATATATTATATAAAAGTATGATTGATAAAAGAAACGGCTAAGAAAAGTACAGGCTAGGACAATAAGGATAGCGTAAGTTCGAAAATGACAAATTTGTACGTTTTTACTTTGTCAAGTCGAAAGTCAGAAAATGATATGAATGTTTTTTATGTATACCATATTCATTTTGACAATAACATTTACGTGTTCATATAAACTACTTTATGTAATTCTTTTTGTATTGAAAGTTTATACAGATTTCTTTTAACAGATAACATTTGTGAATTTATTTTTATTTGAATATTTTTTTCATAGGGCAATAATATAAATATGTAAATATGTGATTCTTATAGTTAATAATTTCTTATATTTGAAGTGAGAAATTAGTGTAAAAACTCTGTGAAATCTGAAAATACTTTTTGAGCGTATAGTACGATCTGAGTATTCTTTGATCATAAGAAAGAAAACGAACTTGAATGCTTTAAAATGAAAATAACTCACACAGATCTTCTGTTTGACAAACCTGACAGCTAGATATGCTTAAATGAAATATGTACAAGTATCGATTTTGTTTGGCTAAATTAAAAATACGCATTTTTATGTTTATATTGCAGTAAAACAAATATTGAAATACAGGTATTATTACTTAAGCCAAGTAAGGTTAAAAGAATAAATAAGGAGTTTAAAATTTATATTATTGTGACGTTTTTTATTCTTACTTTGATTTTCCAAACTCAACAAAAATTATGTTTACCGGTTACTGACAGTAGAAATAACCGGTTGGTTTTGTCCATCCCTACCTCCAGTGTTTTTTCGCAGTAAGTTTGGGATATTGTACATAAAAACTTTTAAATTTAAAGAAATAAAGCCTTAAAAAAATATTTTTCTTAAACAAAACCTAGGTTTTTGTTTAAAAATAAAATTGAAAAAATCAATATATTGAACAACAATTTGTTAATCGACAACTATATTGCCCAAAATGGATATGAGCCTCGATGAAATTATCAAACAAAAAAAAATAAATTCAACTAACACTAACAGCGGGTTTAAGAGGTAAACATTTTCTATGAAATTACATACATATAAATTTTTTCGATTTTAATTTTTATTTTAGCTTTTTGACCAGAAAAAAAACTTTAGTAAGAAAGACAAGGGTTATTGATGCTCGTAACAAAATTATTCAGAAAAAGCGTGCTAAAATTAGAGATGCTCGTGAAAGATTGGGAACAAAAGATGCTAGGTTAAGAATCAAGCAGCGTTCAATAGATAATTCGAAAGTTGGAATAAAAGTAAACAATATGCTAAGAAGAAATGATAATCCAAGAAGTATCCGAAAAAATATACCTGTTGGGAATTTATATGGAGCTCCAAGAGGATATATTGATTACGATAATATGGAAATGCTAGAAGAAGGTAAAAAGATTGTTTATAGTTTTTTTTTTAATTTTTTAAAGGAAAATTTGTAGAGTATGATCCTTCAAACATAAGTCTTCGCAGAACTGTTTATAATGACATTGTGTCAAATTTTAACATGTATGGTGAGAAACCTTTAATGAAACCATGGGGCAATGATTTGTTTGAAGCATATGATATTCCATCTCGCTCTATGGAGGGTCCTGAAAATATGAGTATTCGTCGTAAAATAAGAAATATGTCACCAGAAATTATACCTCATAAAAGTATATTAAGGGGTAATAGCCCAACTTATCATACAAGATTTAACCCCGAAAAATCTCATCTATCATATGAAATGAGATCAAGACTGGAACGAGCTCCGGATCCACACGTATCAATGGGCATTTTTGCTAATCCATCTAAGTCTCAAGTGTCAATATTGCCATCAAGTTATAGGATTGTAGTTAGCAATTTACATTCTAGTGTAAGTCAAAGCGATATTCAAGAGCTTTTTGAAGATATTGGCGAACTGCACGAAGCACGGTTAGTTAAACCTGGGGTAGCTGAAGTCATTTTCAAAAATTTAAAAGATGCTGAAAAAGCAGTTGACACCTATCACAATAGACAATTGGATGGTCAGCCAATGAAGTGTTTGTTAGTTAATCCACGAGCATCTAATAAACCAACAGCACCTGCATTAAAAGTTTCGGCGTAAGTTTGTAAATCTTCACATTGAAAATTTTTTTAAAAATTTAAAGAAAAATTCAAATTTTTCAGTTCATCTCAATTGTCGGGCAAAACACCTTTAGAGATTGATATTGACGCTTTACATAAAGTATTGTTTCGCAGAAAGTAACTGAATTTAAAACCACGAATCAGATTACAAAACTTTAATTATAAATAAAGCAAAGTTTGTTGTGTGTCTGGAGTTGGTTAATAAAAATCTGGCAATTTAACATATAAAAAAAATTTTCTTATTAAATTATACAAGGTAGATAATAGTAAGCAGGTATATTGAATTGTTTAGAGTTTAGTGTTTCCACGTACGTTAGCAAATGTAATGAGTGTGATTACAAACCGCCGGTTACATCGCTTCATATTAAGTTTTGTTTTTCATAATTTAAGAGTGATTGAAAAAGGGCACAACATAAATAAAAATTAAAATGAAACGCTTTAATAATTTTCAATTTTTACTATTACATAACAAAGACTAGATTAATTGATTTGCTAGTTATCAAAAAGTTCTGTATGACAAAATTTTTTTTCATCGATACTTGTAGACTTCATTGTCAATGTTTCTGAAGAATTCTTTGGTGGTGAGGATACGGGTGTCTTTGCTGATGTCATCTTGAATAGAAATGTATCCAACTGTTTCAATGATAGAGCATTGTGCAGCGTTTCCAAAGGTCTAATAGATACTCCACCGAAACCTTCTAGAACTAAAAATTAAAAATTTTTCTAAAGTTATAGTTTGAAATTTTTGCAATACTGTTTTTAGGATCAAGTAGGATTAAATTTTTAGCAAAAATTTTTAAACAAATTGCTTCAAACTGTTTGATTATTTGAAATGTTGCTGCTTTTACAGTATTTGATATTATAAACATTAAGAAAAAATATTATTTAACTGGTTGCAAATAAAATTATGGCAGTTCAAATTAAAAAATGAGAACTTAAACGAACTAAATGTCTGATATTAAAGTTGAAATTTTAATAATACATAATATTAGGAAGTGGATATTGTTTCTGAAAAATTTTAACCAATTGCTATGAGAAAATTATATTTGTTTTTAAAATATGTTTTTTTATTATGTTGAAAAACAAGTTATAACTTTTTAAATAGAAATAATGTATTCAACAATCAAATTTATTTAAGTTTAAAAATATTTTATAAAAATAATTTTTATCTTTTTTGACATGTTGTTGATTTAATGTATTCTGTACAACTTTTACTGCAGCAGTGTAATCATTATTAAAGATTGCAAAATTAATTATATTAGATAATTTAAATTGGCAATCTTGAATTGATTAGAGTGATGTTTCCATGGCTGTAAAGGTACTTAGAATAGCAGCAGTTTTGAAATCAGTTTGATAATTAACTTCTTAGTAATTATTAATATTAACTTTCTAATGTAATGTTTGACGATTTTTTTAGTCATAGACTTACCATATAATATAAGTAACAAAAATTAGTGCACAGTGTGTATTCATAATATGTTATTTAGTTTTTTTAACAGCCATAAATCTCTAACATTATTAAATGTAAAAATAATCTCGAACTTACCTCAAGTTAATTTGTAATTTTTCTATTTATATAATATTTTTGCATTATGTAACAATTTTTATTTTTAATAAGCAACGGCAAAGCAATTTTTCACTTATTATATTTTATTTCTGCTTAAATATAATACATGTTATGTATTTATTTAAATAATTTGTATTTCATACAAACGTGTAATATTGAAGAAAAATTACACGATAGATTTGCCTACATTTTGTAATTCTTTACTTTGTTTTTTGGAAGAAAGGTTAATTTTTTTGAATTACTAATAAATAGCAATATGCTATCAAAGTAACTTTTTTAAAAAAAATGTTTACTACACAAAAACGAAAAGCGATTTGCTAAATAACAAAAATTACCTGTATTTGATGCTGAATTTGGTGCCATTTCCCTTAAATTCGGGGCAGATGAGCTTCCTGATATGACCGCTGTACTAAATAAACTGCTAGTGCTAGTTGCCACTTTTTTACTGAATCCACTGAAGCCTAACATTTTTATATAACTCATCTGACCGGCAATACTGTGTCTCTGACGTCGTGAGCTTGCGGACGCCGTATTGGATATTGAAGTTGGGTTTTCTGAATTGTGGTTTGTTAATTCATTTTTAGGATTAGGACAAAGTATGTTAGGGTGATTAATATTCAAAATGGTGGTTGGGAAAGAGTTAAAATGATTGTTATTAAAAGCTAATTTTTTATTTTCAATTTCAATGTTATTTTCAATTTGTTTATTATTTGTAAATGTTTTATTATTATTGCATTCAAGATTAAAGTCATCATATTGAGTATTAATATAAGTAAGATTTTTATTCGAATCATCCTCAACTTTTGAAGGATCAATTATTTTGAACTTTTGTAATGTTTTGTTGTTATGATTATAATTAGAAAGAATTATTTTTGCTTTATTACTTTTCTTTTTTTCTTCTGAAAGCTGAATAAAAGGATCGTTTTCAGGATTAACATTTAAATCTGCATCAATATCTTTTGTTGTATTAGCTGCTATGGATCCAAAATTTATATTATCAAAAGAAAAGTACAAATTGTCGAAATTATTAATATTATTGCTATTATTGTCAGAAGTGTTTAGCAAAATTATATTTTCATCACATAAATTAAAGTTTGAATCGGAAGATGAATATAGACAAGATAATGGTATTTCATTCGTTGCTAGAGTAGAAATTTGATTATTAGTTTGAACTGAAAAATTTAATATTTCATCAGAATGAAAATGTTTCCAATATTTTAAATTTATTGGTTCTGGTGTTAGCGAATCAAGTGCAAACTTTATATCAGACAAAGGTAATTCATTGGTGGATGAAAATGTAATAAATGATTTATTTAAATTATTTTTAGGGGATATTTTCAGTAATGGTATTTCCCTTCCTTTTGATTTTGTTAATTTTTTTTTTTTTTGTAAGTGTAACATAAAATTAAAAAAAATATATATATATATATATCGAGGAAAGCATGCGCATTTACATACAAATAAAATTAGTTTTCGGAAGTAAAAAGTGGATGTGATATAGAAATAAAAGGAAAATAAATATTACCAATAAGTTTGCAAAAATATTTATAAAAGTATAAAGTAAAGAAAAATTCATAACTTTTTTACAAAGCCAAGCTATATTTAAGGGATCCTTGAGTTTTTTTTTGTACAAAAGAAAAATCATGCAACATATTGAAAAACAATTGAAATTTTCTGATACATTTAAAAGTTTAATGCCACTTATAAAACAAAAAAAATTTTTAATTATTATTTTGTAAAATAATGTTATCCAGAGAAAAAATATTTTCTCCTGTTTGTTAAATCAATAACAAACTTAATGGCTTCAAGCAAAAAAAATTTTTTTTGTTAACTCAGTAATTTTTGAGAAGATTACTTTAAACATTTTAATATTAAAATATTGATCCAATGAACTGCATGAAATATTTATATAAAAAAAATTTCTAAATGAACAGTAGATATTTTATTAGTATTGAAATTTAAAAAAACAAAAATTTTTTAAGAATTTATTTCATTTCATAAGGCATAATTATTTTAACGAAATCATTCTTGCGATGGAAATTTTTCTACTCATCGGTATTTTATCTATGTGCAAACAAGCACATGGTATTTATTCATATAAAAGTTTTGTCTTCGGATAAAAATCTATTTAAGTTTCTTCATATAGATTTATAAAAAAATAATATTAAATTTTCAAAATTGTGTATTAGTTTCCGTGCATAAGATTAAATGAGCAAATTCATGCAGAAATTTTGCAAAATTACATTATCATAACAAATCGTTATAAAATTTGCTTTTTTTTATATTTATATATATGTAATATGAAAATTATTTAATTTATTTTAAAAGTGACATTTATTCATAATTTTAATGGTAACAAAGCTTTCCAAAATTAAGAAATATCACTTTAATTTTTTCATTTTATTAAATATTCGCAATTTATTTTTTTCAATTAAAATAAGTTTTGTGATTATTTAATGAAATGATTAATGTACGCTCAGAGACACGACATTATCCGTCCAGATGCATGTTATATTGAAATAATATATTACATTTAAATTTGTAAATATATTACATAATGGTATATAATATACATATACATATATATATGTATATTATATATATATATATCTAAATACACATGTATATATGTGTATACTTATGTTTTTCAAAACTGGATTTATGTATGATCCAAGTCTCCAATACCCTGATTTAAAAATTGTTATAATTAGTTATATCTTGCTTCATAATTCAGTAATTACCATTCAAATGCTGAATTATATATTGTAATGAAAAATTACTGCAATTTTGAAGTCAGGGATACCTTATGAAACTAAATGTGCGAAATCAACCTATTTGGCTCATAAATCCATCATTTGCATTAAATTATTTTCAAAATATTGTAAACTAAATTCCTATTATGATTAACAATAAATACTATCGATTTTTCTTGTATATTTCGTGTTATCTATTGCATAGTATAAGAATCAGGTTAATTTAACTAAAACTGTGGATATCGCTTATTGATTTAATAATTATAGAATTGTTAATTAATACGAAAGTAGAGTTAACCTACAATTAAAGTTTGAGTAGCTAAAATTTTTTTAGTAAACCAATTTTTTTTTATTTTATTTTTCTCTAGCTATACATAATAATTTTATTTGTCTAAAATTAAACAGAAAAATTGTTAGACTTGATTCTAACGCTGATTATAATTTTTAATATTGTTATTAAGTACATATTGTTAACCATAATAGGGACGTAAATTTTTTGCCTTTGCGTTAAAATTTTTTGAGAACTGAGCACAAATAGGGCAATTCATTTTTAGTATGCATTATTTTATGAAAATTTTAGCAAATTATGAGTATTTTCGATTCAATTTGAAATTTCCCTATGCTTTTTTCTGAATTTATGTGTTCTTGTTGGAAAACAATGTTTACATATTATAAGCAAAACAAAAAAAAATACTTGATAAGTATAAGTGTAAGAGGAAAATCAAAAATATAAGTTTTTTTTTTGAAAATAATTGTGTATTTTAAATAATTGGATAGTTTTTAAAAGGCGAATGAAAAATGCTAATTAGAGTTTAAAATAGTTTTAAAGAATCGCAAAAGAAAACTAAAACATTTAACAAAAAAAAATTTACTAATTTGTACAAAATTTTTATTCGATTTATATTTATGTACTGATGAAACGATTTTTCCGCAAGATAAGATTATTCAATAGTTTCGGTTCTGATTCTTGTATTATTACAGGAATTAAAATATGTAGGAAAATAATATGTATAAAGTGTACTAGTTTAAGAAATGCCGATTCAAATATTCTAAATTACATTGTTATAGATATACATTAATATATCCGAGTACCAATTTTTATATTATTTGTTAAGAAAGTAATAAAATGAAAGGATTAATTTTCAAGCTTCATTACAAGAGCTTTTAAAGAAGTTATTGAAAAGAAATTTTATTTCAGAGTGTAAAAACTCAAAAGAACGTATTTAACTATCAGTGAAACGACTATTAATAAAATTTATAATATAAATATTACAAATAGATAAACTAATGAAATTATAAAAGTCTTCAGAGAAGATAAAAAAAATAATTTTAATATTTATAATTTAATGCAGTACTACATATATCCATAATATAGTTCGATAAAATTATTTATACATATTCTGTTTAAGAACTGAATAAGAATGCCTAATAAAAAATAAGTTTATTTGTTTTCCTAGAACAATAATTGATTTTCAGGAATAAAAATTTTTAAACTAACTCAGGCTCTATACGAGTATTACGATATACTCTAATGATTGTATTTTTTCCGTGTATTTCCAATGTGATTTTTCTATTTCCAGAGAAAAAACATAAGAGAAATTAAAACAGCTTTTAATGTAGAGTCCGATTCGCTTTTTAATAAACTTGATAATTTTTCTCATTTGCCTAATCATATTATCGTACATTCGTTTCTCTAAAATTGATACACACACGTAACAGAAAAATATCGAAAGTTCTTGCTTTCAGAAAAGAAACAAAAAGTTTTTAAATGTTTTGTTTTATCTATGATTTTCATTGTATCAATTGTATTTGATAGTGCATATTGTGTGCACGAAATTATGTTCCGTATAGCTGTTAACAAAAACTATAAATTATTTCAACGTAAACTTTTTTTGAATACGTGCTAATTTCCATAAATTATTATTTTCATTTTAATTCTAAATTTATTTTTCGAAATTGAGACATGGATCAAAAAGTACACACATTTCATTTATGGATTAAAATCCCGAAAAATTAGCGTATTTGCGTAGACATTGTTCCAGATGCAGTAAACTAAACTTTTAATTAATTAGTATCATAGAAAAGAAAACTTTATATTAGTAAAAAAAAATAAAACGGAAAACATTGTTTATAAAAAAATTAAAACCTTTTTTAAATTGCAAATTAAAAAACAAACATTTTGTTCAATTATTCTTTCGTTATTCAAGTCGAAAAAGTTATTCAAGTCGAAATACTAAGTTTGCATGAGAAATTTCAAAATAGTTAGAATTATACCTTTAATTTTTTGGTGTCTGTTGTCGAATGAACGAGACCTTGGCTCACTTTCTGGGCTTAAATTTCTATTGGATTCCAGTGACCCTGATTGTTTAGATTGAGCTAATTCCTCACTTAATCTTTTTGCTAAGTCCCTGGCTTCATGGCCGCACACTGTATGATGTGTTCCAATAGGAATAGGTTTGGAAGTTGACATGTATTCTAAAATAGCTGGTGAAATTTCCCTTTCCCGATTTTTTTCTTCCAAAAACAAAGGCTCCTAAAAGTTTAAAAGATATATCTGAAGCAAACTTAAAAAATTAAATAATTGAAAAAAATATATTCTATGTGGGCGAGAATAAGGAATATCAATATTTTACTAATAAAAATTTTAAATTTACAAGTTTTATAGATTAAAATTCAGTGTTCTTGGGTGAAGCAGATTCAGTTAAGATTAGAATAATATATAATTAGTACAAACACTAACTCGTTTTCAGTAATTAAAAATATTTGAAATTTTGATAATTGACATTTTAAAACGATTTCAAAATGTAAAATTAAATAGTTAAATAAGATTAAAATATTTCGATTTAGTGTGAAATGTAAATTCATAATTGGCGCTGTTGGATTTTGAAGTCGTACTCTAACCCAATTTAAAAAGTTATTTATCAATGAAAAATTATGTTTTTTGAATATTTCGTTGCGCCAGCTTTTTTGACTCTTTGTATCAAAAGGGTCAAAAAATTTAGACAATATGCAAAATTATAAACAAAATATTCATATGTACATACCTCAGAATTTTGTATTGAATTTTCATCTAAAGAAATATCACTTTCTTCGTCGATTCTGGTTGGATTCTTACCTTCCGAAACCTAAATAAAGGGTTTTATTTATAAGAATCATTTTTTAAATGTAGTTGTTTACCATTCCCTTCGGTTGGGCATCATTTCGACTGTGAGGACGGAAACCGGGCCCGGGTGGTAAATTCTTTTGAACGCAACAATTAACACCCGGACTAAAATGTAATTCTACATGGAATCTTTCCTCCGAAGATGGATCTTTCGTCGGATCTTCATATAACATTATTACAATTTGGGACATATAATTCAATTCGGATACCATTGAAATATAGTCCATTGCTCTTCGCCATTGTTCGTCAATTTCAACATTTAACAGGCCTCCGTGACGTAAAACAGTTAACAGAGAATGTACATGGCTCTCACTTGTGAAATAAAGTCGAGTTCTCACATGTCTTCCAGGACTTGACACTCCGTGACTGTATCGTGGATTTAAGCGATTTACACTTTCATCACCAGATTCTTCAATATTTCGTTGCAAATCAGATTTTATCTTCTTTAATAATGGAGTGCATATGCCTTGACCAATAGTTAATTTTTCATGAATGGTAAGTCCGTATTCTTGGGGTATAACAATGTCAGCCAGATACTTTGCGTACATATACAGTTCTTAAATAATAAAGAAAAGAATAAATTTTATATCAATATATTATACAATTATTAATTTATAAATGATCAAAACTATTATTCACTTAAATTTCATCTAATTAAAAACATTCAGGGGAGAAAAAATTGCTAATTTTTTAAATTACCTTCCGCTTGTTCATATTGTAAAGTGTGTTGATTATGTTGAAGATCATATTTAATACAATCATAAATGTCTGGAATTTTCGATATGTCAAAAGTTTTGCTTTTGGTTGAAAAATCTTTTTCAATTTTTTCCCAACGACGCGCCATCAAATCCCATGTCTCTCCATGATATAATATTGCGTCTTTAGTTTTTGGATCCTCTTTCTTTACCGTTATAACATCCAACAGCGCTTTTATCAGCGTGATAACATGAACACAACATTTGACAGGATTTTTTACAAAGTTTATTGCTTGATTTATACTAATACTGCTTCCTGGATTTATTGCATTTATGTCTTCTTGGGTAAAATCACGATCTACTTGCATAAGCTCATGTAGACGATTTTTAGCCCTTAAAATAGAAGTTACTAAACTCCACATGCAATAAATAATTAAAACATTTAATTACATGTCTTGATATTTACTAGAATCACAGTCATTGTCTAGAAGTCCATTTGTATTTGCGCTTTTGACCATTTGTACTAATATAGGGGTTAGCTCCCCCTCTAAAGCTAATAACCCTTTAGCGAATGCAGCAGCAGTCATTTGAACTCGACCTTCGTCTGAAGCGTAAATTTTCAAATCGTGACGGAAAGTTGAATGTAAGCTGCAAAATTAATAATACATGTAATAAAAATTTTCAAAATAATATGAGAAATTTATTATAATAAATGATAATATAAATTACTATAATATCTAATTGAAATAAATTTTTATTTATCGAAAAAATACCGTAAAAGACCAAGTCCTTGAGCTCCTGAATAATCATTTCTACCTTGACCGCCTGGATACATGCATCTAAATATACGTCCGAGTTCTTCTGCTTGAATTCTACCAGCAGGAGTTAATTCTCCCCCCCATTTAAGAATTAAAACCAGCGAGGGTTCTTTCGGAGCATCTATTTTATTAAAATCTAATTAAAGGAAATAAAAAGCACCATCATCATTTAAAGTTACCGTCATCAGAGCTCGACCCTCTTGGTCTTCCTTTAGGTTGATACTTCATTTGAACTTTTCTGTTGATCCCAGAAAAATGACCGTACCTAAAATTAATTAAATGATTAGTAATGTTAATAACAGTTAAAAAAAATTTATTAAGTTTTCTAGATTTGATATATTAATCAATGTCGAATTTCATTAATAAATCATTCCCTTGAAATTTCAACGTGATTATTTTCTTTTGGTTTTAATTCAACATTTATTTACACAAGAATAAAAAGTAAAACTAATAACTTAACAAATTTTAAATTTTTTTTATATTTACATTTCTAAAACGCTTTTTAGTTGTTCAAGCTTGCCCTGTTTTTCTTCAATTTCTGAATCGACTGATTTACCCGCTTGAATTTCAGCTAATAAGGATCTTGCTATGTCTAAAATTTCTTGCAACTGCTTTGGTCTTTTTAATTTCACGTGTCCATATTTGTAACCGTCGTATTTTTCAAATATTTCAAAAAATCTAGTTTTAACAAAATAATAATAAATTTTGAAATTTGAATGGAGTAACACATAAATATTACTTAGGATGCCTAACTTCAACTTTCATTTTTTGTTTTGGGGTTCGATCGCCGTGACGTATAACAGCTACTACGCATCTATAGGTAAATGAAAAATTAACATAAAAACTTTAAATTTCAAGTTTATCTACGTATAACAGTTAATACCTTAATTCCATCATTTTTCCAAAGGTGGTTGGAACAATTGGAGGGTCATCCAGTTGGAAAGGTACTGACCAAGGTATATGTAGTGTGGGTGTTAATTCTCTGAGAATCATGTTTCCAAGAATTTTTGCACAGTCATCATAATATTTGTTCGAATTCTTTACAAAACTAAATCCATTTACATCGCAAACAAATGATTTTCCGTTCGCCCTAATAATAATAATACTAGTTCTAAATACATGATTGTATAACAAATATAAATATGCAAATGTTTATAATAAATATAAGACTGGTCAACTTAACCATATAATAAATAACTTATGCATTATATACTTACAATACATAATTTATGCATTATATCAAAAAATAACCTTATGTATCATAATATGGGCATTCGCAAAATGTTTATGTGTATATATCTACTATTTATTTAAAATATAAAAATAATATTTAAATACCTTAATAAGTCAAATCCACACACACTTTGTTTAAAAGCTAAACACACTTTGCGAGATATTAACTTTTCGGTGTTGTTTAAAATTACCGGATATCGAATTTCTTTTCCTTCACTGTCCCTTTCTACCTTGCCATCTAGAGCAGGACTTTTCCGCGCCTCGGCTGTTAATAACAGATTAAAAAAAATTTTTTTTGTTCGAAAAATTAAATACTTACCATGAGCATAATCTGGGCCAACAGTGTAAACTTTCACATCAGTACCTATATGTAATAAGGATGGATAAAAATTTTGAAATAATTTTGAGAAAAAGCTCATTGGAATTTTTTTTTCTAAAATTACCGTCTGTAGGCATAAAATCTTCATATATGAAAGAACCTGTTTTCCGTACTCTCGATTCAGGAGAATACACACTTGATCTAGATCCAATCTAAAATAAAGAAAATAATAAAAGAACATAGAAAATTGGAAGATAGTACTTTGCGAAATAAGCGTTGACTTCCACCCCCTGCTGACGTAGGGTAATATATATAAATATTATGGTCTTCCGCCGATACAGGTTTTTCTACAAATGGTTTGTTGAAAATAATACCATTGACTTCAACGTGATCCTCAGATTCAATTAATTCGTGTTCTAAAATAACACAGAAATTAATATTTAAAATTATTTGAAATATAAAATTTACGTTTAGGATCTGGAGAATCTCTGTCTAAGACTGCATACCGAGGAATCTCAATTCCTTCATTTTCTAGTATCGAATAAACTTTTCTTCGATCCTAAAAATAAATTTTAGTATAAAACGTCTGAGTTATGCATTCGTATTAAATAACAGCATTTTCAAGTACCTACCATTATATCGTACTGCATAAGTAAATTATTAATAACATACGGTTTTCGTAATTGTGCATACTGTATAGCTTTGTCCAAAGGAAATCCTTTTGAATGAAAAGATATTAAACAATCACATATTGGCCAATTGTCAACCGGTTCCTAAAAAAAAAAAACAGATTACGTTTAGGATTTTACAGTTAACGAAGTGTTACCATCAATATAACTTCTTCTTGAAAAACCAATATTTTTATGTATTCGAATTCTTGGAGCCTAGTCAAAATTTCTTTCATTGGTTTAGATTGCGTTTTTTTAGCCATGGCACATACTCCAACTATAACTTGTTTTCCAGAATTAGATGAAACACTGCAATCGGAGTCCATTCCATCAGTGTTTTCACAACAAATGTCAATATCACTCTATAAAAAGAAAAAGAAATTAAAAATTTCCAAAAGGACTTGAATTTTAATAATTCGCAAAACCGGTCTGATGCCTACTTAAAACAGCGTTTTAATGTTATGAACTACGATTTGATTTCAGCTTTTTTTTATGAAAAAGCGAATAGAGTTTAGAAAAGAAAACAATATTAATTTGGAAGAGAAAATATTTACATATTGTTTTGTAAATATTTATCACTTTTTAATTAAAATTTTGCACTGTTTGTTTAGATTACAGGTAATACTAGCTTGCCTTACTACTTATATACATGCATATAAACTTAGAGTATAATTATATTATCATGTTAGCTGTGATTTTTAATCAAATTAATTAAGCAAGTCGGTACTGAATTTATAACAAAATTTGGTCAACAAGACGAACATTTAATATTTATGTAGGTACGTATGTGATATGTAATTAATATTGTTTGAGTTTCGCTTGTTTTTATTCGCAATTGCAAAATTTTCAATTAATATAGTTTTTCTTTTACTTTATATGTAAAATATTCATTATGTTAAAATCTATGTAAATTTAAATGAACAGTTTTTGCCTTACATTTCCATCATGTCCTAGGCAAAATCCGACGCTTGGTCTTGCCATTTGTTGATATCCTATTTCTAATTCAGAATAAGACATTCTCACATTCTACCACTAAGTAGTTCAATAATTTATATTTATATTTATTTGGCTTTTTAATAGATTTTCATTATAAATTTTGCTATATTGTCAACATATTTACATTGCGTAACTTCAATTTACAAATCATACGTAGTTTAGTAAATGATAAATAAATGAATGATAAATGACAGTTTTTGATTGATGTTTTGAGAGAATCGAATATATCGTTACGGCACACGATACTATCAAAGTTAACTACATATATTAAAGTTATTGCCACCGTGAGGTAAAGGAGCTGTATTTAAAAATATGTTTGTTTTATGCAGACGTTTAAGAAAATTAAATTTAGGGTTTCAAATAAACGATATGAAACCTTTCAAATTATTAAATGTCTCTAAAATTTAATTTTACAAATATACATTTCGTGTAAAATAGAAAATGCTTTCTTGAGGCTCAAAATAAATTTTCTGAGCGGCTGACTCAAAGTGAGACAAAAATTTTTTTTAAGTAACAATAATTTTTAAAATGTTTACAAAAGCTTTTTCTGATGAACCTGTCAGAACCTGTCTTATACTCTATGACTAGAAAAATTGGAAAAAATTCTTATGGAATTTTTGTGGTTCCTAGTATATACTAGTTTTAGCAAAAAGCTGTCAATAATTTCAATTGTTTCTCATATTGCGTATGAATTTTTCAAATAAAATTAATTAATTTATGAATAGATTGAATGTGAGTTGTAAAATCATTGGTAATAATTAACAAACCATTATATTTAATAAAATCTGCAAAAACATAATAAACCTTCATATAAATGACTTAATAACTTAAAAAAAACACAAAGTTTATTGCTATTATTTTATATCCGAGGGTCGATTTGATTACGTTCTGCAATATTAAAAAAAGTTTACGTAATCTAACATTACAACGACCATATCTTATTTATCCGCAGGTGCTACTTTGCATTTTTAAGGAATTTTACATTTGCGGTAATAATATACAACATAAACACATGAAAATTTGGATCGACCTAGCTATATTAGTTGCAAAAATTTTGAAAGTTACACGATCATAAGAATTTCCTAATATTGAATAATGTCAATTCAAACGTCAATTCTCTTATCGTCAACCGATAACTTCATTTTGTAGGCAACATTTCGTATTACTATTAACATACTAAATTACACATGAATTCAATCAGAAAACGACAAAATATAACTGTCGTCTTAAATGTCCTTAATACCTGTGTTTACACGACAAAGTTTGCGTTAGTGGTTGACATATGCTTCGTTCTCCATGCTAAATAAAATAATAAAATTAACTTTATAGTTTTTATAGTTTTTAATGCCTTTAACTAGTTTTAATGTACTTCACTTGATGAAAGAACATAAGTAAAACTAATAAAGTTAAAATAATAAAATCGATTATTATAATTTTGATTTTTGATACTTTGAATTCTTTGTTCACATTACTGGTTTTGTCACTATGCTAGGATTTAGTAACTAAGGTAGAATAAACAAAACAAGCAATTTTATATTCCTTCTCTTTGAAATTAATAAATGTAAAAATTCAACGTTATCTATATACATTTTTTTTTAAATTAAAATGAATCAATATAAATCTTTATTTAAAATTAATGGAATTCCTATATTACCGCCTTTGGTAATTATTGTATTTTTTTTATATTGTATAAAATATATATGTATGTAGGTACCAAATACCTACCCTTATTTAAATTTTGCATAAAACAAAAATGTTTAAAACAAAGTATTTTTAGATGACCGCCGAAAAATATGAAGAGTGTAGAAAATACAAATTAGAGGCTAGTAACTTAGAAAAAAGGCGAAAAATGGATTCCTTGTCAAATTTTTCTGCAAGTGGTTGTGATGAGCAAGAGTTGTCTGATGAAGAGACTGAAACACTAGGTGGCAGTGTTCAGTCAAGTTTAGGAAAATCAGAAACTCTTATTTATGATGTTATAAGCAATACTGTTATGATACCAAATGAAAAATTTAATATTTCAGAAAATAAAGCTCCTAAGGTTTTAAAAACTGACGCAGTTACTCTTTTGCCACATGTGGAAAATGAAGAAAAATATTGCTGGAATGACATTCCGTCCATTATCGTTAATTCACCAAAGCACGTTGCACAAAAATTATGTTCAGTAAATATAGAAAATGAAAAATTCGAAGAAAACTCGAATACTAAATCAACCGCACAATTTTGTGACAAGATACCACCTTTAATTAGATCGGATTCATTTACATTGGAAGTACCTAGCCTTGCACTTGTAAATCAGCTGCTGAAACAGGACAATTCATTAAAAAAAAATGATGATTTAACGCAGCAACCAAAAATTCAAAGTAAGATAAAAAAGTCAAATGAACGAATTTATTTAATGGATAATCGACGTAAGAAGAGTCCTTATGATTCAAAACTAATAGTAAAATCTAAGAATCTCAAGAAACATCATAAGAATTTATCATTGAAACCAAAAGCAATTATTGACAAAAAGGCCAATTCCCCATACGACGAGACAAACGATCTGAAAGCCCGATATATCAGAAAATTGTTAGATAGTTTTGAAGAGGAGCGGAAAGCTAAGTTGAAAAAACTATTTGAAAAACAAAGAAATGAACAAGAAAAAGTAGAAGAAATATTTGAAAATCAGGAAAAAATGCTTTTGCAATTATTTAAAAATTTTGTCAATATCAAAGATGTAAGCTTATAATGAATTCAATATGTAGAAAAGGATGATATGAAATCTATGAATCAGAATTAAAAAATAAATGTGCCTTTGAAAATCAACTTTTCTAATAAAACAACAGTAAAAACATTCGTGTTCTGCTTTTTTTAAACAAGTTGCATTCAAATAATACATAATATGTATTTGATAATTTTGAAATGGTGTATAGGTATACATTTTTTCATAAAGCAATATTTCGTTATTGATTTAAAACAATATTTGTGCGAAGATGCGGTGGCACAACAATTTTCTTATTTAACTCATTAGCCTTTTCATAAGCAGCAATTGCTTTTTGCAAAGGAAAAATTGGTCGGCCTTTTTCTTTGGCATCCTTTATCAATTGATTGGCATATTGGAAAAAGAATTTGTCTTGTAAATCATAATTAATAGTATTTAGCTTAATATCCATTAATTTTTCGAAGTTTTGTGCTGCTTTTCCTTCTTTCATTAGATCTTTTAAGATTTTTTCAGTTCCTGTGTGTTTTTTAATTTTATTGATCCTATTTTGTATAAGATAATCTTGATAAATTTTTTCGTTTGTTAAACGATTAATCACTTCTTTATTGTAAATTTCTTTTTGCTTCGCATCAATATTATTTTTATACCGCAAATAGTTTTGGTAATCTTTAACTCTTTGATCTTGCAACTCCTTTTTTTTTTGGGCTTGTGCTTTTTGTTTTTGAATATAATTTTCAGTCTCTTCCTGAATTTTTTTTAAACGTCTTATTTCCTCAGCTGGTGCAGGATCTACTATACTTTCAATTATCTTTTTTGCATTATCGTCTATAAAACGCATTCTAAGGTACTTTCTTTGATTTTCTTTGGATTTTGTGGCTAGTTCTATATCGTGTTGTTTCTCTAAAAACGCAGTGTTCAGTTTATCTTCAATTTTATCTTCAATTGCCATTTTATAAGCTTTCTGTTGTTTATTTTTTAAATCATCTATAGCTTCTTTTTTGAATCGATTTTTTTTAAAACATTCGGCTGTTTTTACTACATTTTCATGCTTTTGAACCTCTTGTTTCATTAGCTCCAATATTTTTTTTTCTCCTGTCCAAAAATATAAAATAAATACATATCATCAGAATTTCATAAGTCTTGTTTTATACTATGTATACATAATGTAGATTTATTTAAATACTTAACAAATATCTGCACCCACTATCTTGCTTTGGTTTGATATGTTGAGTATGATATCTACATACCAAATGTATGATATGTTCATACCACGTATATCAAGAATTTAAATTTTTGATTATGTATTTCATATTCATTATTTAAGAAATTAAAAATTCCACCATAACATTACTAATGTAAAATTTTTATATATAAAATTTAATACGTTTAGACAGACGCCATTGTTCGTCATAAGGATGTTGCCTTGTTTTGAACCCTAGCATTGTAGATTTTATTTATTTATGTAGCACTTACTAGTAAAATACTCGTAAGATTTTTAAAAATAAATATCATATAGTGCCCTTTTGAATTATTTTAAAATATAAAATGTTTTCAATATCGTAAAAATATTAAATACCTAGTTTGAATCTACTTAGTTAAAGCCCTGCCAATTAATTAAATGTTAATTTGTGTAGGAATGCAATTAATTTACATCGGCACAAATAGGCAAACAAAAGTTTTGTGAACAAACCTTCAATTTTTTTCTTTATAAAATCTTCATGTTGTCCAGTTTTTTCCTTAATATCTTCAATAACATCCTTTTTGAATTTTTCTTTACGTCTTAGATCTAAATGAACTCTCCTGCGTTCTTCTTCCAAATAAGGTTCAGCTTGAGCTCGGAATAAAATATTTTCTTTAACTTTCTCCTCTTTTTCTCGTTCTTTCATTCGTTTATTAAAGTCTATGAAATCAATTTACTTATTTACACACAATACCTACATTTATATACATTAATACCTAACTGAATTTGCCGTCCTTTTAATATTTCGCAGAACATTGCAGCACTATCTAATTCTCGAGGGCCGGCAAGAAGATTTTGAATCATTCGTTCTGCCTTCTCAATTTTTTCTTTTCTTTTTTTTCTTATATTTTCAATCAAATTGTTATCTGAAATATGAATTTAGCAAAACAATAGCATTTTTTACGGTATGATGTCAATCGAACAATATATTTTAATTTTTTAATGTATTTATTTGAAATTTCTCTTACATAATAAAAAGAAGTAGCACCATAAAAGTAAGTATAAATTTAAAAAAAGTTCATTGTTCAACTCAAATCATGAAAGTATTTTTAAGAACATTAAATTATATGACAGTAGTAGAATTTATAGTACGTAAGATTCAAATGAGTTGATCAAATTTTGTAAACTCAATTTTATATTTTCAAAAAGTATAACAAGAAATATTAATGTGGATGTAGAACTGTACAAATGGTCAGTTTAACTTTTCTTTCACTATCAGCGAAGACAAATTTACTATCAACTAATCTGGCAGACAGAACAATATGTACTTTGATAGTAAATAACTTAAGTTAACTAAAATATATGTAATAATAATTTTTTTAGTTACCTTCCATTGACTTCAATGTATGTAATTTGGGTGTACAATTTTCTTTTTTGTCTTTTGAAGAAAATATGTTCTCCCAGTTTTTTATCATAGATTTTGATCCATTTTTTAAATATTCACAAAAACTTTTTTGCTCTGCTGATTGAATAGCTTTTTCATCAATTAAGAGATCTAAAATAGATTTGTATTTTTGCTTACTAAGAAGAAGAGGTTTCTGCACTTGGTTAGTAGTTTCACTAAATTTTTTGTACAACATTGTTAAATTTTAAAATTTAAATTAAAAATTAATTTTTATTTTTGACAAATTTTGTTTCCTTTTATATTCTAAAAGTTTTTTACGTTCCTATGTATGTACATAATCTTTGATATAACTAAATAATATATGTATATTGGTTCCTATGCGATAAATATTTGCTTCTAAATAGCAACGAATACAAATTTTTTTATACGCTTCTTATTGTTATATAATTGTCCATTATTACAAAAAGGCGGAATAAAAAACAAAATAATAAAAGTATTTCGTTACAATTTGGCTCTATTCAAATTTTAATAGTAATGTTGATTTAGTTTCTAGAGCATAGCTTGCAATGTAAGCGCATATTCTGTTCAGTCAGAATATTCCATCAAGCAGTCATTGAGAATTCTATTCTTTCTATTCATTAGAATGAATAAACAAAAATAACCATTATTTGTTAAAATATTAACTGGGAAAATTTCTTTTCTTGAAAAATAGAAATTTCATATGGAACTAGTCCAGCCCAAACCTGATAACATTCTATATAGTTTTTATAATAGATTTTATTTTATGAATGTACAATTTTTTTTACTAGTCCTTATGAATAACTGTTAAGTAAATGTCAAAATTGACAAAAAAAAGAGAAACAAATTAGACAAAACTTTGAAAATTTTCTATTTTTGGTGGGAAAAAATATAAACAAAAAGAAAATTGCATTTAATAAAATCATGACTGATAAAAAATATAGTTATGATAAAAAAACAAATTTATACTTTCACATAAAAATATGTTTGTGTATTTGCTGACATTTATGTGTCTTGTTGAAATAAATAAAATATGCACTCATTTAAAAACTAATAGAAAAAAAATTTTTTTAAAGTTTTCTTGTTTTATTGAATTGAAGTCTTTTGTTTTAGGTTCCTCCAATGGGACCGCTACTTAATTGTAAATCTCCTCACATAAGCCTATGATGTGAAAGGATTTACTCCAAATCTCAAATTTTAAATTTTATTGTAATGTCAATGAAGTGTCATGCACGACAGACACATATGCATATAATTATATACTAATTATATACTCTTTTAGTCCTTTTTTAATAAATTTTTTAAATTTATTATTAATTTTAGTATTCGTGCTTATAAATAATGTGTGCATATGTATAATTGTGCAAAAAACCAGCATAATATGCTATAAAAGATATATACTTATATATAAATGTATACATGCATGATGTATTTAAATTTCTATAATGAAAGTTTATAGTGTGTTTGTTTTTACTTTTTTACATTAAAGCAAAACTTAATGAAATGTCAGTATACTGTTGGCCATCATAATAATATAAATTTTGATCCACTAACAAACAAAAAAGAAAAACATTAAATCAGATGCATAAAACATAAAAAAATGTATATATATATACATATATTATGTACATTTTTTGTATATTATATTAAATACTTTGAAGTATGTATATCGATAAGTGTGCGGACGTTACGCGAAAATCTTATGATGAATGTTTTAATTTATTATTGTTTATATGAAATGTTTGGATGTATATAAACATTATGTATCCATGTTTGTATATATGTATGTCGAATTTATTATGTTTCCATTGAAAAAATGTGAATGATTGTTAAATATTTTTAATTTATTAAAGATTCGAATGAAGTGTGTATATTGTAAGTTTCTTTTTAAGCACATTTCTTAAAAACCAAAAAAAATAAAAGTAATGTGCTTTTCTTTATTTATTTGTTTGTCTTAATCTTTTCGTTTTATTTATAATTTATTCATTTGGTATATATATGCATAATATATGATCGTTTAATTATTTTGGTATTATACGATTTTGAAATGTCTGTAATATTATTGCTAGAATTTTACAAAATTAAATAAACTATTTTCAAATTCTTTGAATTATAAAATACTCAAAACGAAATTTTTAAAAAAAATTCTGAAAATTGATAAATTATTTAGAATTACTTTAAAATTTAATATTCTGCCTCCGGACCTTAGATATTTACTCGTCAAATCAATTATTCACCTCAAAACCATTCATTTGTATTCCAATTTTTTTTTTAAATCCTGGAGGGCAATAATAAAAAAATGTTTGCTTTTCAGGACTTTAAACCGGCTCCTTAATATTCATTAATATTATAAAGAAGTTAAATGCTACATTCCATATGGGATTCGTTCAATACGTGAAAATATGTATGTGTGTTTATTTAATCACTTGAGTATACATATCAGTAATATTGGTAAAACAAAATTCACTTTTTTCTAAACTAATCGTTTAACAGCACTTGTTTTCATAATTTTTTTTATTTCTTTTTATGTTTTACTATATAAAAAAAACAAGAATGTGTAAATTTTAGTTAACGATTCACAACAAAACTTCATTACTAATTGTTTCAGTTACCAAAAGTTTTAGATAAGAATATATGTACATAACAGTTAGAGTCTCCACACATTAAATGAAAACATACCATGCAATTTAAGGTTGTTATTATTTCTCTTTTAGCTGTAAACTGGTACCAAATATAAACGTAAAATTTTGATAGGGGGGGGAGACTATATTTATGTAGACTTAACTGAAGCTATTGTATTTAACTGGATTTGTATTACTTTTAATGTTTTATTAAAAGAAAAAAAAAATAATAAAATTTATTAATATATAGTGGTGGAGGTACGTGGGCAATCATTTTTCTTTTTTCTTATTATTGTTACTAAATATTTTTTTTATTTTCAGTATTTCGTTAACTCTTGAGTGGTGTCTCTGGTAAATGTAAAATTTAATCGGGAAGTAAAATAAAAAAAAAAAAATTTAAAATAATTGGTTTTATTATTAAAGGAAAAAATTTTGATTTTAATATAAAATTTGTTAATAAATAAATATTATAAAATTTATAAATAAAAAAAATAAGAAAAATAAAGTAATAAAGTTCAAATTTTAAAGAAAAATTGGTGAAACGTGTCAAATAATAAAATCATAAAAAATAATTATTTTTGTTTTATTTAATTAAATATTAATGTACACGTCTATTATAAAAACGGATTAAATTAATTATTTTAAATTGTTCATAGAACTTTTAAATATTATATTTTTTAAATTTAATAAATTTACCATTAAAGTATAGCATTTTATTCATCTGAATTTAAATTGTATAAACGGAAATTTCAAATATTTTTCACAATGCTTCCGGTATGTTTTTAAATATTTTTGCTGAATTACCTTGAAAAATTTTTTCAAAAGTTTATTGTTTCTTTTCTTAATATTTTTTTTTATTATTGTTTTTTTTTTATAATAATTTAGTTTTAATTTAATATTGTTTAAATTTAATATTATTAATTTATATTTATATAGTGAACTAGCTATATAGTATATATTTTTTGAACAAAACCTTTTTTTGTTATTATGCAATTAAACAAAAAACAAAAATGATTTTTGCATAAATTTATTCAATCTCTGGTATTTACACTTGCTGTTATGTCCAAATGCGCATGCAAATATTTTACCATATAAAAAGTTTTAAGTATTAATAGTGCAAGACAATGTTGTACATGATGTTGCAATGCATATATATACACATGTTTGCCACAGCACGAAGCTTGCTTGATAAGGATACGAAAATATTACTTGTGGTTGAGAACTTCAGTCAAAAGATTTGAATTGTCTAATAAATTAAGGAGCTTTAAGCGATATTTTTGTTAAAAATCTGGATTTCCCTAGCATCCGCCTTATTTAAACATAATACGCATATTGTTCACAACAAACCTTTGTTTTCAATATTCGCCTTTTTTTTATAAACCGCATTACAAAGCAAAAATCTCAAATAAAATATAAAACTGCAAGCTTATGTAATACACCCAGTAATATTCAATAATTATGATAATCCGTTTCGTTTTCTATTCGAAAAATATGAAGAAATTATTTATATGGAGTAAAGATAAAGAGCAAAATTAATTATAGTCGAAATATATGTAAATATTGTATGTTTTCATATTAACAATCATATTTTAAGAAGCGTTTAGTTCGACATTTGAAATTATACACGCTTATATTACATAAATTGAAAAAAGAAAAAAATGAGTTGTACAAGCGATTTATTAGGATTTTTACGAAACTCGATATTATTCGTATATTTTTAAAAAATGCGAAAAATCATAATTAATTTCTTTGTAAGCGGCTGTGTAGTAAAGTGTTCTTATCTTAATATGATCAAGAAGTACCTGGGAAACATTTTTAAAATCCTGATTAAATCTGAAATTCTTCAAAATACCTTATAATTCTTCATACAAAATTATAAAGGAAGTTTATAATTGCATAAAATTTAAGTTATTTTTAACAAAACAAAAATTTTGTTCAGTTCCACTCCTTCATCTGTATGATCGATCACCTTGTTTATAAGAAAAAATCCCTCCTTTAATTGGGATTGCTTAAAGTTCTTTTATTTTTATACCAAAAGTATGTAAATATCTTGAAAGGTTATTTCAAAAAGTTAAAAATAAAAAATAATATTTCATTATATAAAAATTTTCATTCAATTTACTTTCAATTTAACAAAAGAAATTCAATTTACCATATACTCGTTAAAGTGCAGCGGACTCAAAATATTTTGTACAATAGGTACAAACACCTCGTTTGTACCTATAACTGTATTCTACATACATAAATGATCAACCCAGTCTACACAGAATAGAACATTTATTATTTACCTTCATATACCATTTTAAATATACCTATGTAGTTAAATAATAAATGGATCACTAAAATTTATTACTTTTAGCAAATAACCTTGAATAACAAACTCAAAATTCGCCCCAGACATGTACTTACAAAATGAAGTGGATAAAAGAATGACAAAAAAAAATTAATGACATCAAAAAATAATTTCGTTTTTTTTTTATTAAATGAACAAGTCTTCTTAGAACCGAAACGAATTTGAAATACCTGCGTTTCTAACTCATATAACAGTTAACTATACATTTATAAAATTTTAAATATGCGATTAAGTATAAGTATTATGTTCATGTAGATTTTCTCGGAATTTAGGTTTAATTTTTTAATAAAAATATCGAAATAAACATAATATTATTACATCGGCCTGATCGTCTATCCTGCTATTTTACTCGGAAAATGAGAAGAAAGTGAGTAACTATCCTATATCCTTTTCTAGTGATAAGAATTATTTGGTATTGCGTTTCTCGTTTTTTTTCTAAAATGCATACAAAATTTATTCACTTTGTTTTTGAAAGTGAGACGTTCAGTCGATAATTTGAGAAAAAATGCAAAAATCCCGTTGTAACAAGGAGTAATCTTATTGGAAAAGTGAAACACCCATTATAGAAAATACTGAGAATTCGAATTTGAATGCGAATTAAAAGTGAATAAAAAAGGGAGATACACGATCAGGCTGTAAAACATATACTGTTTTCGTTTTTCTTTAAAACAGTTATTCTAAAATAAAAGCAAATTGCAATCTTCATGAGTAATAACCACTATTTCGAATGTCTTACACATTTAAATGGAACGCATTCCAATTTCGAATCGAAAATCCTAGATAAAAAGAAGTAATAATTGACTTTTACAATACTCATATGTACATACACACATATATTATTTTTTATTTAATACCGTATTACGGTATTACATAATAAAAGAGTACAAATTTTATTATTAATCATTATCGGTTTATATATACACACGCTCACATATGCTTAAATATAATCCGTATACGAGTATATTATGAAAATTAATTTTGTTAAATAATTTAATAAAAAACAATTTTAGTTATTCATTTGCATGTGCGTTCAATACTTCTTTTTTTTTTTGCGGTAAAATTAAATTTAATTAAATATTTTAATCACAGCTTTATATTTGCATCGCACACATTATAAGGTGATTACATAACATGCTTATATTTAGGAAATATTAATTTCTATAGATCTTCATTCTTTCAAGATTTTATTTAAAATTGTTTTTTTTTATAAATTTTTATTGGTATAAAAATTGCCTTTGAAAACTAAACTTAAATTACTTTTCATATATGAATTTTTTTTTGTTTCATAAAAGACATTAAAAGCTTTTTAACTTCTATTTATAACATTTCCTGAAGCTATTGAATCACAGATGAAAAAAAAACCGAAACAAATTAAGTTTCTAATAAGTTGCTCATAAAATAATAGATTCACTGCAAAAATGGTATTAAAATATTTAAACAAAAAAAAAAAAGATGATTTTGCACAAAGTAGGTATTTTTTTTTTAAACATTCCAATTAATTTTATGTATCGGTTAGTTAATTTAAAAGAACTAATTTGTGAATTATACAAAATCATATTTTAGATGATTTAGACAGTCATTTTAATTTCGAGTTCTGGTAACAATGTTCAATCCAATCGATTTCATTTAACTTAATTAAATAAACGTTTCTGTATTCATATAACAGGATTTTATTTAAAATATATTTCAAAAATTTATTAATCAAATTTTTTTTGGCGAATTTTAATAAAATTACCATGCTATGTGACATTTGATATTTATTGTTTTTCGTTTTTAACAAAAAAGATGCTGTGCCTTTTATATTAAAATTTTTATTAAAATTGATAAAGTGTGTCTGAGCATAACTTTAACAGTGATGTTACGTCTGAGACATACACAATATGGATAGGAGACTTGTTATTAATCCAATAATATTATGTCAGGATACTACTCGTATACAATGTCAGATATAAGTTCGGAGGAAGCCACCAATATTCGCACGCATTTTAGTTTTAATATTTTCAACAATAAATTGTTAGACTAGAAAATAGGAAAACAACATAGATATAAGCTCTGTCTGTACATATTTATGCAAAAATAAATTACATATTCAATTTAAAAAAATTTATATAATATTAAAAAATTTTTGCCAAAAAAAAAAAATGAGCAATAAAATTTTTCCGAAAGGTCAGAAAATAAAACTGATCAAAAGAATTCAAATTTTTTTATTTTAAATAGTAAAATATTTTTCTATATATGTAAAAATAATTAATTTTAGCCAAAAATTTATACATTTTATTCATGCATATGTATATATGTATATGTATACTAGCGCATGCCATATTTCATCAATCATTTCATTTTAATAATATGGTTTAATTAAAATGTTTATGTATTTTTTAGAAAAAAAAATAAAAATAAAATAAGAAATTTTAAAATTAAATAATTTAATCTATCAACTTTTGGTTCATTGACCTTTAAGTCAATTAAGGTAATTTATAATTATTGAATACAGTTTTGATTAGTTTTAATCTATATAGGTAATGCTTATTTATTATACATGTATGTATTCGATATGATTATGGCTTAATTATCGTAATATTTTTTTTACCAAAATAATTTTATGCCTTGATTTTGTATATTTTTATGAAAATATGGAAAAAAAGAGAACAGAAAAAATTGCAATATTATTTTACCCTGCAATCAGATTTTCAAATCGAAAATGGAGTACGTAATAAAAATAAATTTTGTTTTGTTAATTATTAATATATTTTTGACTAAATATTATTAGATCATCTATAAAATAGAAAATTAACTATAGGCAGTAACACGCAGAGACAGAGATTTGCGCACACAATTTGACATTTTTTGAGAAACGAAGTGTAACATTAGTGAAAAGTTTGTTTACTTAAAAAGCTGTTTAAGATATATTACAATTTTTTAAAAGATATAGTAAATAAAAATAATAATTGACTGATCAGAACAGTAAATACGTTAGGCTAATTCGTATTATTCAGTTGCATGAGAGCATAGCACTCTTACCAGTGGCACTCTGTTAAGAGAATATTTTATTGAAATAAAACAGAACGAAAATTTACGCATAATATGTAAATTATCGAGAATTTATGTAAATTTTCCGTAAATAAATAAAGAAGAATAGAAATTATAAAATGTCAATACATATTTCAAAAAGTTGATTTGAATTTCAATATGTATCAGGAACTCAGATTCAATAAAAAAAATTAAAATTACCATAACAAAATACTGTTAGTAAGCCAAATAGTTAGTACAAAGAATTTAAATTTAAAGAAACATTTGCATAATTATTGAGTAAAAAATCTGTATAAATGTTTGGTATGAATTGTATATTATGTATAAAAAATGTGTCAAATGTTTTTTAATATTGTTAACCAAGTAACTTTTTAAATTAAATTCAAAATAT